TTGTGGTGGTGCTTTTGGGGCCAAATGTATCTGCTTTTTCCTTGAGAACATGGCTCTCTTGCTTTCAAATAAATCTGTCAAAAAAGACGAATTTCACCCCATGTCATAATCAATTAAAGATCAAAGATTTATTTCAAATTGAAGAGATGAAATTAACAAATATCAAGAACCACTCTGCTACATGTTTTGTTAGATTGGTTCAAATTTATGTCTTGTGTTTTCATTTCATAGATCTACACTACTGACCAGACCCTATTTTTTGGTCCCCTTTTGGCCTTTCCTTGCTTGGTAACAGAGATTTTGCAAGGAACTATGGATATTCTTACAGCAGGAGAGCAAAAAGCAAAATGAGTTATATAATATCTATATATACTGACTTTGAATAATCTCAGAACTGCATATTAGAGAAATAAGAAAAGCTGCTCTACTTCTAAAGAAACCAGTGCACCAACAATTTGAAACTTTTCTAGATGTGTCTTTAATTAATATTTACTCAACATCCATTAAAAATTCTTTCCAAAACCTGGCCTAACATAATTTTAACATAAGCAGACCTCGTGCAACACGCAGTTTCTCGATATAAAAATATAGATAACTTCCAATAAAGCAAATTCGGAATAAAACTTTATTTTCCTATAACATTAATGAATATTGTCCTTACCTCATTGCGTGCTAAAAACCTCCAAAAAATAGTCAGGTTGAATGTGACATGACAGCATTCCCAACAAGTGTTGTTGTAGTTGTTGAATAGTCGCCCGCCATCAAGCAAAAGTGCAGCTGTACTCTCGGGTCTCTACCAATAAGAGTTGAACATTTTAACACCTTTTATTTACATTAGAATAGTCAGTCTTTTAGGGGAAAAGAAAACAAGAAAATTTCTTCTGTTAGCAGCCTCTGATAAACAGATGAAAAACTGACCTGGCAGAATTTTTGAGCATATAAATTAAGTATTCGGTGAGTTTGAATATAGGAAGAATTCCCAAAAATCAAAAACTCGGTCTCGTTTTTATTCAAAAGCATTTACAATGAATACGAATGCAGTTAAACAGATAAAAAGTAATCCAAATAAACTTCAGATATTTTCTGGCCCCTAAGTCTTACCTATATTTACTAACAATGACACCTTCTTTGGGTTCGCGAGATACTTGTAAGAAATTTTCGTGACTCGTCGAAGACTAACTGAATACATGCTGATTTGCTGAATACAAAGATCATAAGCTTACATGTTAGCTATTATTTATTAGAGAAACAACCAATCAAAATATGCTGTATAATGGGATAAATACCATCAAATTAAACATCACTAATTGGCGCGCATAGAGTCACGCCAATCGATTGGCTAACTCCTCAACAAAACGTCTAGCCTGAGCCCCAGACTCCAAATAGTCGTCTGTGTAACCGAGCGCAAAACTTGTCCGAGCTTAGGCTACAAAACGTCATGAAAATGTCTTGTAATGTTTGACCAGTCTTTCGGGGGCTATGGGTACGTGTTATCTAAAGTAATGATCCGTGTTCCTTTTGACGAAAAAGCTATGGCTAACTCCTCAACAAAACGTCTAGCCTGAGCCCCAGACTCCAAATAGTCGTCTGTGTAACCGAGCGCAAAACTTGTCCGAGCTTAGGCTACAAAACGTCATGAAAATGTCTTGTAATGTTTGACCAGTCTCTCGGGGGCTATGGGTACGTGTTATCTAAAGTAATGATCCGTGTTCCTTTTGACGAAGAAGCTATGGCCCCTTCTTCAGTATGACGAATTCTTTTCTGGTGTCGTCTGAAATCTTATAAGTTTCTTTTGAAGTCATATTTAGCAGGGCCCTCGTCAGGGTGGTCCGGGGGACCATGGCCCCCCACTTTTCTTGCTAACTATAGGTGTTAAATCCCCCTTATAGGTATTAAACAAGCAACCCCCTTTTTGGTTCCTCCACTTTAGAATCGGTGGCGCGAGCCCTGAATTAGAGTTTAAACACTGATATCAATTATCTGTAAAATTAAAATGTCTTCCTGGTTCTCCGCGGTTGGCTAAAACAGTATTGGATAAAAATTATGTACAATGCCGGCCAAAAGTACTTGGAACACCCAGCAATTTGCGTTGCTTTTTATATCTTTCATTCCTTTTCCGAAAAAGAATTACTCCTTCCACCCCTTATAGGCCCTTATAGTGTTGAAAAATATCATAAAGGAATCTTAAAAGAAGATACTTTAATTCCCTAACCCATTTTATAGTAAACCAATATTTTCCGTAGGGAAGAGGGGGATGTCTGAATCTGACCTTGTGCAAACTGACGTCAGTGTTCCAAATGGAATAAGATTTACCCAAACTTTAAGACTTTTGGCAGGCATTGTACATATGTTCAAGCTAAAACAGTTTTTAAATTTGAACCGTGTCTTGACACTATAAAAGACATCAACAAAAGACGATGTCTGTCTAGGTTGAGACCAAACGCTCTGAATCTAGAAGAAAAATCTGGTTGCTCGGTAAAGCTTTATACCTAGACAAGAAAGATATTGTTCACGTGAATTCAAACTGAATTGAAACGGCTGACAGTTTGGAATCAAATTGAGTCGTAAATTGAGTCAAGACTGCTTTGAAACAAGAGAAAGATAACATTGGCAGAATACCAATTACCAACACCAAGTAGTTCAACCTACCATGTTAAATATCATGATGATTTGATCATATAATTTTCTGCCTTAAGTGAAACGAGCTGATGCTTAACTCCTTGTCCATTCGTAAGTAGTAATTGGATTCTCCCTAATCGAGTGGATATTTACACGTAACAAGTTGTTATAGAAATAATTCCATGTTGTTGCTATTTTGTTGGTCTCACTTGGCTAGAGGCCGTGATGGCCTAGATGCATTATATACAGAAAGCTTTCAACATGTTGTAAAATGTTTGCTTTTTCAAAGCCATTTTTAAAATATGAATTGGGACACCACATAAAATAATGTAAGAGATCGAGTATTGGAAATGGAGAAAGGTTGCACTTTGATTTAGGAAATTCTTTGAGGACAATCGTTGAGGAATTGTAGAGAATTATTCACATGTTAATTACTTAAAGGTGGGAAGATCACTCAAACTCTTTTGGGTGTTTACTGGGGAGAGAGGGGGGTTAGTATAATGATTGAATAGACAATAGAAACATTTTTAATCAGTTTCAGAAATCTTTTCAGGAAGCTCCTCCAGTTTTTACATTTGAAAACACTGCAATGGTTTGGTTTATGCATAGAGCTTGCAAGCCTTAATGATAGATGGAGGGGAAGAGGTCGAAATCTAAAAAGGTTGCGTAGTAGGTCAATGATTATTTCCAGTGTCTTTTCACATGGGCCTAAAAAGATTTTCAGGCCAACCAAATGCTTGTCTTCTGTTTACGTTGCCCATTGCCCAACACAGTTCATATTTATGAGTCATGTACATTTGTAATAGTTAATGTCTCATTAGTTTGCTTATAAAATTTGAAATCCAAACATTTAATTGTGATAAAAGGAATTACAATGATCAATCATGAAAACTTTTAGGAAAACTTTCTTTTCAAAAAAGCAATAATTTATCGTTAACAAAAAACAATAATAAGTGATATGATATAATAAATTGGTTGAGTTGAACTATATTTAGTATAAAGTAAGTGAAGTAAGCCAACACTGCAGCATTGTAACCTAGGTGGGATTATTATTGGTACATTCTATGCATAGGGCCAACAAGCTCCAAATGGTTCATGTCAAATGCTGCATACCCCTCATAGCCTCTCATAAGGCAATCAAACAGCAATGAAAAAAATCAGGTAGGTTGGTCCTGATTCATAGCTGACATCTAAAAAGGAATTTATAGTATAATTTGAAAATCTTAGAAATATGACTGCTTTAATATACAAATCTATAATTCAAAGATTAATAATGGGTAAATGTTTGAAGCTGACCACATTATAAAGAAGCTCCGCTATAAAAATGATGGAAGGCGTTCTATTTTTGTAGATAATTTGTACCCCCCCCCCCCGAAAAAAAATTGTCAAACTGTAGTATACGTATTTCTTTCATGACAGTGTATTGAACAGTGTACGACGGCACGGGTAATGAAGGTATCACGGTATCGTAACATCTCCTTACAAGCAGGCGTACACCGTTCGCGGTTTAAATGTCTCTTTACGGGTAACGTCAATTCAAACTCACTGATGCTTGCTCTACCGTGACAACGAAATAACGACTGTAAATTTCAGTGGTTGTGATGTTAAAGAAACAGAGTGTTTTGACCGAAAATAGGTCGAAAAGATGCTAGAAGGCAGGATGCCGAACAGAAATGCGATGAAATGGGCTTTTGTTGCTATGCTCTTTGCTAGCTGTTTTGCCATCGGTGAGTTGCATCAGAATTTCATGATTTGACCAGAGAATAAGATAATTGACCTAATGGTTTGTAATTATAAGATCCAAAAAACTAATGAAAGCATCACATGTTATTGACTAATAAGGTCAGTTGCACATAGGTTTTTAAGACTTGAAAACAAATCTTTATCTTGTCTCGTTCATGAAATACTTGAATTCTCTTTCGGACTGAAATCAAAGCAAATAAAACACGCTTAGTGTAAAAAATTAGTGAATTTAAAACTAGTATAAAAGATAATCGTCACCATATTCATAAAAAAGACAGTTGTAATTAAAAAGGCTTTGCTATGTATTAGTAGAAAAAAGATTGCAAATCAAATCCATTGATTCTTTTGAGGTGGAACGATAACTGATTTGCGCATTGTAAAGTCATACTTGAGGAAAATCATAACCTCATATTTATGAAAGTCATCACTCGTGTGAAACTGTGCGGCATTTTTTTGATGCTACTACCATTGATGGCCTGGAAAATGCTGCTTAGACGCAAAATTTGAAAACTTAGAAATCTTGTCTATTTGGTATTAAGCTACCTTGAATTGTTCTTTTGTTTACTAAAAGTAACATAACTTTAAGTGTCATAAAGTAGAAGCCAGATGACTTTTTGACTTTTCTGCTTTGAATGACATTGTATAATCTAACCATTTTTGTGTCAATATTCTTTAGTGCTGTGTTATAAAGAAAATTCTCTCTAGAAAGGCTTTCAGTTTACAACGTAGTCAATTTGATGATATGAAGTTAGTCGTAAATTGTGTACGAAACAAATCAGTGTCCAGTGGCAGTACCAGCTACCGTGGCGTAGTCCTGGTGAGCTTTGGAGACCACACCCTTAAGAACTACATTACTGTCAGTGTGTTATTTTCCATAGACAGATATTGAAGAATATCATATACTTCTGCAAAAAATGTTTTGAAAATAACACGGAATGGCGGAAACATATCAAACTTTACTATATCGTCTGACACTCATCGGAGTATACGCCTCGGTGTCAGATAAGTATCCGACGAAAAGTACTTTAGTTTGGTTTGATATGCTTCTGCTCTTCCATGCTACTTTCCAATTTTGGGGTTTGCAAGGCTTGTTTGGAAAAAACAAAATGAGTTTTCTAACACATAAAAAAAGAACGACTAGGATTTGTATCCAGAGAGCTAAACAGTGTTAGAATTCAAAATAGTGTGATTTAGCAGAAATTTAAAACTGTTTATGTTCGTCTCATTCTGACTTCTAATAGTAAGCTAGCATAAACATAAAGGTGTGATTTGAATTTGGTGCATGTTTACAAAACTACCTCAACAGCTAAGTGAACAGCCTCCTCGATCTTGTAGGTCTAGAAACACCGCTAAAACAAGTGATTCTGCCATCGGTCAACATCTTTTAGATAACCCAGATTTTGCAAAACTCTATAATGACGACATGTTTCGGCTAATTGGCAGAGCCCGGCAGTCTTTAATCTAGCAGTTTTGGAATCGATCTACATACAGACGAAAAGGCAGCCATTGTGTAGGGAGAAGGAGTTTGTTTTTTCTCTTGAACCCCAGTTGTAACTTTTCAATAGGCACGCAGCACTGATTGGTCAACATATGCTTGCGTTTTTCTATTTTTCATCGTGTTCTTTCGGACCCTTATTCTGGCATTTTGTACTCTGAGGAGTGTCAGATGAAAAAGCTTAAGTACTATGTTGTGAAATGTTTGCTTTTTTCAAAGCCACTGATCTTTTTAATAATACTAGGTAAAAATTTTCATTGCAGATTCGAAAAATGCAACCCATCCTGTTGTCCCTCAGAATGGATCAGCACGCAACCAACATCCAACCTGTAAACAGAGCGAAGTCGAACACAGTGACGTCATACATGACAGGGGACTGGGAAACATCAATCCAAAAAATTACACTTTCCTTGGCAATGTGCCTACAATGAACGATTGCATGGCAATGTGCTGCAGCACGAAACATTGCAATATCGCTTACATGAAGAACAACAGTTGTTTCGGGGTCACGTGTTTGGAAAAAGAAAAATGTATGGTTAAAAATGGCACTTTGGAATCTGGCACAAAACTGGCCCTCATGATCAGAAATGAAATGAACAGAAGAGGTACATGTTGGTTTATATATCTCGTGTAATTCAGTCAGCAATAAACAAAATGTTGTTATGAAATTATATAAGGTATGATGTACTGTTATATTTTAACAGCTTTTTACAATTAAGTCAAATACTCTTTTGACATTCTATTGAAGAGATATCATAATGCTACAGCTTCTAAAACACCATTTCTACCATAAAACCTAAATTACCGATTGCATTAATTACCAGGCTATCAGTACCTGAAAGGTGCTTACCTAGAACAAGACTTCGCCTTAAAATGGATTTTGCTATTCACCCACGTATTAACGAATTTATTACAAATAGCCTCGTAGGCGCTTTTTCTTCATATATTATCGTTAATTTTCATTACAAATTACAGTAAAACACCAAGATTTTTCAGATATTCTTTTCATACCAGTAAGGTTTGCCATAATATATTATGACATTGAGTACTGCAAGAATATCACACAAATGCTTCTTGGATAGCTACAAGTGATGCAATGTGCTGACTTGCAATGTCCTTTAAAACTTTATGTAACAAAAGAGCGAAAATTAACTGAGATAAACGTTTGCATCGTATCGTCTGGGCACAATTGTTGTTTTCAAAGCAAACAGAAAAATCATGCCAAGGTACACCAGAATGAATAACTTCTCACAACTTGACCTGATATATTTTTTAATCTAGTGTTAGTAACAGCATCTCTCCATTTTACCAGTGTACGTCACAGCATATTTGGTCGTTGTCGTGTGTGCATTCGGGGCCGCCCTTGCCGGCACGGTCTGGGCAGTTTTTGTCTTCTACAAAAGGTAAGTGTGATATCTGAATCCCAAGAATTAGGTACATTTGAATCCCGTTAAATCTTTCCCCCGGAAAACCAATACACTAACTGAAACTGACTTTCCATTCCAACTGGATTTTGCTACTTCATTCAAGTCAAAAGTCGTACATTAAAAATTCAGATCATTCCTTTACCTCCCTTATTCAACTGTACTTTAAACGATTTGTACAATCAAGTACGCAATTTGGAAAGCAATTTATCAAGCAATACTTTCTTTGAAACCATCATATAAACATCATAAAACCGTCATGTTTTACCTTCATATAAACGCATGTTACTTGAGGTCCATTTCAATAGAAATACATATGCTACAGTTAAGTATTGACCCAAGGCGGACAGCACTTTCAATAAAATATATATTGGGAAAAGAAGTTAGAAGAAGATAGGGAAAGCATGTGATTTCTCTATCGGATGTTGGAAGATTCCTTCTACTGGATGCTATTTACGTTTGATGTTCACAGGTACTCAAGTGTGCGACCAGGAGACGACGAAGAAGAGAGTGAATTACTGAAGCAACCCAAAGTAAGAAACTGCTATTAGTTTTTGACATTCATGGTGCAGGCAAGAAGGCTTGAGGTACGCCTAAGGGATATCTGACCAATAAACATTACTTGTAATTCTCTTCACCAGCTATAAATAGTATGTGGTTATGGGATTTTTCAATTGGTCAGAGCAAAGAGGGGTACCAATAGAGGGGGGAGGGGTTTGAACTGACTGACAAGGGCCTGGAAGAACAAGTCAACCCATTGGTCGCAGCCTTTATAAAAAACTTAAGAACGTAGCGAGAGACAATGGGAATCTTCAGAGAAAGTTAAAAGGACAAGAGCTCAACTTCGTCATCTGGGAGAAGAGTCTTCATTCTTTAACAGCTTCCTAGTTTTTGCAATGAGAGCAAATATTCTCTGATTTCATACGACTGATGTTGTTGCATCATATGGATCAAGCGTTTGATTCAGTAATCCTGAATAATATCAGTAATCCTGAATGTTTTTCTGCTGATCGTGAACTTTTACATGCTGTAATCATATATGTTCACCTTCTTGTTACTTTTGGCCAGTTAAGGTAACAAGTGCAACAAGGTTAAAGAAACTATCTTCAAGCTGTTTGAATGGGTCAAGATAAAACATTATTCGGATACATTTTTAACTTATTGGAACCAGATAATGTTTGTAGAAGCTCGATGTACAAGGTCTATGTAATGTAAGGCTCAGTTCCTCTAAATGTCGTTCTTATTTCAACATTTTCTACAATTACATCGGTTGATTGGCAACAGGGTTGATTCACTGATAAAATCTACCCTGCTTTGTTAAAATTACATTTAGCCACGCCCCTACCACTTTTTGGAAAATTTTGTCAAGGTATGCTGGCAAATATTGTCAAGGTATGCTGCCATATTGGATAGGTTTGTTCTTTCAATATTTACAAAGAGAGAAAATATGAAACAAATATCTCTTTACGTATTTTCCTATATCAAAGTTGGCGAAAAGATTAAGTTATGCTTCAATATAATTGAATTCCTTTTTCTTCTTCAGGTATATTGAGCTGAAAAGAAAAGACGAAGAGGCAGCGACAGTTTCGCCTTCAAGGACTTGTTTTTGATTGACGTTTAGTCTCTTTTCCAAAGCTGATGAGATATATACACGAGATCTCCCGGCTTGCTGTGCAAAGTTATGCTTTTACAAGCTAATTCAAGAGATACAATCAGATGTCTCGTGAATAGCGCGATCTATAGCATGCGAATAGCATCTGTAATCTGACTGTATAAGGAGACTTGCCAAGTCCACAATTAATATCTTGTAGAATTGAAAACTAAATTTGTATACAAAACTTGACATTATGGTATATGAAGACACAGACATGAGCCTTGAAAATTATTGCTAGAATAAGTTAATTGCTGCCATAATGTGTATAGAATATCGTATTTTTAGTTTTTGCAATTTCTAAAAACATACCTTGCTATGGACAGAAGGCTTACGACCTTTTTCCAAAGAATCGCAACCGTTTTCATGTTTCTAAGGAACGACTTTAAGGCAGAGAGCCAGTTACTTGTGCATTTTCTTCCTTATTTTAAATTGGGCTTTTCCTTTTCCTGGTGCTTTACAATGAAAAAGTGAAAAACCAAAGACTTCACATAGTTTGTGCAGATTAAGGCATGTTGAAATGGCATCGAAATATATATTTGCTATAAACGAAATATTTCATATTGAAACAAACGAAACGTTTAAAACGTAACAAAATACACCTTATTTTGATTTGGTAAATTATTAACGCAGTTTAATGGCAAAAATGAAATACATAAAGAATGTGACTCTTTCTTCAAATATGTCTCTTTGTTGTTCGTATATTCAGCGACTTTTATGGAGAACAATGCTCAAAATAGGACAACTTATGGTCATATATAACTAGGATAAGTCATGAGAAGACAATTGGTCATTTTGTCTTCTTCAAAGTAAAATTGCTGTAGGGATAAACACAATAAAAGAACATGAAATTCTTAAAACTGACTTTTGCGAATGGATCTAACTAAGAAAGTGATAATAAACTTCTGAATATTTGCAAAAGCGTCTTTTCTATAGATAAGGTATTTTGGCTATACTTTTATGCATGTTTTTGTGAAAATTTTGTAGCATTCTCAAAATTTATCCAGAATTTTCTGAATTTTCATGCCTTTTAGTACTAATACTTGACAGAGACTGAATCAAAGCAAAGCCATTCAGATGAAGTATTTTTAAAGAGCAAGATTAAAAACATAGCCTTTTCCAAGTCAACATATTTGCAGCTGACTGGAAAATTATATACATCTATAATGGAAAGACAAAATACATAAGTACACCTAAGGACCATCTTAATCTGCAAAGAAAAGAATAGTGAAAAAAATAATGACAAGTGAATCTTTTCTTTCCACAGAAACATTCTTGCAAAAACAAAAAAATATGTAATGTCATAGATAAAAAGAGTACACAGGAATAAATTTACATGAACTAACCAGAATAAACATTCGCAAATCTAGGCAAAAAGCACACAAGGATAGTGTCTCTTTTAAGTAAATTCTAGGGTGGGCTTTGCAAATAAATACTGTTAGCTTGTCAAATCATAATATCTATCTTGTCTCTGTGACTGGGAAACAAAGATAATAATAAATATGTGCCAAATATGGACAGCATACTACTATTTAAATTTGGGCCATGCTAGATCAATTGGACAACCTCAACCAGAGACTGGAAAACAATGGAAAAATAAATGAAGGCTGCAGTAATCTTTGAAATGGGGAAAACATTAGAAGGCCAGAATTGCTTGATTCTAAGCATCATTCCTGGTATTCTTGGGATATATGATCTCATCGGTAACAGCAGTACCATAGGAAGGCTAAATTTATTGGTGCACCATTGCTTAAGAACAATAGGAACAGAGGAAATTGTTTAGTGGAAACAAAAAACTTTTTATGATTTTTTAGGGGGATAGAGTCAGCCTTAGAATGATAATAGCTACCGCACTGATGTCAGGGGTCTGTTTAGCCAAATCCTTCAACCTTTGAAGGGGCTTGAAACAGACTTTGGATATTGGGATTCCAGCTGGATCTAGCTGTTCAGTATTTAGACCATAACTACTGAACATGGAAAGTGTAATTCCAGCAAACAACTAATTTGTGATGTCTCACATACTTTCAATAAGAAGGGCCTACAAACATTTGAAAGCAAGCAAAACAGCTGCTTTAAGCTAGGAGGCATGTTTCCTTTTCAAGTTCAGTTGCAGTTCTTTTGTGGTAAGCATACAGTGCTCAGTAGATTTATTGATATTCCACAGAGTCAGTACTTACTCAAAATGAGTAGATCCTTTTGGCAGTAACAGCTGGGGAGTATACAGGCTCAAGCCAATGTTGAACAAGGAAGACAAAGCCAATCAGAGTGAACAGGCAGATGAAAGTAAAGAGCACAATTCTTGGGATCCAAATATTATCAACATTCTGAAAAGAAAACACACTATCATTAATACACAATTTACCAGGCCTGGCCGTTTGAGGCGAGCGATAGCTCGCGCTCGCCTCCACGCTCCCCTCGCAACCTGAGGCGAGCTATGAATTGCTCTCCTAAACAGAACATGAAGGGAGAATCGCTCCCCTAAAATTTCCATTCATTTGCCTTTTTTCTATGCAGAGAACCCTGAAAACGTACAAGGGTTAATTGGTTTATTTTTGTAACAGCGATTTCTCCCGTCATTGCATTTTTTTGCAATTAAATTTTTGCTTGTTGGGCGGTTTTTGTTATGATAGGCATAAACTTCGATCTATTTGAAAAAGGATATTTAACCGAAAGGTACGTTTGTAGTGATTAGAACCTTTCAATCTTAAGAAAACAGGAATATTTTTGGAAGGAATGTCGAAGAAATTGGTAGGAATTGTAGATTGGGGATATAATAAGACAGCAGGTCTCTTCTAGCAATAGAAACAAAACTATCCCTCAAAGAGAACAAGGTACTCTGTCTTGCGAATCAAAAACGACAACAAAAACATGGAATTCCACTATCCAGCAGCATTTACTGAAAAACCCAGATTGGGTGAAAAACTATAACGGCGACATGTTTCGCATTATTGGCAAAGCCTGATCATCGTTCCATCTAGCAGTTTGTGAATCTATCTACTATATAAACATGGCCGACTGCTTTTGAGTAGACATAAGTAAGTTCGTTTTCACCTTAGGACTCCGTTGGTAACATTTCCAATAGGAAAGCGGCACTTAATGGAAAACCTCAACAGTCATGTCCTCGCGTTTTCTGATGGCCTATTTCGATCCAAAACTGGGTATTCTAGCGTAGAGTTTTCCATCTATGTTCTGATGTTTTATTCTCTGAAGAGTGCTAGACGTATAATTAAGTTTGTTTCAAAATTTGTTTTTTAAAGCCATTTTCATTTGTGTTGTGCCAGTTTTACATAAAACTGAAAGAGCCTGCTCTTTTAAATACTTCAAGTAAAAGGGGTGCCAAAGTCACGGTTAAAGCAAATACAAATTGAAAGAAGTAAAACAGCATACTCCTTGACTTCAAGACTGTTTAAAGGCAACTGATAGATACTAAAGGGGCTTATTAAGTCATTTGTCGATTGTCTTTAAAGTACATTCTATGTGTTACTGATTTAGCTTGCCTCAGCAAATGAGGGGAGCGATTCACAGCTCACCTATAAAAATACAAACGGCCAGGCCTGATTTACTCAGCTTTTCTAAAATATTAAGCTAAGCCTTTTAATTACTTGGATGAAAAATTCATAATAAACCTAATCTGACAAAATTGACTATTTCCAATCAATTTCACAAAAACCAAATCAGTGATTAAGAGGAAATGGTTATCATCAGATAAAATCAAACCTGTGCTTGCTTCTTTGTCTGTAGTTCTTCATCAAGACTCTTTCTTGGGTAGATTATCATCACAATAGTTGTTATACAAAGGATTAAAACAACAGGAATTGTCGCATTTCTAAAAAGCAAGAAACACATTATTAAAAACAAACTAAGACAAGCAGCATTTTTGATGCACTAAGAAACAAAAACTTTCTGTTTCAAAGACTGGATATTCACAGAGCTTAAGATCTGTTAGAACTATCAACCAGTATCTCTGAAACTAATTAAGTAGTGAACAGGGGGTGTAGCATGGGGTGTGGGGGTGATTTGTGGGGGGGGGGATTGAACTTGTCGGTAGATTTATAATTTTGAGAAAAGAATTTTATGCCAAATGTAACAAAAGAATTTCTGTTGGTAAAATATGGTTTTGCATCTCTCAGCCCCCCCCCATCCCCAGCGAGAAAGGTAACCCTACACCACTGGTAGTGAAGATGGCATTAGCTAACCAATTGGCCCTGGACACTTCTTGACAAAGTGGGGACAATAACTACTAGCCTAGTCTAAATAGTTGGGAGCTAGCTATCCAAATGGTCTCTAGCTGAACTGAGTCTAACCAGCATTTACTCAGCTCAATGATGTGTATAACAACTACCAAACAGGAGCAGATTCCTTAATCTTGCCTCAAAAATTCCATTCAGAAAATCACTTGTTCCATACTAAATATGCTCCTTGGGGCAATTTGTATTAAATTTTCGTTGTTTCTAAAAGACTGAACACTCCAAGAACAGGCTGAACACTCCATGGACACCCCAAGAACACCCTAAGAACAAGCTATTAAGCAGCTGAACACCCTTTAAAACATATCAAAATTGGCATATCATTTGAAAAATAATTTGATCGATCAATTAAAATTAATTTTGGGGTGGGAAAGGGTCTAATGCTGTTGATGTTGTTACAACCAACTGTTGTTTTGCGCGCCAACTAGAGAAACAAGCTCCCAGTGATTTGGTGAATATCAGATATCAATTTTTAGTCCTTACACTTAAGATGGGAATCTGAAGCCTAAAAACAACTCAGCATATCTATAATAGCAACAATATTGATTTTTTTTTGTAATTTTGCAACTGACAATGACATACCGATTAAATCTAGTATGCAAAGACAATTTCAATAAAATATCTGACGTGTGCAGCTGCCACACTTTTCAAACATTAAGTCATCCTTAATAAAAAAAACCTCATGTATTTGAAAAATAATCACAAACATATATCGTTGCCTCAGTTCCTTTCCATTTTAGTTAGTCAATACTAAGAGTTGTATTTAATAGGAGTGATGATTAATGAACGAAGTGAAAATAGCTACGTTCTTACCTCAAAGACCCTCCTGTTCTCGACAACAAGAAAACTACAAAAATGCCAATAACCCATAACACTGTCAATGAAAAAAGTCCGGAACCAATACCAAATACGAGTGCCATTTTCCTGAATCAGCTAAATCACAAGCCGCTGGACTTTTTTACAAAATAGACGCTTGTGACACTTGGCTTCAAGATTTAGCCATTTTTCGAGATTTTGCTAGCTAAGGACATGTGAAATTGCCACTTCCACTCACAACCATAAGATTTATGCGAGACAGGCAGCCATATTGTTAGCAACAACAACATAAACACAGTTACAGGGATCAAATGAAGGAAGTTTCCTTAACATTTTGAATCCGGCGCAGGTGGACAACAAACTTAGTCGGTGTGTTGATGCTATCAGGGCAGGGACCTGGGGGCATACACAAATACGAGTGACACGACTTTTGTTTTGTAAAATCGTCTGCTCTCTGCTCAAGGACGAATTTAGGTCGACACCCCACAAATTCTGTGTTCTTTAGTATATTTTGCTTTTATTCGGTAAAAAGCATTTTTTGGTGGTCAGAAGTTACAAAATATTGCAATAGTTCCCTTTTTTTATCTTCTTTACCTTGAGGTTAAAGGTTGAATTTTTTTAACCGGGCGTTTCCGTCATTCTTCATTACTCTGGAGGGTGTGGCACGAAAGTCCAATTATTATCTAACACCCCCCCCCCATCCTTGCTGCTTAAATCAGCCCCTGTCCCTGTTGTTAGAGTTACAAAGAGGAAAAGGGAGAGAGGAATAGGCATGTCTTAATAGTATTATATTATGTTTGAATTTGGACCATCATGTTGCCTGAAAGAACATATGCAATATTTCTCAAACAGGAAACTGAGGAGGAGCGGGAAACGAGAAATCGGGAAAGCAACAATAAGACACCAAATATATAGTTTTATCTGAATACCTGTCATTTTCATCACCTGAACCACTCTAGAATCTATGAGAGGGGCTAAGCAAAAAATCAAATAAACTTTCCAAAATGCCAAGAATAATGAAGATTTCCTTCGTTCTCTTTCAAAATAGCCTTTTTGACAGTTTTACTTCTCTATATAAAATTATATCAAACATAATAATAATAAACGTCTTACTTACAGTTGGTGTTAACTGATAATAGCTCGTACTCTTAAGAAAAGTGAGCTAGTAAAGCCTAATCTAATCTAATTTAACCTAAATACACCAACACATAATATTTATAATAGACAGCATATTATGTAATCTTATCCTTCACCAGTCAATGTTTTTGCAAAAGGAAGCTATCGTTTCACTGCTCTTTATCACATCTGGTATGCTGTTTCAGAGTATGCTACCCCTAAAACATAAGGACTTCATGCCAAAAAAGTGTCCTTTATTCTGAGATTATATCTGATCTCTCTTCTCTGGAATAGTTCAGACAAAAGTATAGGATTCTCATGATAAAGTGTTTGTAAATCTCTGTCATCAGTCTGTAAATTCTGAAAATGGACAGTTTTTTCATTGCTTCTAGCAAGTAGATCATTAAACAGTGTATCGCAGTTATGAAACAAAACACGTAGTGCTCGTTTATGGATCTTATTGATCTTATCATTGGCACCTTTTCCACAGAATATACAGATCAAGGGGCAGTACTTAAAATTTGACATAATAAACGATTTGTACAGTAACCTTTTTTGAGGTTGTTTAAGATATCTTGCAACCCTAGAAAAAGCATTAACACTCCTATTTGCTTTGATGCACAAGGATTCTACGTGAGTATCAAATTTCAATTTTGCGTCACTCGTTATCTCTAACAGTTTAACTTGGTTAGTGTATCGATTTCCAAGCAAAGCTTGCTGTCTTTATTCAATCCCATAAACATTAGTTGGAATTTCAATGGGTTTGCAGCCATCTGGTTAGATTCGAACCATTCTAAGGTACTGCGTTTATATTTTCTATAAATTTTCTGGTCACAGGCGAACAAGCTGTTATCGTCAGCAAAGTTGCATATTTCTGACTCTTCAATGATGCTAATATTGAATAGCAGAGGGCCAAGTACTGAGCCTTGTGGTACACCAGATGTGATATCGAGCCACGAACTATAACTAGAGTCGATTCTAACTCGCTGTTTACGGGAAGTAAGGTAGCTGTAGAGCATTCTTAGGCTACCCAAGCTAAAACTGTGTACTGTATTTCTCGCGAAAACCACACAACAAGTCTGATAGAAATTGGCTAATGTGAGGTAATATTTGTTTTGAGAGGAGTTCTTTCATAAATATTCGAGACAGAGGAAAGAACACTGATTGGTCTGTAATTGACGTCAGTCGTGGATTCGCCACTTTTTGATGCACTAAGAAAGATGTTTATATGATATGCTTTCTCCTTAAAACAAATATTTGAAGCTAATTTTAATTTATCAGTAGGTACAGCTCCACCAGTCTTTTTTAATTGCATTCATTTTCAGAATTTCAATGAAAACCGTAAAAGGGTCTACGTGTGAAAACAGAAACTTTTCTCGTACATTAACCCTACCTTAAATCCTTAATATACGAGGATAGTTGAGCATGCTTGTATCCTTTGCAATCTTTAGCGTGTCGGTTACATTTGCAAAGTAGCGATTGAAATGCTCACTAATAGCCTGATCGTCTCGAATAATTTCGTCGTTCTTAATCAATACAATGTTTTACTAACTAAGCCACTATCTGAAAACGTAGGTTCAAGGGTCTTCTAAAACCGTTTGTCGATTGTTGAGGTTGTATTCAACCGTAATGATTTTCCCGTCACATCTCTTATGGACTTAAAAATTTTATGTCGTCATCAAATCTAATAAATTTTCGCGGACTGAACCCAGCAGTTGCGTACTATGAAAGGAAGATGGAGACACTCGCAAATAGTAATAAGCAACAACACCCTTTTTGGCAAGTAGCAAAATACCTCAGCCCTGCACGTTTCTTCTATACACGTAAACAACTTGTAAAAGCCCATAGCCACCTTGTGCGTAACATTTGGACATTTTTCTCATGTTCACATGGGACCTAATCCACGTCACATTGTGATTACCAATGTTTGAGTTGAAAACACCCTTTCGGGCAGAGTGAATGCAGAGAGAAACGACAAGAAGTTGATTTGGACATCCAACATAATAAAAGAGAGCATACCTGTCTTACAAATAAAGGAGATGCAACTACCCGTGTCTACATTTAAGTGAAAAATGATACCGAAGGAAAAGTGTTGATGCATTGGGCTTGTATCTACATACAGTGAGTGAACTTGCTCTCGCGTTTACTTTTAAAAATTCAATATTTGTCACAAACATTTTCTGACAGATTCTTCTTCGAATAAAGGCCAAGAACAACTATTTGAGTGATAACACTATAGGGGAGTCCGGTGGTTTAATATTCGGGGGACTCTGGACCACTTCAATGCAAAAATGGTCCAATGGCGAGGACCGAGGACAATACAAAGACTTGTATTATGAAAAGAAGGGGTAAATTACAGGGCAAGGCCTAACACTTAAATAAGATCAGTTTCGTCAAAACACTCTGTAAAAGGTATTGGGGGGTAAATCTTAAAATAACTTTTTTCTAAGTTCTATAATGTTTTTGATGGAACTGGAACATATATATATTTGATGTAGAACAAAACATAACAACATTCTTTGAGCAAAACAAACAAACTTAAAAACATATTGAGCTAACGCATCCAACATGGCAGCAGAGACTGAAATCTCTTGAAGTGACTATACCACTTTTCAATAACAACACCGGCGTTCAAGAAACGCCACAAACTACTTTTATGTCTTAAAAGTTATTGCTTATACACTTAAACCAAATATACAGCAGACGGTCGAGGAAAGAATAACAACTTTTACTTTGGCCTTTTATGGGGTTGATTCAATACTATGGAGCTCATTTATGAGTCATGCTACAGCAATAAGTGAACGGCAATAAGTGGTTGAAAACGAAGCGATGCCAATATTGCAGAGGTACCTAAGTCAGTGAAAATAAGAACAAACATTGGTGGCACCAGATCTGGCTAAGGGGATCATTGATCTGAACATGAAGGGAAAGGGATATAATATTACCATATAACAGGCTTAGATAAATTGTTTGATTCTTGATCATCCGATGGGAAGGGACTAAACCACGTATTGCAAGGCAGCTTGGGGGTTTCTTCAAAAACGGTAATTCTCCCCTTTTGAATATGGGCAGTGAATGAATCACACGGAAGGCTTTCAAGTTTACTCGTTTGTTTGAGGAACGCAATATACCTGTCCATGTCTCATAGCCATTATCTGAAGGCCTTAATGCTGTTCCCTTTATGAAATGAAACTTATTAGGAGTTGACTGCAATATTCATCCAATTTTGAATGTTAAGTATGTGGAATTGAATATGTTACGTTTGTGTTGAGAATATTACGCATATAAGAACCTTCCAAAAACATATGAGCAAAACATCGATAAAGGAATGCCATGGAATACAACGAAGAAAAAACTGGAGGCGACAAAGTGGTTTCAGAAACTAAAGAAAGAAAAGATTTCCAGAGCTCAATTTAGTAGGTTTTATTAAATTTGTCTAAATGGAAATGAATTCAGAATTGAGCTAATTATATAGACAGCTAAATAAATAAGGACGTTCTAGTTTTATAACTCAATTTGAAGAAGAAGAAGAAACAGAAAGGAAAGGGCAACATGGGGATTATGTGCGTACATAGTTTCATTCAAAAATCCCAATTACCCAAGTATCAAATTAAACAGACGCTTCTTTGTAGTTTCAATATGCTTCTCAAAGTGTTTTCAAAAATACATTTGTACGTCTCTACCAAGTATGAAATGTTAAAGTTAAATACCTGACATCTGCGCGCAAAGCGAGCAAAGATTAATCAGGTAGACCCTCTCTGGCACTAGAAAGCCAGCGAGCAAAAATCGAGGCTTCACAAGGAGCCTGGTAGGTACGATTCAAGCTAAGTAATCGTTTTCAAAGGAGGAGTGTTTTCAGGACTGCTGATAAATATTAAAATATTGGAACCCTGACATCAAAAATCCCCTTCATTATTTTGCAACAAAAGCACGTCTTTATACGCTTTTAAGAACGTTTTATTTTCATAACGGGAAATGGAAACCATTACATATTACCACCTATAGCAACACAGAGCAACAAATGAAAGCATAATATACAGAGTCCAGAAAAGTGGCAATCAGATGAAAATAGAAAAAAATATTGCAAATATGTGTTGGGCTAGAGCGGGTGGATGCTCGAATTTGCTCGTTAAATTGCATGTCCTTAGCTGAGGGATCCGTAATTTGTAGGCCATCAAAACCAAATGCTAGATAACATATATATATATTTACGGCTTTTCGGTGCCCAACTGGCACTGATGCAAGCCAGTAATCAAGTGCTATCAGTCTTAAATGATCAAGCGTACTATAGCTTGTTGGACAAACGAGCTACATCAATAGTCAGCTAAACAAAAATCATTAAATTCTCAACTAACTGGATAAAATTACGACGTCATCAAACAAAACTATTGTGTAAAATAGTCAAAAAGGCGATGAAAAACACACCCCTCTAGATTAAAAGAAGTCCCACATGACCCATAGATCAACTTGATTATTTATGCACATTTCTATAGAAACACCAGACAGAAACATATTTCCTGACTGCATTTTTTAAGAATAAAGTATATCCAGTTTTATTATGAATTTATTTATAAATCATGGGGACTTCTTTGTGTTCTCAGTTTGCAATCAGACTGGTCTTGTTAGGCCTTCGCTAAGACAAACGTGTCATATTTCTAATTAAGCTCTTCTGATAGCGATCAAATCGATTATGTTTATTTTATTTGTCCCTGAAGTAAAACTGCAAAGTTCAAAGCTCATAGACCATGGATCAAAATTAAAAGGTCACGGATTATTCATGAAAAACATGAATTGTAGGTCAAAGATCACGTTCCAAAGAGACACAATATCCCGCTGGTTTGCCAGTCTAATTGTTAACACAGAACACAGGCTCCAAACATTCCCCTAGATAACCCCTTAAAGACCCTAAGACAACCTTAGGTAATGAATTTACAACAATGTAAAAATCAGCGTCGAACATAAGAGTGATTTAAATGATAAGTTCTAAAATACATATGCACACTACTTGCCAATAAATTAACTCTAACTTAGATATGTCATACATTCTTTAGGTTTGACTTGAATACAGTGAAATTAGTACGAAGTGCATGCAAACGATAAAATGGATACTGGGCAGTAGTTCTACTGAGATGAAATTAGAAGGCAATAACTCAAAAGCAAGTACTTTGGTCCTTCTCTAGCGATCAACTCACGAGATTGTGAAGAACGTTCGCTTTTTCTAAATTCTTTTTTAACATTGCCTTGTATATAATAGCAGATTGTCACCGTAAAATTTTTGAGCAATTGCCATTTAGCATTAAAATGCAATCATCGACCGTTTACATGCACTTAAAATGCGTAAAATATGTCCGATTTAAAAATGAATCAAAACGAAGTCAGCTTCATGAAAAATAAAGCAAAATTACAAATCAAACCTGAAAACAACGATGCAACCATTGTAAGAAGAAGATCACTTATCAATTAAACCATTGAAAAAGTCGGTTACCCATTAATGAAACCATTGTAAAAATAGGTTACTTACTATATTAACCATTGTAAGAATACGTTACCTACTTGTGAAACCTTTGTAACAAGTAGGTTATCTATTCATGTACCATTGTTTGCGTGAAAGACATGTTAATCCAGCAGCAACGTTGATAAATCAGTTCATGATATGAGACCGTTATATATTTGGAAGGTCTTTCAAAGATGAGTCAGTCTTCACCGGACTATAAAAGAATGATTTTGAGCCATTAAAAACGTGCTGAAATCACTGGCAACGATCGCTGAGATTGCTTATAGAAGTTACGTTGAAAGGGCAGTGATAGTAGAGAAAGAGAAACAACCTGCCTGAGTAGAGAAATATCCAGAAACCCTAGATAACACAAGACAACATCAATTATCCTTTGAAACAACTCTTAGCAGTCATTTCAGTACGATAATCGCTTCGTGGCAGTTAGCTTGTTGTAAAAATTCAAACCAAATTCAAAGGTCTTGATTTCAATATCAAACAAAATAGGAAAATGCGACCGGCAGTGCTGCGTTCGGTGTCAACTGCAAACCTAGCACTAGCAGTACGTCTAACAGGCCTAGCACTAGCAGTACGCCCGCCTTTCATAACTTATCTGGGATAACACAGTTCAATACCTATGTAGGACTAATCAAGTGCCAATATGCACCGAAGGTAAACGAATCTATCGCAAATTTTCTCTAAAAGCACAAGGAGATATTCCGATTTCAAATACAGTTTGTTGACTATCTGAATCAGTTAAAGAAATACGACGATCCAAGCATCGACAGTAACTAATATAGATTATTCAGAACAGGCCACTCCACAAACTGTCAATTTTGCTTCAAATAACACAAACAAATCACTAGTGCTGATGAGAGCATATAAATTAAGTCAAAATAACATTGAAACCTATAGAATAAAAACTTGAGGAATCCATCCACTTACCTCCCCAATTTCAATTTCTGTCTAACTTCCCTTATCTTCATTTGCAAGCTGAACTTAGTGGGGAAAATATCCTCGTGTTCCAACTGAAAGTCTTGCGTTACAGCCTCCGTTGGGTAATAGCCATGCTTTTGGAATAACTGCAAAACGAGGTTCCTTTTCTCATCAAGAAGCTTACGATTGGAAGTGACTGGTGATACTGGGCAAGAATTGTTGTTAGGCTGTGTAACATTGTTAAGAATCAGCCCTTGCTGTGTTGGGCTGAGATACGGATCTCTGCTGTACTGGGAATCTTTGCATTTGAAATGGATTGATATTTCTTTGTGTCTCTCTTGACATTTTTCATCGAATCCGTTTGAGCGGGCGATGTCTTCCGGACGAAATTTCGGCAACTTTTCGAAATGCTCTTTGAATTTCACTTCAGCAAGGACCCTTTAAAAGAAAGGGTGTCAATTTAAAGTGTTTTCACAATTCTACAAAATTAAATAAGCTATTAAATTTGTACAAGTGAATTAACTGATGCGTTCCTGAGAATATTTGGCGACTGTTCTTACTTTATAAGCATTCGTCATTACTGCCGTCCTACGTGAACAAGTAAAACAAAAAACTGTTTATGAATTTGAAATAAAATCGTTGGGTTGATGGTGAAGAGGCTGAATAACGATAAATGGTGATTACGACGACTATGATGATTTATGACCATGATTGATGATTACTCTTAATTATGATGATTTATGGTTATGATAATTAATGATAATTATTGATGATGATAATTTATGATTCTGGACGATTGATGCTGACAATGGTCAATGGACAATGATTGGTCTTGACCTACGGCGACAAATATTACAATGACGATAAAATGAATGCCATTTAAATTGCTGCAAAATGGTAATTAAATAAGCAAAAGCATCTTACCTTTCCATACCATCATCCATTTGCTTTTTAAGAAAAGATTTAGAAGGACTTGTGGATGTCGAATTGGCTCCGTTGTATGTGTCTCCATCATCCATCATGATTTTCTGGTCCTTGACAAACTCTGATGAGCTGGAACGGGACCCGTTCTCAAGGTCACTCCTGAAATTCAACTTCTCTGGAGGAAATGCGTACGCCTTCTCTGAAAAAGGACCGGGACTAGACAAGGGGGTGTTGCCAGCTGATCTGCAAACATATTTACTCCGCTGCCGACTTTCCACGTGGCTGTTGGCTGACACTAACATATTTGGGTACGTCAATCCAGTCGACAGATTGGGGGTGATAGCACGCCGTGTGTAGTCTTGTGGCCTTATTGGTTCATGATATTGATGTGCACCATGGTACTGGTAATCCATAATGCTGGCAGGCATACCTTCGTATGAACTGTTTCTTGGCATTGCATCAAATGAACTAGTACGGGGCATACCTTCAAATGAGTTACTTCGAGACATTCCTTCAAATGAGTTACTGCGAGGCAGCATCTCCTCTCCGAAAAACTCACGATGATCATTGTAGTTGCGCCTCCTCGACTCCATTTCCAAAAACGCTTGTGATTGGCCGACACCAACCATGTATATATTCGTGACATTGTACCCACCAGGGTGTTTCTCATTAACCGAATGAGTGTCTTTCTTTAGCAACTCGGTTATCGAGTGGTTGGACTTGTGTTTGTTTACATCGAGGTGCCTTTCAACGAAGCCAGGTCCATCAGTTATTGATTCAAGGGGCTAGGAGTGGAAAATAACACTGTTATAACGGTGAACTTTCTACTTTTTGTAGGCTAGAAATTACACATAATCACCTGAATAAAATGATTCCCATTTCGACAGTTATGGCAAATTTTGCTAATAGCAGACCTGAATTCAAGTTTTCAAGTAAATAAAATATCGAAGGCTTTTCGCGAAATATGTCCCACCTCTATTGCAGACTAGTTGGTATAATATTTTAGAACTTCTATTTTCAAAATATTTAGATTTTTATCGTAAGATACATTTGTAACAAAAGCACCATCAATATACAGCAAGTTTGAATCTGTTTTACAGTTGATCAATATGATAAAATCCACATCACACATTCACGAATCTGGAAAGAAGAATTACCTTCCCAGAATTCCATCGGCCATCCCTATGAGACTTTCCATTGACCCGAAAGTCATCGTTGAATGCAATCTTCATCGTTTTCGTCATTGTTTTTGGCTTTTGGATGTGTCCATGTTGTGCTGGCTCCAGGTATCCACTCTTTCCAACTATTTTAACAGGTGAGTAGGGTGGTGACGTAACAGCATCAGAGACCACGCTGGTCGATGTCGTAGACTTGACACACGAGGAGTTTGAATTCCGACTGAAGGCCTCGTTATCTGATGTATCAGAATCTTCAGTCACGTGTTCTTCGCATTCTAACTGAACCTCGTCCAATTTTTGTTGGCCTTTCAAATCTTTTCGTGTGGCCTGAGCGAAAAGAAAAGAAAATATTTTATAAAGAGTATTTAAGATGAGTGGATCTTCAAGTGCAATTTGGGAATTTTTAGCTGTGATTTCTAGGTTTTATTACTTTTACCTTGGGAAATCCTCAATACAGAGACTTTAGGACCATGCCAGAGCAATGGGTGAAGCATACGGCTGACCTTGCGAAGGACAACAATGCAAGACCCATATGTTTAGCAAATATTGTCAAAATGCATCTATATTGGCAAATACTGATCGATGAAGCCAACTGTTCACTAATTTCCAAAATTAATGAATAATTAACAAGCTCAGTTCTATGGTGGCTGTTTCGATAAAAGCCACTAAAACTATCAGTTTGTACGTCAAACCAATGCGAAATAAGCCAGATGAGCCCAACCTAGTGACGTAACAACAACCACGATAATTCAATCATGTGTACTTAATAAGCGAAACTCATAATTTCATTATACTGTGAACAGACCAAATGCATAATAAGTTTGATTGGAGGCCACTCACCGTGTCAGTTCGGTTCATGATATCATCTGCAATTCTGGCAGTATCTGATAACAGAATATTGAAGATGAAAAACTGCAGGTTCTTTAAACCAAGGCATTGATAAAATCAGCATAGGATATGAGTTGATTAAAAAGCCTGTTACATTTACAGTGTCTGATGCAATTAGGGTCAGAGCACATTTTTCATGAAGACTGAATTTGTCGATCAAAGATTCACTGATCGCCAACGATAAGAAATTTCGACTGAAACCACGCAGAGCTTTAATAGAATAATAAAACCCATAAATTTTCTTTATGAAACTGTGAAAGGGATATTCGTGAAACCTTAAAAATTTTCCTAACTATGATATGAAAAAAATAGAAAAAGGCGACTGGTCGTGAACATGACTAAGACTCAGGGATCAATAAACATAGCCACGTGCCCGAGGCATTCTAACGTTGACTTCAACATGATATGATGAAGATCATTAGGCGACGCAAGAATCACTGTTTTGTATTACCACTGGAATGATCTTTTATGGGGGTTTTTGCGTCAGAAGTTGATCTTGGTCTCTTCTTTTCTTTACTGCTCCATCTCCAGTCTGGATGTGCTTTATAATGAGCTTCTTTGACCTGTAAAGTTTAAATTTTTATTAGTAGAACAGGCGTTGAACAACCGAGATCAAAAGCACCAGACAACTCAAAATTTCAGTGTCTGTTTCGGCAGTAGGCGTATGTTTATCACGACACAGGCAACGTTTGCATCTCAAATAAAAAAATGAAAAACCTGGCCATATGAGATTGCAAGGCCTGCAGTTCTTTTTCTGTAAAAGAAATTCTGCAAAATTCCACAAGGATCTAAAGCCAGGGAAAACAGGGAGTAGGGGTTTTTTCCATTGCCAACTTGGCAGACAAGGTCTATTTGTAAACGAAAACTTCCACAGAAACATTACAAAAAGAGAGAAATCAGCTGTTGACGGAAAAGAAACAGCTGGAAAGAACTGTTTTGAGGATATGAGAAATAAGGTAAGGGCAGATTTGTTCTTAAAAAGTATCATAAGAAAACTTCAGAGTTTCATCGTTTGGATAATCCATTCCTACTAAGAAAGAGAAAATATCGACGCAATTATAAATTCTATTTAAACTCATTTTGACAAGCCCAGTTTGAAGGTTTTTGCAAACGTTTGTTAAAGCACTTAATTTTCGAAAAAGTTAAGATAAGATGTTACAAAGTTATATCTTAACTGTACAAAATTTCTTAACTTTTCATTTTTAGTTGATAGTTCTTCTGTTGATATTTCAAAGTTAATGTTTTTATTATTCCGTGTTTCATTTATTTCTCTCCCCCATCTTATTCCGGATACTTTTAAAATCTAAAAAAGGTTTCATTACGAGCTTTATGATAGTGGTTATTCTAAAACTTTGAAAAACTTCCCTATTTCAAGTCAACATCACAATAAACGCGACTATGCGACACCTTCAGTCAAAATTCATTTCAGTTACAGTTTCTGGCCATCCCTAAGGCACCATAATTCAAAAATTTTTCTTGCCGCCAACCACGATGGCGGTCTTTCGTAAGCACTTTCAAAACTTTGATATTTTGGCCCCTCCACTTTCAAATACGTTTCGCCGGCCCTGTATCCAAATGTGTTGAGCTTTAATTTGTCAACTTATACAAGTTACAATCACCGCCTTTTCGACTTATCTCCTATAAGCAATCTAAATATGGCATCAAAATTTACATAAAAACAACATGAAGATGCAAGCCATTTGAAGACGCGTACGAAAACTAGGCCAAAAGAACTTGTCTTACCTGATTGGCCAGGTTGTAATATTCCTTTCTCTGGTCCGGTTTTAACGCATACCACCATTCGCCAAGTATCTTGCTCACTGTCCTGTTGTCTTGATTAGGGTTTTTCTGGTGGACAAGGTGGCGATGCGCTTTGGAGAAGATCATGAATGCATTCATCGGTCGTCGTATGTGATCTTTTCCCTACAAAAACATGACAGTTTTAACTGACCGTAAATACAATGCAGGTTTAAGTTTAAACAAGCTTCCTTAGCAGGCACTCTTGGGTTTGAGTGTTTGAAAGGGACTGGGTTGCATATCTCACAGATTCCACTTCCACAAATTTCACTAAAAGTTCCTTTAACCAATTCTATAAATAATTTGAAGCGTTTGGTGGGCGGCAGCTTTCTGCAGAGGATATCTTAAGGCGAGGCAAATTTCTCTGTTTCTAAAAACACCTATAAGTTTTCTTAAACTCATTTGACCACTATGCTTGTTCAACGGGAGTTTGGATTTAAAATCACCTGATTGCTCTCTCCTTGAGGGGGCTTTCTCCTCGATTAGTTTGAGAGAGCTCCTCCTTAAGAAATTCTCTCCATATAATTTACCTTGTTATCTTTGTTTCCTTGTTATCGAATGTATATTGTAATAATCCCACTTACCGATGTATAATTCTTGTAAAATTGTCTTATTTTCTTGTAGTTTAGCTACTTTGTTTGTTTAATCATCGCGATAAATTGTATGTTGTGGAATTAAAAACACGAAAACTGAACTGAGCTACTACCGTCTTAAGTATAAAATCGTGCATTAATTTCTATTTCGAAATAAACTCAAATACCTTTTTATTCTGTTTGGCAAGATCTTGTTCACCCAAAGGAATCAGACTCGCTGGCCTATTTGAAGGAGTCTTAGATGGATCAGCCTCTCCAGTACCTCCTGTTCCATCCGCACTGTCAACACTTACGTCTTTTTCCTCTGAATCAGTTGTTTCAGGGGCAAACTGGCGCTCGCCATGTTCTTCCTCCCTCCCAATTTCTGAACCACGTGGCAAGTTTGATGGCCTAACAAACACACTAGTTGCAGAGCCGACGGGTACGTTGCCTTTGTTCATGCGAACCAAATTAGGGCTAACTGGAGGCGGTGAAAACGCTGGCTTGGTGGTTTGGGACACCACTGGAGAAACGCCAGATGCTTTTCTATTTTCGACAGGGTGAATAGGTGAAAAAGACTGCTTTTTCTCGTTGGTCTGCCTTTGAGCAACAGTTGTTGTTGTACTGGTCGGTGTCTCAAAGACAGAAATACCTGAGTCAGGGCTGTTTTGAGCCAGCCGCCTTCCGTTAGGTGATAAATCAGACAGTTTGCTTCCTTTAGGCGTGCTACTGGAGAGTGAGGTTACAGGGACTCTGGGCATCGCATGAGTCGGGCTGATATGAAACGGCGAGGCTGGTGGTCCAAGTCTTGGGGATGGCAGACCAGGAGTACTAGGGCAAGAGTAGGGTGTGGCACATCGACTAAGGCTCATCAAAGAAGAAGCAGCTTCAATAACAGACGCATCGTGCTCGCTATAATCAAATGCACTCGACCCACGCTCGCCCTCTTTGCTTGTGCTTTTCTGGTCTTCTTCTTTGCTTAACTCCATGCTGTCCTGAAGTTTACTCCGAGATCCCGACTCGCGAAGGCTTGTAAGGTGTCTGGAGCAGTAACCCTTTTTCTGAGATTCTTTCTCACACCCCTCAACCATACATAGCTTTCTCCATTGCTTGCCATTATACTTCTTTCTAAATCCATTTGGTGTTACAATAACCTGTCCTTTATGAGGCGTTGGTGTCCGGCTTGATCGAGCAGAGCCACGGCTATGTGGGGTGGAGCTGCGACTTGAGCAGGGCCTTTGCGAAGTAAATACTTCCTCAAGCTCGTGGTCGTCCGCGCTAAAATCGGTGTCCGACATGGCACTGTCCGTTTCTTCCCGCGATTTAGGCCTAGCAGAGACGTTCAATTGATCACTGCTGCCTTTTGCCATCAAAGGTTGCAACAAACGTATATCGGTGCGACTGACCCATTTCGAAATCCCTTTTGATTCAGCATCGTTATCAAAAACCTTTACTAGGTACTGCAAAGGCCTATCCTTTATCTCCATGACATTTACAAGAGTAAACGCGTCCTCTTCTTTGTTGAGCCTCGCACAAACCTGATTACCAACTCTGACGGCCAACGGCGACGGTGTCGTATCAGGAACAACATCTAGGCCATTTCCACTGTCTATATTAAACACGTAAGTTTGCTCGGCATCATCATCAAAATTTACACCGACTTCGCCGTTTGACTTATAAAATTTTACAGTACCGGGTTTAAAAACTTTGCGATATCTTCCAAGGACTTGTGTTGATGTTAATGATTCTAAGAGAATTTCTCCTGCAACTCCATTACATGGCCTTTTGCAGTCTTCCGTCCCATTTTCACCCAAAGGCACCGAATCAGTGTCAAGCTTCCTTTTGGTAGCACGCTTCATATTTGACAACTTTGGTTGCTACAAAATACAAAGATCATTTCAGCTAAACAAAACTGCATGCAAAAAATAGCATCAGCTACGATGCCATGTTACAAAGGATCCATAATTCGCCATTCTTGTATAAATATATTATATCTGCCTCACACTAGAGCCAAAATAATTTCCCCTCCTCAGAATTCACGCTACAGATTACAGAATTGCTCAACATTGTACCCAAACTTTGCAAAGATAAACGTTGAAGCTTAATGCTGCGGTAGTAACTGTCAGGATGAAATGTGAGAATATTTAGTAACAAGATGGAATTGTGTTATAGTTCGTTTTTACAACTTTTTATCTATAGATGAAAGTTCACGATTGAGCAGAGGTGAAACCCAAACAGCCATAGTGACCACTGCGAGCCCAAGAAATGTTTGATAAGCAAAAAAGAACTTGAGTTTGAAGTATGCATCCATTTACAAGAAACTTCGACGGCATTACCAAATAACAGCTGGTGAGATGCATTGCGTACAAATAAATGATGTCAGCGGTATCTTCAAACAGTCGAATTAGTCCAATTTTGCAATCCGAACAAAAATATAGCATCGATCGTTTAGAGAAGGTGCACACGACTGATAGCGACTCTTTTATGGTTGAAACTCATTCACGTATTTGATATTAACAGATTCTTTGCTTCCTGCTTGGAAACTGTCGAGGCAACTGTAGACGTTACTTATGTTTACCAAGAAGAGCAACTACACGGGAATTCCTGGAAGTAACGTCATTGAAAGTTTTAAAAAGACAAGAGTAGCCTCAGTAGCCGAACTCTCAAGCCACGTCCTAATCAAGCGAAAACATCAACTGCCTCCTTTTTACAAAACAGCAATAGCAAACCAGCATAGTGCAGATGGGCATCCACGTTTTGCGGGGCAAGAGCTCGTAATAAAATACCTCTCTTCATAATAATATGATTAGCCTCACAGAACTGCATTTTAAACACGGATTTTCACTGTGAATGTACGCAATAATTCGTGGTTTTCTCCATCTACACGTTATTTTCTATCTTCTGCACTAAGACGGGTTTTATCATAAATGTGTACGAGTGTAATAACAGGTGACAATAACTGAACAGTGAGACTTTGCATGCAATCAGCAAAAAAGGTAAACAAAGTTAGATAACAAGCAATTTCGCTCGTTCAAAACTGGAATATAGCAGGTGATAATAAATTTTTGTCTGACATATGTTAATGGTTAGGGGAAACAATCATGAGCTCATCGGTCATACAAAGACTGTTTGCTCGCAGCTTTGTTGGGTAAACCAGAGAAATCTACTAAGCTAACATCAATCGACCTGATATACACGCAATGTAATACAAACTTTGCAAAGCAAAGCTGCATTCCTCAAAAAATGCAGATTGAAATTATAATCAAGCCAACCATGGAAACCAAACTGAGGTTTCGCAAAGCAAACATACGAAATTTACTGCTAGCATCATTGGCAAATCCCATAGCCAAAACATATTTTGGAAAAGAGGGGACTCATTGACCCCTAGAAAGAGAACAATGAGAACGAAACTAATAGATCACATAGAACCTTGGTAACCTAACTTGCTGAACAACAAAACAATGACGGGTTTACCAAATAAATCAAATGCTAGTCCAAGTTTTTTCTTCATTCAACGAACAAACAGGCTGTTTCATGTAGCCGCTCATAAAAGCATGCCCTTTCATGCATATTTGCAAGTTGGTTTACTACAAAAAAGCTGTAGATTGTCACTGGAACCAGCGGGGTGAAAGAGCGAAAGATTGGAATCTCCTTTAAGTACAATTCTCAAATTCTTTGAAAAATGCAAGCTTACCAAAGTAAAATTATAGGAAAAGAGAGGCAAGAAACTGCCTTACCATCAAGAGTGAGCGAGAGTACTTGCTAAACGTTTGACTTGGTAGCAAACACAAGCTACACATAGCAAGTTACACAGGACTAGGACTAACGGTCGAAATCTTTACTTATAGAATGTGGTCTGTAAACACCGTAACGATGGTGCTAAAGGTCTTCAGGGCCTGGTCTCTTAGTTTTAATGTATCGGTTGCAAAAGACGGCGGTCAACGATTCCCAAGGAGCAGGAAAGTGGCATGCGCTCGTTTCTAGCAAAGCAATCACACGCACTTCAAGATGTTTATTTTTCATAAACAGACTGCAGGGAGGTTTTATAGCATGTTTGTATTCTTTATGCTGTATTTAATTGGATCACGCCCTGGATCGAGAATAAAGGCTGCACGCGATGCTCACTTGAAAGCAAAACATCAACAAAGCTGGAAAATACAAGCAATATTTATGAATCAATCTGTATATCTAACAGGTTTGAAACCACGTGTACAAGGAATAAAATGCGTACGAAGCTTATTTCCGTAAACACGATGTTAAGTCACGCACACAAGTGGTGATTTTTCAAGATAAGCACACCTAGAGTATGGCTCAGGTCCTTTCAGCGAAATAATTCGGGGTGAGGAGGGGGGTTTCTTTGGGTTTATCTTTGCTTTTTAGGGGCTTGACCACTGACACCCCGTGCTGAGTCTTCAACAACAGGCGGGAATTAATATGCAACGGTTATTATTGGTTCGCGGGATCTATTCTCTTTATGCATGTATCGTCCTTTATGCATGTATCGAAAACCGAGTCAGTATTGGAAATACTTGCATCAGCAATACGGCGTGACTTGACACCAAGGTGTGTTATCGTGAAAGCGGCTATTCTGATTCATTTAGGGAAAGCAGTAATATCACAGTGACAACTGGAAAACTTCTCGTTTGTATCCAATCCCGAAAATTTTGTGGTTATGAACTGTTTGGCTGTTGATCACAAAAGTAATTGAGCATTTGTAGTAGACCAACTAACTGTAGAGCAATGATATCCGTTTTAATACCGTTTTTATGCAAACAAATTTAACCAAAGTGGTATCAGTTGCCGGATGATCGATGGGGACAGTTGCCTGATGATCGCATCAAGTGTGAAACTCGGACTAGCAACTTTGAACCGTCTTGTTCCTTACACCAAAAGCGTCGAAGTCGTACAATACATGTAATCATCAAGTTGCAACATATTGTGTAAGCTTCACATAATCGACAAGTAGATTCGCCACAAACAACTATTCCAAAGAAACAAGTACGACTGCCAAGAAACAATGATGTAGCGCAATAGAGGATGACATCATTACCTTCACTTAACATTAACAAAAACCCACTGACTTCAATCTTCAATTCATTGAATTCGCTTGATGACACATCTACTGTTGTCTCACAAGGAAGAATGAATGACACAATGGCATGATCTGAGGTAGAATTTAGGTTCTGAGAGACAGCTGGATTTCAATTACGCAAACAGGAGCTTTCAGCAAAATATACGTTATAAATGATTCATAATTATGAACAGCCAATTTTGACTTCTAATTTGCAGAAATCTCACAATTTCTGTGTTTTTCTTCCTTGCATATGATACAAATCTCTATCATCACCATCTGTGAGTTCATGTTACAAGCTAAAAGCATTGCAAGTTCACATGTTATGCCAGTTCATAACTGAGAAATATCCACACTAGCTGTCTAGCAAATTATAAAGGGCCTTTTGGACCAGGTGTTCTGTAAACCATTTAGCAAAGATGTTGAAGTGATTGGGGGGGGGGGTCGTTGGTGGCCCCTTTCACCTGACCTGCTTACAATTTTGACAATGTATTTAACTCCATGATGCTAGAGCCTCTTTGCCCCAGCCTCTTACATGTATATATGCATCTATCAACAAGTTAGAGCAATTATACAAACATGCAGTAATGAAGACAAAAATTAGTTGTGTGGAAGGGTATTTCCATCAAAAACATGAAAATCTGTGCTAGATATGAGGCCATGCATAACCTTTGGAAACTTGAGGATGGCCTTATTGGAAGTAAAATTTGTTCCCATAATAACATCATACCATAACTTTGGTGATATGAAAAAAACTTTGAATAGCTTTACTGATTATTTACAAAGTTAAGTTATTTTTGCTTCCATAAAAAATTTTATTTGAAGAAGCTAATAACATGATATCAAGAGAACTAAGCATCCCATTCCAACATAAAACCATCTAAATGAAAATTTAAATTGCTATAAATGAAAAATTAAGATGCGATGAGAAATACATACTAAAGAAAATAATCATTATGTTCAGAAAAAATGAAACACAAAGGTTTGTTTTTCATCAAGCATACAGACAGGGTAGGGGTGGGTAGTTACTCTTTTACAAGGGGGAACCCGAAAAGCCTGAATTGTTTTAGAGGGCTGAAACAAAGGATAACCTAACTCTGTGCAACATTCATCTTCTCCTAATGTAAAAAGCAATAAATTGTACTATACTCTTGCTGGAACTAGTTACCAGAAAGAACTCTTTACAAGAGGGAACCCAAAAAGCCTGAATTGTTTTAGAGGGCTGAAACAAAGGAAACCTAACTCTGTGAATATTCATCTTCTCCTAATGTAAAAAGCAATAAATTGTACTATACTCTTGCTGGAACTAGTTAACATAAAGATACACTTAATGAAGACTTTTATAAACATACCTGATGCATAAGTATAGATGCTGTAAACTAGTATATGTGATTGTGTTGATGGTGTGCTTTAGAAATGTTAATGTATTGTGTCCAAGTGGCAAGAGGGACCTCTCTTTGGGATACACATCCGTCACCTGAAGTATCAAAATGTCATTTAAATGTCAAATTTCATAAGTTCCTGTTTACACATACATTCCTTCAAGATAACTCTAATTCTAATTTTGTTAATTGAAAAAATTATATTTCAAATATGTATTTGGACATTGCTTTTAATTCAACAGAAATCTGTTGCTAATCATTGTCCATTTTCCAATCTTAGAAAAATAATTTGATCAGAAAGCCACCATGTTATTCATTTGATTTGTTCATTTGGAATAGATTTATTGATAAATTACCAAAAACATATGCTTATGCAAAAAGAAACTGAAGCTAAAAATAATAAACATGTATGGGAATACTTGCTTATTGTTATGTCGAAATAAAACTTTCTATATAGGTATAAGCTCTGAATAGCTTTCCAAATCATATAAGCATGACCAAGAAAATGAAATTAATAATGTACCATGTCCACAAATGTAAGTCAGTAGATTTTTGTGTGATACTTTGTTCAGACTAGCTAATTGTTACCAGTGCCTGACCTAGCCCGGGCTCAGCTCAGGCCACTTTGTTCTAGATTCTAGTGTGGGCTGCCCTAAACCAAGCATCTAGGCTATGTTAATGTGGGTTGCACTTGAGCCAGGCCTCAGTCTAAACTTACTAAAGCCCATTTGTAAAAGAAGTGGAGCTGTGTTCGCAGTTTTGTTTGTATTCCAAAGAAGAAAGGGAGTTATTAACATTCAGAAAAAGCTTTTACATCTCATTCCATCAGAAAACTGAATTCTTCAACTAGTCAAAAAGCATGGGTTGAGGTCAATTTTTCCTTACAGGCATTTCAGCATGTTCTCTTCAATTCTGGAAGTTATCCACACTTAGAAACAAGGGTTAGATAAGAATAATTCTCATGCAAAATTTTGAAGCATGAGAATAATTTAAAAAATTTCTCCCTTCCTTTTTAAATTGAAGTTCTTTGGTGGAAAGATGGTGATCGCTATTCGGGTACCTGGACAAAAACATTAGGTCTAGACCAAGCCCAGTTAATGTTGAATTCGCCTTCTGAAGAGATGACAAAACCTCAAGTGAGAAAAGGGCTTATACTGGTAGAGGCCTGTAGTTGTCAATGCATTCATAAATTCAACCATGGATGTAAAGCAAGGTTTTGTAATCAAATATTTATATGTTGCATGCAAAAGCTCAAAGGGGTTTAAAAAACATTTAATTTAACAATTATAAGAAAATGGGTTGAATAACTGCTACTGGGATATAAGTGATACATCAATTTGGAAGTGAAAAACCCTGTGTATAAAACCACTAGCTAATATTATTATTAAGAAAGATTGGCTTAAACAGATTTGAATGCAGATAAAAAACTGTTGAAACTAAGATTGGTTTTCCAACCCTTGTGCCTTTTGAATAAAACAATAAAGGAATTGAATGAAGGAGTAAAGTAGTGAGTTTATTTTATTATCGGTAAACATGTTTTGACGCAGCGGTGGTCATAAACAAAAACTGACAGGTATATGTTAGGGTCGGCCAGAAAAAATTCTTCTAATTGGCAAGCTTCTGTTTCCAACAGATACTTGCTGACAACAATTAACTATTTATGATTCTAAACCAATGCAAATAAGTTATATGGATCAAATCTTGCTTTTTCAATCAATTCCAAAAGATAACCAGAACGACTCATTCCTAATGATAAACTGAAGTCTAAAGTACCTAGCAGTCAATTCTGAGACGGGATATTTCATCATTCGTTTAGCGTCCAAAGCCAAAACAGTCCTTGCAAAACGATTTACTTATAACCTATCAATGTCATTGCTGAATGCTTGAATAAGATTTTCAGACTTAGCTCCTGAGGGCTATTAACTTCAGGTTGGATTTTCTGTTCTATTAATTGCAAACTGCGACTTCTTTGGTTGTGTGTAAACTATCTGAGCACTTCCAGAGAAAAACAAAGTCACGAAAAATGAAAATCAGCTTAGAAAGTCACTAAACACATAACATAGCATTGCTGTGTTTAAATATGATTACAAAATACTGCTTGTCAATTTAGTAACTGGATGAGACTTTGCTCGAATATGATATTAGCTAACAATGGACAAGGAACGATTCTCACTGGCCTAAAGTAGGCCCACAGTAGCGGCGATTTGGTTTGTAATTTGAATATAGAAGGGCTTCGCATAAAGACCATTTGATTGTGTATCTCAATGTCTGGAGTCTTACCTCTGCACATCTCTATAGGGTAGACATGAAACAATCCTCTTCATGAGTTTCAGAGGCCTCGGCCGACTCATCCAACATTTTCGAGGTGAACCAAGCAAGCAGGCATTGAAGACCAAGCAAGTGAATGAACGTATGTCCTTTCATTTGGTCACGTGCTAACGGCCAACAGGTTACTTTATTGTGTTGTTTAATCCTGTACGTCCATTAGCCGCTAGCCTTTGTCCGAGTTCGAAGAAATTTTTTCGGACAATAATTTTGAGGATTTCATAATTCCATGACATACGACGTTGTTTACACGTTTTAGTATAACCGTGAATTGTTTTCTTGAAATAAAACGGCAGATTAGAGAGCGAAAAATGATTCCTTTTTTTGATTCATATCAATCAGCCTGATAGCAATGTCCTTTGTATAAGGTGAGCGAATAGAAATCTCGTGTACCTTTGGATGAAATCCTTATGTTTTATATGAAAATCCCAAGAAATAGCTTCATTTTGATAGGAATCCCGCACGCTTTTCATAAGAGTTTATTGCCCCCATAATAAGGGGACTGTGGATATAATTTTACTTCAATGATAAAATATGGATAAGTAGGGTTGGCAATGCCCCAATTTCCTTCTTGTTTTCCTCTAATGATGTAATGTTTCATTGTTAATTGGTTCAATTGTTTTAAGCTTTCCTTTATACTCCATTCAGTGACTCACCTGTTATCTGGTACTACCCTCAATACAATTGATTGCGGCTGCAGGGCAATGGCCGTGTGGCCAAACCAATGTTTAACACTGCGTATTGTTCCTCAATTACCAGTAAAGGAATATGTTAGGGCATGCTCAGTTTATCGACAGTGCACGTAAAAATTATAAGATCTTTTGGTCAGCTTAAATACGGCCTTTTTGACTCGGTAGAATTAAGTTTATTTACCAAATTTTATCTGCAGATCGTAGCCTGAATGCGATAAAAATAGAACGTATTGAGGGGATGAGTAACTTCATAAAAAATGAAGAAGGAGCAATTTACTAGTTTGGAATCTGCATACGTTGTCCACCCGATAATACGTCAATTCTTTTCGTTCTATTCTTTGTTTCAATTTTTATGGAACCTCTGTCCACCGGCGGGCCCGCGTGTTGTATTTTGGTCTTTTCGTTTACTTGTTTGATTTTAATCTTAATTTTGATAATGATTTAATTTTAATTTTGAATAATAAACTAGCAAGTATCCTGATTTATCAAACTGAAGTCTGTTACTTTAGTTCCATTTTGCTTATTTTAGTATTCTTATTTATCTAGTTTTGTTTTTTAGCTGTTGTTATGTTACTATTAACATAATCTGTTTCATTCATATTGTAAATTGTTGTTAAATTGTATAAAGGGCCAGGGGCGGATTTAGCGGGGGGCGTAGGGGGTGCGACACCCCCCCCAATAGTTCTGTGTCCTTCGGTAAATTTTATTTCATTCGGTAAAAATCATTTGTTGGTAGTCAATAGTATCAAATAGCAAAGTAACGCCAAGATTTTACTTTACTTAATTTTATCATTATTTATCTTCTTATCAGTAGCGTAGCGTGGGGGGGGGGGATATTCTCAAATGTATTATAAGCTAATTTCAAGGGCGTCGTCGCAAAAATTTTCTGCTCGCTTCCCCCGCAGGAGACCCTCTTCTCTCTCTCTACAGAATGTTCAACACTTTCCCCTCGTTTTGGGATTTGTATAGAAAAGTCTTTACGTCCTTGAGACATTCCTCATAAAACAGAAACTAAAATGCTAAAGTAATCCAATCCTAAAAGGAACTGGATTCTGAAATGCTTTCCGTGGACTTTGCTCCAAGGAAAACGGACTTGGTTTAAAACTTTTGAGTTGAGTACTGTTAATTATTTTAGATATTTGATTAAATCTTTGGAAAATCACTTTTTACACGTAGAGATTCCTCGCCTTACACATTTCAGGATATAAACGTTAGTGGAATCGTGAAGAAAATAGACAGGTGTAGAATATGGTCAGCCACCTATGACGTTGGATAGAGGGAAATTGCAAAGTAAAAATGCCATGGTTTGGTCGAACTCATTTACAAATGGGTGTTTTCCCAAATTCTTAGGGGTGTGATCAGCAAAAATATTTTCTTCTTTGCCCTATCAATTTTCCAAACCTGGCCACGCCACAGTTAAAAACAAAATTTAAAAAATTAGCGTTTCCATCATTTTCCAGTGACCTGAAGGGTGTGGCACCAAAATTAGTGTCTAACACCCCCCCGCCAATCATTGTTGCTTAAATCCACCCCTGTAAAGGGCACTTGGCTCGATAGCTCATCTGAGATTTTTTCAAGTGTCCTAAGCTTACCTAATTAATTTTAAATCGTATTATCAGTATATTGTAATTAGAAGTTTGAATCATCAATATTAAATGAAATGAAGTCTTTTACTGCAGCTTTAAAACTACTTGCTTCGCAAAAAGTGGGGGCCATGCCAACCTCCCCCCCCCCGGTGGCGTGAGCCCTGCACCATATCCATATCCAACTCCTCCATTCCAGTCTGATGAATGAATGTTGTAATTTTCCACAACCCATTGCTGAAATCGTTCAAAATTTTGCTGAAAATAAATTCCTCTTTAATGCATCTTTATTACGGTTGTTAACAAATGTTTTACTTGTTGTTGGTTTGTTATCATTTTAAACAATTTTTCAATTTTTTTCTTCTCTCATCTTTAGAAACATGAGAAAGCCTTTTTAAACACCTCCTTCTGATTGTGATGTTCCAAGGCTCAAACTTTTCTTATTTTATAAAGCTCCTCATTTGAAATTTGATCTGGCCATCTGACCCCCACAACCCTTTTATGAGAATATACACCCATTGCTGTCCATATTGAAGTCTGCTAATTTTGACATTCGACAATACTCAGAAGCGGAGAAGCCTCGTCAAAGGAGACCTTCAGTGCCATTTACTAGTCATATTGTTTCTGACTGAAAGCAAAACTTTCTTTCCTCATAGCATAAATGATACTTCCCTTTCATTTTCAAGACGCAGCACCTAATACTACTGTAATGATTAACTGTGATTGAAATTTTTTAAAATAACGCTACTCTAAAAAATACAGCTCTTGAAATCTTTATGATCATATCTGTGTTGTCTTTAATGCCTTGTTGTGTTATGTTGTGTTCTTGGCAAGTCAAGGCTCGCTCTGGAAGGTATGATTGACGGAAAAAGAGACAGGGGAAGACAAAGAAGAACGTGGGATGGGGAGACGATGTCAAGGAATGGAGCGGGTGTGAGAGCATGGGGAGAGCTAAACGATATTCTGAGGATAGGGATAGTTGGATGGTCATGGTAGCCAACCTTCTGATAGAAGATGGTACCTGATGATAATGTGTTATGTATCAAACTGTAATAATCACAGACAGAGGGGTTGATGAAAAAATACATGGTTTACAATGATGTACGACACAATCTAAGATGACTCAAACTTAATCAAATTTTTGGTCAGTTATGTGCAACTAATAAGTAGCAAATACAAAGGATGCCACTGTATAGCAATGAAACTTTTATGAACTATCAATGTCATTTTGTTTTGTTGTGTTTTATTTAGCTGTTTGTCACACCCAAGCTCTACAAGTAAAAGGGAGATTGCGTTAGCAAGCAACAGAAAATCTTGCTAAAAATTGCATTTATAATTTATATGATTTCTATATATCTTCCAAACATATGATTGTGAGCCAGTTGCTATCAATATAAGAATAATTATGAAAACAACTGAATTAGTATATACTAGTATAAAGGTTAAGTAACATATCACCAGGACCGTCGCTAGCGGGGGGGGGGGGGGGGGGATGCGGGGTGTGCGGAAATTCTAGGAAATTCTTGTCGGCAAATTTTCTAAAAGTAGAGTTTTGTCGGGTTTTACTTTCCAAGTTCTCAATGCGATAGCTTTAGCAAAAATTTTGGATAAGATGAGGATAAGACCGAAAAAGTATCACCTCAAAACCCTCAGCAATTCAAAATAGGTACAGATGGCGCTATGGGTGTCACGGAGGGGCAAATGTCCACCAAAAATTTCAAATAACTCCCTGTCTGCAGCCGGAGTCTAGAATCTAATGTCCAATATCCAGGGTGACCTAATTTCTACCCAAAGTAGGACAAAGTTTATTGAAAAACTCTGAACGTTGATCATGGAGGTACTGGAAGCCACTGTAAGCAGGGCTGCCGAGGGAAGCAAGGGGGCAAAGTGCCTAAGGGCCTTGAGGTTGATGGGGCCTCAAGTAGTAATGAACGCCATTTTAAGAATGAAGTCAACGAAACGTAGAAGAAGTATGCCTAAAAATAGTTAAAAGTTCTGAACGATTGCAAGAAATGACTGCAAGAAATACTCTGAAATGCATTTTAAGACAATCTAAAGGGCGTGGTGGCAAAAAATTTCTGCTCGCAGGGGCCTCTTCTTTCGGGTTTCTTTCAAGGCCTTCGAAACCTCTTGCCGGTCCAATCAGTAAGATCTACTCATGCAAACTAATTACCCGACAGTTACTGGAAAATTGGAGCGATCATTGACTAACGAGAGCATACTCTTTCATAAACAAATCATTTGCGTCAAATACCACACCCAAAAATTGAAATACCTTAGGCCACGCCCTATTTTGTCGGCAAATTTGTGACTGGCACCCCCCTAAGTGAAAGTGATTAGCGACGGCCCTGCATATCATAATGCTTTTAGCTGGTGATTCTATCAAAACAACATCTTTACAAGAAAGGTGTACACATAGTTGTTGAGTAACAAGTTGAAAACAAGTCTGCTACTCAAGCTAATTTGGAACAATATCAAAGCGCATTTTTAGACAAGTAAAGCAAAGAAAGCGAGTTTCTTGAATCGAGTTTTCTCATTATCAACTAGAAGAAAAAATTGAAAAAGACCTGAATAAAAAACCTTCGCACCTAGGATTTACAAAAATATTGTTTGCTACTATCGTTATGCTGTACAAAGTCCTTTGCAACCCTTTCAAATCTATTTCTTTGCCGATGAGAGTAAAGTATCATCAAGTTATTGTATTTTAGTTCTGTCATACTACTTCGCAAGCAACTTTTTATTTCCGCTATAAAAGACATCTTTGTGCAGTCATCGGTTTTCAAAGATCGGTATTGGAATAACAAGACGGTTCGTTTAACAGACCTCCTTAATCCATAAATCACTGCCTATCCCACCATTAAAGAACAACTGGCAGAATTGACCAAAACTCTAATTTCATATTTTATTTCTTTATAATAAATGAGCGTAACAAATAAGGGCGCCTTGAATGACCTGAAGTTTTTAAGGGAGATGGCCTAAGGTGTTTCAATGTAGGTGTAGACCACTTATTAACAAACCAAACATCAGTTGTTAACCTTACACTATACGATACTGATGTAAGGTTGATGATAGCTATTACAGACAGTATATACTATCTGTTTTAACTTTAAAAATCTTTCCAAAGTAATTTGACTTAGGCCCATGCATAATACTAGAGCTATTTAACAAAAGAGAACATATTAAAACATTGATGGAATTAAGCTAGAAAATTTTTTATCATTGTTTTTTTGAAAATTCTAAGATGATTGATATAATTTTATCTACAAGCGACTTGTTTCTATTTGTAGGAAGGAAAGCCTTTTAAAATACATTTATTATTTGAAAACTGGTGTAATCATCTTGTTCCAAAGCCATTTTAACATGATGAGGTAATATTGTATACAATTATTTCATTTTCTGAAAGATTAAAAGCTAAGCAGTGAGTGATAGTAGCTTGACATCTTCACCTAAAGGCTATAGTTAGTTACAAGACAAATAAAAAATTTAATATTTACAAAAGATTTTGAACCTATGACCTACCCAATTCATCCCATTTTTCATCCTTCTTCATATTTGCTGATGATACCAACATTCAGGGACGTCTGCGGAAGATTAGGGCAGGAGGAGCAGTGTTGGCGGTAAGGGCAAATCGTAGAATTTTTCTACCAACATAATCGACTATTCCTGGATGGGGTGGGGTGGGGTAACATAATAAAATATTAACATTGATATGTGCCACCCAAACAGATGGATTTTTTTACCATCAAAGATTCTAAACATAGAGAAAATGTTGACGAAATAATCCATACATAAAAATGGGTATTAAATAGCCTTGTCACTATTCACAATATTTGGTTTTACAAAAATCATTGCTTTTATAAATGGGCTGGTTGTAAAATTTTAATTGCTCGCTAAGTTTTGATACCGATTTATCCTCCTTAGGTTCCTGGAGTAGTACTTCCGAGGGAACAAGTTTTATGTTAATCATCTATTATCTTTGCCGCTCTCCCTCTTGTGGCCCACCTTGTCACAGACATTAACACGTCACAGACTATAATTCACTGTTCCTCTTATTCTCCAACTATGGTATTCAGCGTGGTGATTGACTTTTGAATCCTTCCCTGAATCCACTCCATAGGCGCCGACTACGTGGGGACTCGGGGGCTTGAGCCCCCCCTGGGAATTGCCATGGAGGGGGGGGGCTCAAATAAATCCCTTGTAAAAAATTCAGTCTAAGCTTTCTGTCTCCTACTTCTGGGAATTTCTCTAACTTTTTTTTAATTTAAATTTTGAGCCCCCCCCCCTGGGAAAAATAAAAGTCGGTGCCTATGATCCACTCCTTAATCTACAAAAGAAAGTTTTACGCAGTATAAAATTTGAACCCTTCTCTTCTCCCAGCACACCAAACTTCTAATCGCTAAAAGCCTTAAAATTAGAGGATATCTTGCACCTAAACACCTTAACCGTTGTTTATAAATCTGCTAATAAGCTCTCTCCTTCTTGCTTCCATGATTACTTCAAATTAACTTCATCTGTACATAGAACTGGGACTCGCCAAGCTACTAGGGGCGAAATCTTCAAGTCTACCAAAAATACTACCTTATATGGTCTACAAACGATTCAGTTCTTTGGTGCAAAACTTTGGAACACCATGCCACTGTTCATACGCGTCGCTATTGTAAATTGTGTATTGCATTTAGGGCTGATTGATGATAAAATGGAATGAAATGCAATGAAATGGTCTGCATACACTGTCAAAAACCATAAAGTGACAAATTATCTCAAAAACGAGGATTTTTGCCATCCAGGGATCCTTTTCGGTGAATTTTAAAACTTGTCGGCAAATAAAGGATGGCTCTCTCAATTTGTTGAAAAATGAGGCCTGAACAGAGTGTAACAGCTAGCGATTGCACTGCTTACAACAACCTAATAGTTTAAGAACAAATTAGAACAATCCAGCCGCAGATTTCTTCTCCTCTCCAGTAGCAACCCATTGCGGAGCATAAGGAGCAAACTGCGCATGCGTTCATTGGTAAGTTTACGGGACAGCTTCAACATGGCGGGTGTGTTGCTGAGAAATTCGTGCAGGGGCCTTTTATTTGGAGGTATGTTTTGAGGATACCAGGCAACATATAGATTCTGTTCCAATTTTGCCTTATGTCAAAGTTTATTATATCTGTACGTGTGTTTTAGTAAGTGTTAATCCTGTTTTTACCCACATTGTGAAAACTGTCGAGCTGGTCCAGACAGGAAAATTGGCACTCACCGGCCTACTCTCTGTCTCAGTTATTGTGTCTCAGTTGTGTCATTGTTGATTGTAGGTGCATGGAAGACGTTATTAGGAGAGGCTTTCTATTATTATTTCTATCATTGGGGCCATTGAAAAACCATAGAAAGAACAAATTTTAACCATTGGATGGCCTTGAGAGCATCCTTCAAGAGCTTTGGAAGATTGAGAGCTTCATATTGAAAGTTTGGAAGAGTGTTGAATAAGAAATTCAACGGTGATACCAAAAAGCACCATAATATGAAATAGCAAAACATGCAACCAACACTATGTTAGTATAAATATAGAAATATAATAAAACAAAGTCTCAAAACTGTTCAGATTTTTCTAGATATGTAAGTTGCCATCACTTGATGAGCTTTTGTCACTGTCAGTATCACTACTGTTATGTTCAGTTTCACATATTGCTTCATCAAAAAGCATGGCTTTAAGTCCAACGTTTAACTTTGTTTCCTTTTTTATGCTATCCATTCTATAAGACACGCTAGAACATCTACTACACACGAAAGCAAATGAAAACTGAAAAGCAATGCGATAGTTTGGGTGGAAATGTGATCTCTGATTTTCACAGGCGATTTTAAGTTACTTCAACAGAATAAAACAGAAAATAATACTTCAACAGAATATTAATGCTTGCTTGAAAATCCAGCAAATCTGTGGCAGAATACACTTGATAGCCTGTGTTCTTGGTGGTTATAAGAGGGTTATTAGATTAAAAATGGTATTGAAAACCCAATGTTGAATTTGCTGAATTTTTTCTCAAGGGGTAATATTACGCAAATCATAATATTGCGGTCTGTTGGGAAGATTGTTTATGCATGATCAAGTTTATTCAACAAATGTCAAAAATTTATTTTGCTCCATGGTATATAATATTGTTTTTACATTTTGAGGGGCTCTATAATCGCTCTCCAAGGCTTTTTTTGGGTGCGCTTTAGGCATGCATGCTCGATTGAGCACCTTTCTGGGCAAGGCCTGAATAGGCTCCAAACAATACTTTTAAAAAGACTTGATAATTTTATCTTCTGAAAATCTCCCATCACAAGACACAGCTAACAAAAATGTGTTTTTTATTTGATAATTTTATCTTCTGAAAATCTCCCATCATAAGAAACACTTAATGAAAAAAGGTTTTTTATTTCTTTCCTGCAAATCTATAGAAATGTGCCGTAAACACTGTAATGATCTGTATTTGAGACAACCTTACATTGTTTAATAAGCGTAAGAGTTGTTCATGTGTTAGGCTAAGGCTTTTACCAGTTGAAAATACCGGAAAAACTGGAGAAACAACTCATTGCATAACAGAACCAATTTGATTCATGGAAGTTATTTGTTCGCAATATTGTTACACAAAGTCAGCGGCTGATATCCCAAAAAGGCGGCTAATAACATGCAAGTAAAATACAATGGCTTTAACCCCTTCTTCCTATGACAAATACCTCACATTCACAGAGTATAAACAAAGAAAATGAAGATCTGTGTTTTAATCTTCCTAATAACAGAGATGTTAGCAAGGGCTATTGTTGACATTTTCAAAGGGAGATTGAAGGCAAAATAATTTCCATGAAAGACTATTGACATGTGAAGCCTCGACCACAAATCCAAATCAGGGTCTTATGAAAACAAATTGTGACACCATTACATGGGTATAGCTGTTATTAGACTAATAACACTAATAACGCTGTAAATTGCTCCTGGAAGTAGCTATTGATTGTTCAAAAGTGAATTTCATTTCAAGAGACAATAGAAAATCTCAATTTATTGAAATTGGCTCTGATTAAAAGTTCAAACTTATGAAACTCCTTCTCTTTTACCTGTAGAGCTTCAGGTAAATGGGAGGCAACTGTATTGTCATTTAGCAAGGTAAAGGATATTTGCAAGTCAACCGGCTCTTTGAAAAGCAATACCTTGGGTTAATACATCTATTCTAATTAGATTTTTTTTCTTAAGACTTTGTATGAGGAATGTGAGCAGAGCAAAGTGGCATGCTATCCCATACTCAGCAAAACTTCTTCTTGTTGGTTTTAGGTGAAACTTTATATGCCAAGTAAACAGCATTGAGTTTCAGAATGTATATATAGTTAATTTTTCTTTTAATTTTCAGGTAGAGGTAGTTTGACATTAAGATCAAAGGCAATTCCGCTACTTGCAGCAATTGGCCAGAAAAGTATGATTTATCTCCTATACAAATACCTAGCTTACATTTAATTTACCATCATATGCTTATAATCTTTATGAAGTTCTTTAGTACCCAATGTTACATTATTTCCATTCTAAGCTGCTACTCTGAGTTTTGTGGTAAATGGGATCATCATGAACAGTTTTTTATAATGACATTAAGCTTGAAAGTCAGATTTACAACTTAGAAATCTCCTTTTCAATACAGTTCTCCTCTTCTATAGATAAAAATAATATCCAGAGATAAAGGCCAAGGTTGAAGTATAAATAATATATAGATCTAATGAAATTAATTTAAACAATGTTAGAATGATTCTAAATGAAGTGTTTTTAACATTTGTTTATGTGAGTCATAAGTAGTTTATCTTGTCTCAGATACGATAATTTTGTGCTATATATTATATTTATATCTACCAGACGAGGAAATTTTTGTGCTTTTATTGTGGCAAGGAACCCCTAAAATGCTATGTTTTGTATCCCGAACTCTGTTCAAACTTTCAACTACCTCAGGGGTCTCACAATTAGTTATTTATTCATATTGTCCCTTTGAATTCTTCCAAAATTTTTGAATGATTTACTCCACATATTTTAACATCAAATTGGTTTGCTTTTGATTTAGAACTCAAAGAGTCATCAGTTATCCACACAAGTGCTGTACAAAAGGCCTCTGCATGTAAAGATACATTTTTGTTTACTTCATCTTTAAAATTTCATGTTTAACTTACTGGTATTCAAGACAGATTAAAAAGTGATAATTACATTTTGTACATTTGCCTTTCCCCTTTTGGAAGTTATGTTGCTTTTTCCTTCTCTTTTTATAAACTCATTTATTATAAACTTCCATTGGAAACAATCAAATCTTGGCTTTGTAAATTCAATGGTTGTGCCTTTTGTTATTGATTGAACCAATATTTTGTCTCATTGTTGTCAATAGTGACAAGAGGCTCAAATTACACAAAACATTGGTTTGATGAGCGAGCTGTGGCCATTGGTTTGCTTGCTTGTATTCCAGTTGGAATTGTTTATCCATGTGCACCAGTAGACTATGCTCTTGGTGTCCTTGTTCCAGTCCACAACTATTGGTAAGTTGATAAATGGAACCATCATCTTCAAATATTGCTTATTTTGCTTGCTTGGTAAATAGCAGGCTTTTTTCCTCACAAAGAAAACCTAGTTAAAGGGGAACACGATGGTGTCCATTTTAATCTAAAAGCAATGAATGAAAGTGTGATATTTATTTCTTACCTATTAGTATAAATTAATAGATGGTTTCACCTTTAAGCAAAAACTGTTTGTTACTTCATATTTGCATTTTTCCATTTTTTTTCATTTTTTTCATTTTTTTTTCATTTTAAATTGTTTCTACATGAATACCCCTTCAGCTAGTTCTAATAATACAATAAATAAACTGCTAATAATTAGGATACAAGTTCTATTAATTGATAGTTTACATACAGCTTATAGAGCAGATGCTGTAATAATTGAATCAAATGAATTAGATAACAATGCTATCTCTCACTCTGGATAATCAAGAAAGATTAAATGATAAAGTCGTTTACATTGTTATTAACTATCAAATTCATGCACCATGTTCTTTCTTGACAGGGGTATTCATCATGTCATTATTGACTATTGCCCAAGGTCTGCTTTAACGATAGTGGAGCTGATGTGGAAGGCATTGTTTGCAGTCCAGCTTGGAGGCCTTGCCTACATAAACTATTATGACGTTGGAATTTGTAAACTGGTTGCCATGACACTAGGCATTTGAAATAAAATTGTCGTCTTTTAAATTCAGCTTAACTAGATTGCTTATGATTAGATTTGCTATTTGCATCAAATAACAACATATTTTGTAATTGGTTCCATTTCACACATAGTTACTGTTTTCATCTTCCTAACGTGGTATCTGCTTTATATATGTTACTTTAATTTCTTATATATAATTGGTTTTCATTAGTGCCATCAACTCACACGCATGCAGTTTTTCCATCTCAAATGTCTTCAGATTGTTACTTTTGATAACAATAGCCTTTCAACATTTTTCATTATACAGGAGCATCCTACATAAAGTGTTTAAGAATCTTGTAAATATTGCCCCCTTGCTTGATCATGTTTTGAGGAAGAAGATACCATTGACTGGGTGTTTAAGTGTCTGCGTATACAGATGTTACCTGCTTTTCCAAAAGCTGTTTTTTCTCTAACCATTTAGGCCTTTGATTCTGGCTTCTGTTTTAAACACTGACTTTGAAATTAGCTGTTTCACCCTCTGAAATAACCAAGTTTTGATCTCAGCATATATACTTATGGCTAAAAGTTAATGTCTCATATCAGGTTGATCAGCTTATTCTCAGGAACAAAATGCTATAATGTTATATTTATATGTTCTAATACCAATGCTGTGTAAAGTTATTTCTCGTGATAATATGTCGAGAGTGGAGCTTTTGTTTTCTATTTTGTCACCTGGGCTGTATAAGTGTGAAAGTGACTCAGTTGCTGAATTGTTTTTCCTATTTTTCTTTGAAAGTATAACTATTCATGATCCAGGTAATAAGAATTTTCCTCAGTTAAATCTTTTTGGTTTTGCAACTTTATTTATATTAAAGGTAATGTGCCCAGCTAAAGCAAGCAACTTTGCGGGGGTTTTCAGAAACATGTGATTTTACATGTCATCGCCCCAGCAATTACGGTCGCTCTGTTTATCTACCCTGCTGCGAAGTTAGCTTTTCATGTGAGCAGTTTTGCATCGCAAGAATACTAACCAATCACAAGCCGTTATTTTGATGGGTGGCTTGACAAGTTGGGTATACGCAGTCCTTTTATATGGACACATTACCTTTAATCCTGTGATTACTTTCCAGAAACGCAAGTCGAGAGGCCTTTTATAACAATAACATTGTTTATAGGCATGGAAGTTAAAAATTAAAAAACCAATGTGTGAAAAAAATATAAAATGTCACTACTACAAGGTATAATTTAAAAATTTCCTTGGCAATTTATTGCCATCTAGGGGTAGTTGTTCGGCGAATTCTCAAACTTTTCGACAAATAAGAATGGCTCACCACTCTTCTGTCGGTAAATGGGACCAGACCAGAAAACCCCCTTCGAGGGCAATGCTAACGTGATGTTTTGCAAAGCGAAACTGTTGCAAACTCCCTAAAAGTAAACAGGGAAGTTACCCCTCCCCTCACAATGATCACCTCTATCATGGAGAGCTTTACTTATGTTTTCTAATTCACAGTTAGATTACTCAACATATTCGTCATTATTTCCACCGAACTTTGCAATTTCTTGCTGTGGAGCATCACAGCAAAGCGAGGCTGATCGTGCGAGTTTACTTTCATTTCTGGCGGGAAAAGATGGCGGACCAAGACGATCTGTATCTAGAAAACTTGGATGAATACGTGAATGATGAAAATAAAATCGTAAGTAATCACACGCTATATTCTGGTGTTTAAAAGGCATGCGATGATGTGATTTTTCAATTTTTTTCTCAATCGGATGATTTACTAATACAAAACTGGCGTTCTTCAAGTCAGACGTGTGTGTGGAACTAACCCCATTTGACTCTAGCATCGGGGCTTCTCCAGTAAAAGTTTTCAATTCATCAACAACTAGCCAACTGATCTGTGTTGCTAATAAACGGATAGCTCATGTTCATGTACATTTTTTTAAATTCCACTACCTACTATCAACTACAACTAAACAAAGTACAATAAATATATAAAAATATAAAGGTATTACAATATGAAATAATACAATCAAGTAGGTAGTAAAATCATCTGCACATCTACAAAAGGGACCAACTGCACACTCATCGAAAATTTTTTATTGCCAAATATTAAATCTTGTAATGATGTCGATACAACAAACCTGTTTAGTATAGATCAAGATAATTTTATTTTATAAATAGCTCAGTAATTTGTTTTAATGCTGGTTCTGTGAACAATATTTTTTTCAATTTTAGGTTACATACAAAGGACTTTCAAACCTGCTCAAGGTTCCAGCCAACAAATCCAAAAAGTAAATCTTGATTATTTTACACCAATGGTTTTTACCATTTTTGTGCAAATAAGAATTGAAAAAATTTTGATTGATCTCATATATTTACTTGGGCCCTGTCCATTGGATAGCTAGCACTCTGATCACAGCTTCAAAGCTTGAGAAAGCTACTGTTTTTCCGCAGCATATTAAGATAAGTGAAATGGTGGACTGGCAAGGGGTGCTTTGGTGGAATTGCATCATGGTTTAATGCTCCACTTGCATTCAAGGACCTTTCCTTCTGTTAAAAGCTTCTTAATCATACAATATTGCCATTTTTAATCTTCCTTTGGGAAAGCATTGCTTGTCTGCTTTAAGATAAATTAATCTGTTAGATTGATTTGGTCAAATTTCCATAACAACTGGTATTGTTCTGCAATACTTTGCAAATTTGAACTAGAACGTTCATTTGATATTTACAAATTTCTTGACAGTATATTATTTTGCTATAGTTTGTGTAATTAATTGAATTTGCCTTGATGCTTATTCTTGTGAATGCAAGAGTGGGCAATTGTTATTTCTATCTTTATCATTTTCAGAATGCTTCAGAATTTTGTTGACCAACAGTCATCAAAAGGAGTTCAACTAAATATAACCTTTCTTGTTGGTGGGAAACTTGCAGATTCAGGAAAGGTAGGAGAATGGAAGTAAAGCTGTTTTAGCCTAAACAATTTCCAAATTTTGTGTTTGTTTTAATCTTTTATAGCCAAGTGTTTTCATCCATTGGCAGTAAGTTCTGTGAATAAAATTTGATGTAGAGATGTTTACTTCATTTTCCAATAAAGCATCAATATATAACCATTATCATGATTATTACTACTCTTGCCAGGGATACAAGTTTTTAATAGCAACAAAAGACAACTTAGATGGTAAGTGAACAATTTTTTGTGCATTAAGTTTTGTATTTTTGTCAGAATTCTAAAATACAACATCTCCTGTTAACTAGAAAAGTGTCCTTTCATATGAAAGCACTGTTGACTGGCAGGTGTTGACTGAATTTTGGGCTCTCATCTCAATGAGCGCAGCTACTAAGTGAAATCCTCCATTAAGAATTTCCTCAAGAATTAGATTTGTATTTTCTTAATTATAACCGATTTCATTCATTTTGTTTTGTATTAGTTTTTGCTGATTGTTTGTTGTTGACTTAACAGTATGAATCAATTTTTATACGCTATTCCTCATAATCCATAACTTTCAAAAAATCATGAATTATCTCTTGCTTTTTAGATTTGAAAAAAACATTTAGTCAAGTAACTTGCTGCCATATTTACAGTGTACAAAAAGCACAACTCAAGGTAATAAAAACCATTTTGGTATAAGAAGGCTTTTATAGACTAGAAAATCTGCACATGCAAATAACATGATGGATCCTGTCACTATTGATTGTTGAACTAATCATTGCCATACTGGCAGAATGACGAAGGAGAAAAAGATATGATTTCCAACTTTGAATTTAAATTATCATAATATGGCGTGGCGAACAAAATATGGTGTGGCGCGAAAGCCATAAACGAACAGCGAGAATCCATAATTGATACAAAAATGTTTCTATATACACCTGATTGAGGGTTTGCTATTTCAACATTGACAAAGATTTTAAATGTGATCTTAAGTACCCAAAAATATACTAGATTGTGTTCAGTACAATATAATGATATAATAATGATAACAATGTAAGTAAATTGTTGTTATCGTTATTGTCAACTTCCATATTCCTTTAACGTTTTTTAGTTCTATCATCACTTTTCAATTTTACTTGATAACAGGCTATGCTTAAAACGTTGTTATTTATTTAAAATTTTTTTTCCTGGTACACTTTACTTGCATTGATCGTTATTATATCTTAATTACCCACATTATAATCAATATTAATGTGCAATGAATAGGGTATTAAACAGGGTGTGGATCAAGAAATTTTAATGATTGTAGCACAAATTGTTTCAGGAACCACATCTGTATTTTTTTGGGAAAAATTCCCAATTTCTATACTGAAATATTTAATGTACAGAAACGTTCTAAAATTTGTACACATAGAATATTTTAAAGATTTCATGTACGCATGAGTATGTCCGTCCAAAAAATTAGTTGTGATATCAGACAGACAAAACTTTATTGGTTATTATTTTGATATAAAGTTCCTTAATGCAGTTGATATTGTTTTTAATATCTTCAAAAGATCTGTTATACACTCAAAATAGTTCAAGACTCACACCCCTAAAACTATTGGATGCCATGGTTTAATCCATATATAGATTTCCAGCTATCCCTTCCCTTTGGGGAGATACCTCAAATAACACCTCAAAAATGTTTACTTTTCGATTCTGCTTCTCGTGTATTATTTTTAATCTACAGGTTCTCTCAAGACCTGATATGTGGTCTTTATTTGATTTTATTTGTTTGAGAAGCTGAGTTTTATAGCATTTCATTGCTCAGCTAGCATAAACATTCTCTTGGTTTACTTCCTGCCAAAGTTGCTGCAGACAACAGCCTCTGCGTAATAACTGTTGTTTGATTGTTGCGCTGTATATGAATAGCAATATTCTTGCAATTGTGCAATTAGCTACTTCTGAGTTGCAACTGATGCACTCAAACAATAGCTGAACTAGGTGGGTCTTAAAAAAATCAAAAATAAGTTTTTTCTTCTTCTTCATTTCTGTTAAAAGTCTCTAGCTTACTGAATTATTGTAAAAAATGATGGCCTCTCTTTCTGAAATGTTATGTGTTTTTATTTTAGAATTTTGAAGTTTTACATGGTACTGACCATGACGTTGTGAAAGAGTCTCTTTTTGAGCTGCATAACTGGAGCCGTATTTATTGCCCAGAAGCCAAACAAAATGATGCAGCATTGCGAAGGAGACAAACAATGCAAGTGGAAAATAATTTACCAAATGGAGTGCATGGTTGCTCTAAAAGTATGAAAGCTAAGAACTTTTTAGGTTCTAGTGATGTTAGACAACTTTCTATGTGGTGGTCAGACATCATGTAACATGCTCTCTTGAATCTATTGCTTTTTAGGCCTGTTAATTTGATTCAAATTATTAAAGTGTGTAACAAAATTGTTTAGATCAGTTTCTGGGAATGGTAAGGTGATATTGTTAGTTCAATTCACTAGTTTTTGATTTTGGTAATTAAAATCGAGCTATGAAATTTGATATATGGATATTGAAAAACTATTGCCTGCATAAACTTTTGGTAAATAGTAATATTACTATTGGCATTAACCAATCTTCATATTTTTGAAATTGTCTTGCATCATGAAATAGTTTTGCTACTTTTGGAATTGAGTTTGAAAAATGACTACCTCAACATGTCATCTCAAAACTTTAGAAAATTTATGCAAATTGAAGTTATTTCTATAGAAATTATTCCTTGGTTTTTACTTATATTCTGTGTGTGCTGTCACTAATGAATATTTTAGATGTTTGTAATGTGTTGCATTCAATATTGTGAAATTTTGGCCTTTTTGAAAATATGACTGAAAGGCATTGTGGGCTACTTTCCTTGCCATTTTTTTGTATCTTAGTATTATTTCATGCAAAATTTCATGCAATATTCTCTCTACCATGCAAAAAGTTCTGATATACGAATGAAGGTTCTTTAAGTGAGATTTTGAGTCCTTAAAGAGAGCAAGGTATAATGTTAAAAAGCCTTATCTATTTACCTAGCCCAAAGTATATGAATGGAATGGAAAGTTAATTTATGTTTTATTTTATTATATAATTTGATCCATAGAAACACCAGAGGTTGCTGCTAAAGAGGTAAGCTTTCAAAATCTCAGCATACATATGTATCTGGTCTTAGTAGTAACGCTATTTTTGCATCCAAAACCTGCCAACAAATTTGCAATATGAACGAAATGGTTTAAATATGAGTGAAGCTATATGGCAAACACACCATGGTGCTTAAGTCTATTTTTACATACAGGGAAACATTTGCACTGCAAAGGAAGCTTCCAGTTGTGAAGACAAAAGGTTACTGAGGAGGAGAAATGAGAGAATATGAAGAAAGGGGAATTTTTCCTTCTCCTTTCCTTCATTTCTCCTACGCAGTCATATTCTCTTTTCGAAACTCATATTCTTCCTTCGCATAACCTATTTTTAGGTATAGATTTAACATACAAAATTGGGCTTTGGAAAAGTCTACATAATTGCTGAAGGTCTTCAGGTAGCAATGTCTCTACACTTGGTTTAAGTCGGCAAAATGTTTTGTTGTGTTTTGATGAGGCCTATATGGATCCTTTTAGCTCTCGCAGTAATGCTAGCCCTTATAATGATTTCCACCGGAAATTTCCAACATTATATCAACAATTTAGTATATAAATGTAGTGATTCAAATTCAACCCAAATTTTATAGCACACATACAAATATTATATAATTCCATTTAACGGAGATATGTCTATTTTTATTTGCAAGAATCAATGTTCAATGAAAATTTTACCCTATGATGACCCGAATAACCGTGAGAGCAGATTCATTTTCACGACAATTTATTACAATTAACAACAAAGCAAGGATGCAAATTATCAAAGAAGGAAAATTTAGAAAATGAATGTTATTTCATGCCAGGTTTCGTCAAAACAATCGGCAGTTCCAGCCAGGAAGCAAGTCTCAAGTGCTTCATTCTTTGGAGCAAATAGCCAAAGGCAGAGAACTGAAAACTCCTCTGACCAAAGGACTCAAGAAAGCGATAATGTAAGAAACCATCTTTTCAATCGTTTGTTTTCGATTTTTTTTATTATATTTTAATCGAATGTTATTTATGGAATTTTATCCAATCGTTTCAATGAGGTCTTTGGAAATTTGCTTTTATCATATGTTCTACATATTTACCTCGGTCACAAGTTTATAGAAATTGTTTTGAAGCAGAGATAGCCTTTTGTTAGCTAGCCTTTTGTTAAAGCTGTTTTAGAATTTAGGTTTTTGTGTCTTTTTATGAAGAACTGACAGTGTTGATATGTACTTTTTGCATTCGAGAACGTGAAGAGGATTATAACTTTATAATGTGTGCGTAGTGCGTGTGTCTCTTTTTTGAAGGATCAGAACTTTTCTTCAAACTTTTCTTGAAATAAAGTTTTCTTCAAACGCACAAGTTCTTTGAATAGCCGACTTACAGCAATGCAATATAGTTAAAAAGAGTTTCATGTCTTTCTATAACTTGTTCCTCGTGTATGACAATTTTGGTTAGATAACCTTTTTATGTACCGTTACCACGAGAAACTGTATGTTTAATCAAATCTGTTCTTTTAGAAAGGGGCCAAAATCGATCAAAAAGTGAAGAAGGATGTTTCATTTTTTGGAAAATCTGCTCAAGGTATTTTTCTTATTCTACCTTTGTCAGCGTAATATTTATAAACAAATTTCTACCTTTAGGGGACCCTTTGTTTGCCTAACATTGTCTGTGAACAATAGGCATGGTATATGCACAAGGTTTAGTACAATAGTCACATCCTCCATATAATTTGGTATAGTCTGTACTGTGCTCATGTGCAGTGTGGCTATGGTTTTGACACTTTCACGTTTCAACAAATCAGAAGAATAAAACGATAAAACAGCACAAGTCGTCCAGCTATCTACTAAAACTTCATTGACAAATACCGCTAGTCCAGCTATCATGCCACACTAATAATTACTTGCACTGAAACAAGGTCAACTACAGTTGTTAATTTTAAACATAAACAATGTAATTTTATTAACGCCTTCTGGTAACCCGATAATCAATCGAAATTATTGGCCTCTGTGTCGATTTTAAGTTTGTGAGGCTACTATCATTAGAAAATAGGCTAAATCGTATAAAAACACAGTAAATTTGTTTTTGAATGATTCGTAAAATTGATTTCTCTATGATATTTGCAAGAATCTTCTGAATGTTCCATATCTTTTTATGATCTATTAGAATTGACAAACAACGTTCTAATTTGGAAGAGACTCCATCTTGACTCATGCTAGTTGATGTCTTTTGATGCCTTGTCGTGGAATGTTTATGTTCAAGAAACTGACCCAGCATTACTTTATCTGCCTTCTAACGAGCTTTAACTTGTCAGTAAAAGCTTGATTTTTTTACGCCTGAACAAACGCTATTTAGGGAGATTTTTCTGAAGATATTCAACAGTTTGTTTGCTTCACTGAATTTTGAGAATTCCTATAGCACTTTTCCAAGATTGGTGAACGTTTGTCCTTTATAAACTCTAGGTCTCTTTTATAAAGATTTTTATTACACCCTTAACAAGAGAATTTTCCCCAGTTTTCCCAATCGAAGATGTTTCCCCCACTAAGGTCCCAAATCACAGAAATCGCAACACTTTTTAGCTAACTGCCAGTATTACTCTTGTTGGCAAAGTCAGCAACCTTCAGAATGCCAATGAAGCAGGATAAAGATATTGTTATTGCTAATTGAGGTGTTATGCGAACAGAGAATAGCTCGAATCCGATCTTTTTGGCCATCGTCAGACATTCGATAAGTTCAATCCCGTGTATTTTGTCGCTTGTTGCAAGCTTCATGTAGAATTTTCTGAAACGATTAGTTACCAAACTTGCTGAAATAATTGGGAACGCAAATTTGTAGATGATAATCAAGGTACCAGATAGCTGTGACATAAACAGATTCTTCTGACATGCTGATGGTGCCTCGATAGCTTTACCCTTGAACACTTTTAGCCACTCGTAGATAATAGCTGCCAGTAGAACAACGAAAACCATGTTGTGTGAAGCGAACCAATAGCGAAATTTCAACAGGAGCTCAGACCTATATTGATAAAGCTCCCTGTTGTGCCTCAGGAACTCCAAACGTGACGACACACGCGACATTATGATTTTTTCTTTATAGTCGATCCGAGATATCATTCGCTGGGTCATTGCATGGAAGAGACAGCAGGCACAAATAGTGGCCCCGTAGCCCCAAAAGAGCCCGAAGATTGCTACGTAATATCCAGCATTTAAGAGGGCACTCTCTTTGTAGTGCAGAAAGAAATGTATCCCAAGAAAGTCGTAGAATGTATTGTAAAACTGGTCTGTAAATATTGTAAAAGCCATCACAAGCAGGCCAAAAAGAAACAATGTATTGGTGATGAGCCAGTCTAAACTGAAAAAATCACGGTCATCGTCCAAAAAGTCGCTGTCTATTTTCGGAATCAAGTCAAATTTGCTCATACCTTTTCGCGCAATGACGCTATCGTTGGCTCTAAAGTACAACGCGCCAAAAGTTGCAGTGATAGCACCAGAGAATACCAGACCGAGCAGTAACACTGCTGTCTCTGTTGGAATAATCGGCATGTGGGTGCTCCTCTCTATGATAGATTTCATACATTTATCTTGACCGAACTCGTGAACAAGTTTTTCTCTTGAACTGTTGTCAAATTTCAGAACCTTTGACCATGGCGAGAAAACCATGTACACGTAGATGCAAACAGAATACCACTGCATTATTGCAATTACAATAGAGGGTAGAAGAAAGCAAAAAGTTGTTTTTGTTTTTGTTGGTATGATACCGAACAGCACAGAAACGAAGAATTTGAAAACTCTGTCGCTTTTACACATCGATTCACAGAAAGTAGGACTCTTCTCAGTACTTATTATGACTCTGTCTTCTACAAGACAGTCCCTCTCCTGAGAATTTCCGCGTTCAATTGTACCGTACATTGCAAAGTTGACTTCTTTTGCAGGCCACTCTCAGTTATCTGCGTGCTTTGGGTGTCGTGGTGTCTTGTCCTGTTTCACCAATGATATGGTACAACTGCGAAACGCATTAGCAACTTCACGCTTGACTGTAACTTTATCTTTCAATGTTTAACATGAAATGTAACACTGCCTACCATGGATTATCCCACGCGGTACTGCGGTGTCTTGCCCTGTTTCACCAATTATATGGTACAACTGCGACTTCTTTCTTCCTGGCAGTGTAATATTTTTTACACGCTCGACCGTAACCTTATTTTTCAATGTGTAAAATGAAATATAACACGGCCTACGATGTTTTGCAGTTGTGCCTCAGTGAATAACTGCTTGTAAAAGTGACCTGACTGGACTAGATTAGTAAAATACCTAAATGTTTGTCATTTTAAAAGTTCAATGACGTGCCTTAAGGAAAGAAACGCAAAACATGCGAAGCTTTCATCTGATGTTGAGGGCGGTTTAAATCAAGTTGGTTGATATATATCCTCATAAAAACAGTTTAAGCCTTTTACATGATACACACACATGATGAGTGATTCTTTCATAAGATCTCTGTTTCATCGTTTATCTGTCCCGTCTCAATTTGCCTCTCCACGTATTGGAAAGGCATTTTTATTCGAAAGTGCATTGATATATAATATTACCCCAATAGAAGCTAATGAAAATTTTTTTTGATAATTTTTCAGCTCCAAACAAGTCTAATTATGCGAAAGAAGAAAAGGGGAAAGATCAGAAATCGGAAAGGTCACAAAAGTCTTCGAAAAGCGATGACACACATGGAAAGTTTTCAGAGAAGGAAGAACACGCGAGATTGAATAAAGAGATCAAGAAAAAGAAAAAAGGAGAAAAGGAGGCAAAATCCAAAGGGAGCGAAGATTCCCCTGGAAATGAAAAAACCACGAAGAAGGACAAGGAGCTCAAAGAAAGAGAAGATGAACCAAATGCCAAAGAAGAGTAAGCTATATTGCTTTATATACACGAAATATTAGTATTCACTGTTTTTAATTTTCGTTGAATATCATTACCAGGTTTGTTTTCAATAAGACTCGAAAACCTTTAAACTTATGTATGCATTGTCGATAGAAAAAATTATTTCTATTGACTATGTTGAGTGCAAACATCGGGGAATGTAAAGTTACGTAACCATCTTTCATATTTCATTTGCAGACGTGATCATTTATACTTCGTAAGCTGATCTTTTTTTGGTTTATCTCCTGGCCTGCTTATTGATTCCTTAGGTCGTTTTACATCTCTCGTTATTTGATATCCTGAAGTGAGAACAACGGATTCTGAGTCATTCTAAAAGTCAATACACCAAGTAGCTTTACTGTTATATTATGTAACTATTTGCAAAAGGAAGGTCATTGGTGAGAAAGACAAAACCTGAATGAGCTAAATTTGGCTGATTCCAAATGGATATGCTTGTTTTGTTAGCTGGGAAATCCCAGAGTAATGACATGTTTTCTCGCATACCATTAATTCAGATTTGCAAATAAGAAATTTTTTTAGGGGGGGAGGGGGTTGTCTTACCTAGGCAAACTAAGATTGCTAAATAAATAGTTTTCGCAGTGACAATCCTACCCTTACCTTCTCCAAAAATAGGGATTCCTTGTTCAATGATGTTTTTTTGTGGGTCAGGGAGCACCCTTAAAAATTTCACGCTGGATGACTGACTGGAGTGCTCTGGGATCAAGAATCAATCTCCCCTTGATTAAACATTTGTATATGATATTCAGTTTCCATTTACGATATCACGGCTGTAACCATATTTCTTTTTTTCGTAGGGAAACTGAGATCCAGGAGAGCGATTCTGATGATGTGAGTAGCATACTAGCGAATCACTCATTTTATCTGCTTTCCTTTGAGCTTGATTGCAGTGTGCACAGAACCACATCCTTCACCATCCTTCACTCCTGTAGATGCTAGTCTCCGTATTATGATATCATTTTCAATTCAGATTCGAGAAGCATCATTTTCTACATATGTTATGTTGCTTAGACACTCTAGAAGGCATAAAATTTAGATTAAGATGTTGCCTCATGGCTTATGGCAATTATTGCTCTTGATATTGCGGGAATGAGCACACAGCGATGCAGTAATGAATTTTCCTTGAAAATTAATTTTCAGTGCCTTAATCGAGGGATGACGAAATCAAAACAGAGCCGTATTTAATATTTTTGTTTTTATTCAACCTTTCAGGACTTTGAGTCTTTCATTAAAGTTTCAAAAGGAGGAGAAGAACATGATAGGTATGCGCTGCTTTTTTGGTTGCGTTTTCAATCACTGCAATAGTTCCGATCCCATTAGACCAGAAACCCCTTTGAGACAACGGTGCCACGAATGAAAGTTACTACTCGATGCCGATATTGAATAAACTTGTATCTTTCTACCTCTGGCTGCTTCCTTTGTCTTCAAATTATGATGCTAATTTTCTACATGCATCTGATTGCATCCAAATCTGAGGAAAGTAATCTATATTTATGATTTATCAATTCTTTTATAATCCTTTACTTTGGAACGTTCCTTTTATTTCCTTGTTTTTATACTTACTTTACTCGCACGTACATGGAGATTCGGCACTCGGTGTTTTTCTGTTAATTCCAGATTACTTTTAATGTTTATATTGTCCATTCAAAAGAAATTTCTCCTTATCGTCGAAACAAGTCAGAGATAACGGAGTATATAAAATATTATACGATGAGTAGTTACCCCCCGTGTATTTACCTAGGCCTCTTCGCCCCCTGGCTCTTCAAGCAGTTTTTCTTTTTTTGACCCTCAACCTTCACCTTAAAACAACCAATTCCAACTTTTTTTTGCTGTTGTTCAGGCCGGAAAAGAAGAAACCAAAGAACTCCAACAGGGGTAAGACAATTTTTAACAAATTAGTAATATTGAAAAGGGTCTCGATTTTATGGCTTTGGCGTTTGCTGAAATTTGCTAAAAAAAATCTATCATCAAGGAGCTTAAAACTTCAATTCATTAATCAATCTGCTGGCAACGCTGCTCGCCATTTTCAAAGCAATATCAACTTAGTTTTTCAGTCACTTCAAAACATTAGTAAGGTTTTTTACTAGATGGGAAATAGGCTTGGTTCTTCTTTCGCGGACGGGCATGTTCGAATAAGAAGGGTGGGCTGAGTCAAAGACTCAAAAGGCACGTTTTGAAAGATTAGAAATTACTCTTGTTGCTGCTTAATAGTCTAGCGATGGTAACTAGCTATCCTTGCAGGAGAAAAGCGAAAGAAAGAGCAAGTATTGGAGTTTGAGGAAAGCAGTTCTACACAAAAATCAAAGAAAGCTAAGAAGCAACCGAAAGATGAAGAAGCAAGTAAACAGCCAACTAAGAAAGAATCTTCTCAGAAAGTCGAAGACGTCATAAAAGAAGAACGAGGGGAAAATAACAGTGGAGGTTGGTTTTTTAAAAATTGTTTGTGTGACATGACAGAACCTGTTCATTTTCAAATAATCTCTTCTACTATTTGTTCCATATAATTGTCCCTGTTTGTCCCTATCTGGTGTTTTGTTCGACAGCTGCATTCTAGCTGTTAACAATGAGATGTACCAACAAAAGGATGGTGTCGCTATAGGTAGCTCCTGGAACCTCTTTTGGCCAATATCTTTTTTTGGCTTTCATGAAAAGCGTTTGTTCGACTACGACCAAAAGCCAGGTGTCTACTTTCGATATGTGGATGACACATATACCATTTTCAAAACAGAAGCTCAGTGTGATACTTTCCTAAAATGCCTTAATAGCCTTCACCTAACCCTACAATGGAAGAAAATAACTCCTTGCCATTTCTAGATGTTTTGGTTGAAAAGTCTGGCACTGGATTTCTTACTAGTGTATACCAATGTAACCCTTATTTTCGGGGTTATACACTCGATGGAGTTCGTTTTGCCCAAAACAAAGAGAAATCAGTCTCATCAAAACGCTTACTCATATGGCACTGATGATTTGTTCAAGTCTAAACTCGACTCGGAACTTGAACAACTACAAAATATCTTTCTGGAGAACGGCTATTCAGAGGATGTCATTTCAGTTTACATTTAGGAGAAGATAGCAAATTTCTCGGCTGACGTAAAATTTGGTCCGCAAAAGTGCCTGGTCTATCTAAAACTACCCTGGATCGGCAACAGTTCCTTGCGTTTTGAAAGTCAAATAAAACAGGCCATTACAAATTGTTTCTTTGCAGTGAATCCACGTGTTTTTTATATGTAATACAAAAAAGGCCCTACCATCCATTCAAAAGGGTTGCGTTCCTACCTCCCAAAAGAGTTCCGTTATTTATGAATTTACGTGCAAGTGTGATTCTGGCACGAATTTATGAATTTACGTAGAACGCACTATCCAAAGATTGGAGGATAGAATAAAACAACATGTTCCGTCTAGTATAAGAAACAAAACTCATCCCCAAAGAGAACAGCCACCTCGGTCTTGTAGATCTAAAAGTACAACTAAAACCTGCGATTCTGCTATCGGGCAGCATTTACTGGAAAACCCAGATTGTGCAAAAAACTATAATGGCGACATTTTTCGGATTATTGGTAAAGCCTGATCGTCGCTCCATCTACCAGTTTTGGAATCTATCTACATAAGCACGAAAAAACCGCTGTTGTGTAGACAGAAGGAGTTCGTTTTCACCTTAGGACTCAATTGGTAACATTCTCAATAGGTTAGCGGCACTGATTGGTCAACCTCAACAGTCATTTGCTCGTGTTTCTGATAGGCCTATTTTGATTCACAACTTGGTATATATATTTCCTAGCGTAGAGTTTTGATAAGGAAAATATGACATAGTTTCGTTTCTAATTTCAAATTTGTCTCCCTTTTAAATTTTAACATAGAGAAAGAATGGTACATTAGAGGAGTTTTCAATTCTAATACAAGTTTATAAAGATTGTATCTGGGTGATGCTTTGCTTTCTTACTGTTTTCTTTAATTCTTTAAACCCTTTTATATAACGACATCTTTCTGTCGATTCTCTTTCCTAGGATCAGAAATTGCTCCGTCGGATCCTGATGCTCCAGAGGAGGCTAAACCACACGAGAAACGACGAATCAGAAGAAAAGTGTTGAAATCAAAAACTTTTATGAACGACGAAGGATATATGGGTACGTGCTGTGTTGGCTTCTTTATTTACTGTATTACCCCTGCTTGGCTCTAATGACTAAGTTCCTGCGCCAAGGTTTAAAAGCTGCAAGCGTTTTGAATATAGTTCCAAGAAAATAGAAATTTTAAGAATGTGTTTACTGTTGACCACATAACGATAAAGAACACCATTAAATACCTAAAATACGTAAATGCGAAATCAGTTAAATATCTCAGCCAGTTTGTAAAACATTTAGCTGATTTCGCGCAGTTAGAGATATTTCATAATGTTCTATTAGGTTATGTCCTCTCTAGTCCAAAAATTCTAAAACAAAAATTTTTATGGCATCATGGCTCTAAATCTCTATTTTCCTGAAAATTCGATGCTTCGATACATAGGCAATGTTTTGTTTCAGTGATCTTTCGTTTAGGTTTTGTCCTTCCAAGTTCCAAAATTCTTAAAAATATTTTTATGGCGTCCAGACTTATGGATATTTATTTGTTTCAAAATATAAATGCTTTGGATTAAGAGGCAATGTTGTGTTTCAGTGACAGAAAAAGTTTACGAGTCAGAGTCTGCTTCCGAGGAGAGTGACACAGAAACGACGTCGAAAGCAAAGACGACGTTCAAAAACGATGCTCTTCATAAAAAGCCGAGAGAAATCACTGCAGAAAACAAGAAATTCAAAGCTCAAGCCTCAAAAAACAAGAATCAAAGCTCGCTTATGAGTTTCTTCAAAAAGAAGTGATGATAGAAAAGGGCTGGTGAATTGTGATGTCTGAATATCACTGTAGTAGCAACAGCAGCAACAAAAGTTTAACGACAACTTGAGTTTTGATTACCGCAACAGCAACAAGCATGACCGCTCAGTGGTAAACATGGCAACCTTTGAATATCACAAATGGAAAAACGAATTTCATTTGAAATCTTATATAGATATACTCACCATTTGTCGTGGATAAAAATTGTCATAAAGGGTATTTCCTTTTACGATTTAAATTATCCTTGAATTATTTGGTTTTGAATCGCAATGCACAATATCTTTCGCGTAGTGGCTCCTGTAATTGTAAAATAAAGGCATTCTCTGAGGGATGCTCATAGTTTGCTTTCCGTCATCCAGGTTCCCCTCTAATGCTGTAGGGGCGGTGCAGATTGCCCTCTGAAACTGCCCAAAAAATTAATTGCTCTCTTGAAATCATTTTTTTCTTTGCTTCTATTCATGAATAGCTTATCTAAAAAAACAAGGAAAGGCAAGTACTTTTCCTCTGCTAAAGGTCTTAAAAACCAGGCCTACACATTCACACATTTCACAAAGGCAACCAAAACATTGCAGGTGCATTTTTGTCCACCAAAAGAACATCACCCCCTATTCCTGCAGAAATAGGCACCAAAATAAAGAGCTTTTTAAAGGAAACAGTCATATTAAAGTGTCTAATTATTCGTTTTGAAGTTTCTAAACTAACAAGTGTTCTTCAGTTTCTAAACAGGCTTGTAGTCCAGCTTCGATTCAAGCTTCTTATTCTCGGCAACTTTGCGAACTGCCTTCATGAAATCTTCTTGGACAACATAATCACGTTCTGCCCGAATAGCAAACATTCCTAGAAAGATATTATATAGTGTTGAATCTTTTGCAAGTTCAAAAAGGTAGAGCCTTGTTACACAGTCAGTTCACGTGGTAGGGCCTTGTTAAATAGTCAGTTCACGTGGTAGGGCCTTGTTAAATAGTCAGTTCACGTGGTAGGGCCTTGTTAAATAGTCAGTTCACGTGGTAGGGCCTTGTTAAATAGTCAGTTCACGTGGTAGGGCCTTGTTAAATAGTCAGTTCACGTGGTAGGGCCTTGTTAAATAGTCAGTTCACGTGGTAGGGCCTTGTTACATAGTCAGTTCACGTGGTAGGGCCTTGTTACGCAGTCAGTTCACGTGGTAGGGCCTTGTTACGCAGTCAGTTCACGTGGTAGGGCCTTGTTAAATAGTCAGTTCACGTGGTAGGGCCTTGTTACATAGTCAGTTCACGTGGTAGGGCCTTGTCACGCAGTCAGTTCACGTGGTAGGGCCTTGTTACACAGTCAGTTCACGTGGTAGGGCCTTGTTAAATAGTCAGTTCACGTGGTAGGGCCTTGTTACGCAGTCAGTTCACGTGGTAGGGCCTTGTTACACAGTCAGTTCACGTGGTAGGGCCTTGTTAAATAGTCAGTTCACGTGGTAGGGCCTTGTTACATAGTCAGTTCACGTGGTAGGGCCTTGTCACGCAGTCAGTTCACGTGGTAGGGCCTTGTCACGCAGTCAGTTCACGTGGTAGGGCCTTGTTACACAGTCAGATTTTTGTAGCTAATATCAATATCGTCAAAAAGAGGGAAAGCTTTTCCGCGTAATTGTTGTGACTTGCGCTTCAGCTATGCACGAAAATTAAAGATATATTGTATTCAGCAATAGAATGTTCAACAATATTGATGGTAGTCACAATCAATAGGCGAGACAAAAAAGCTTTGAAAAGGGAATGGCACAATAACATGCTAACTTTGGAAAATTATCGAGTTTGATACTTGGCGTAAACTGAGGTTTGTTTTGAAATACAGGATTTACAATTTGTAAGAACACGATGAAAAATTCTAAGCATGTCGGTTACAGAATTTAGATGGTTTAAAAAGACACGACCGAAGTTTCAAGGTAAATATAGAATGTTTCTCGTAGGATAAATGGTAATTCTAAACATTTTAAGACAAGCATCAGCTTCAATTTATCTTCTTACCTGCTTCAGTGCAAACATTTCGGAGATCAGCACCATTAAAACCATCAGAAAGCTTCACTATCGCCTCGTAGTCTAAAGTGAGATTGACAAAAATCAGATTTGGCAAAAAGAGAGGGGTGGGAATTTTGACAAGGATCTGGGGAGACTATTTAACTGGATAATCTATAGTGTTGATAGTAGAAAATGGCTATCGTTAACTTTCAACAATTTTCTGCAATTCTCGACAGTCAATTCAGACAACGCATTTTCCTGCTGCAGTTTGCGGCCCAAAAGTACCGAAAATAACAACGAAAAACGGGATTTGGCCTCCGTGTACAAATACAGTAAGATATTAATCCAAAGTGTTACACCAAAGAAGAAAATGCAATAATTTGCCAGGAACTCTCCCCTGTTAATAATTTGCCAGGTTTTTGAAACGTTATATCATTATTGACAGCAAACTGACGCCCCTGGTGGGTTTTCCCCCACTGTTACTTAAAAACAAGCTGGACAAAAATGTTGTAAGGATTGATACAGAATGTTTATTATCAATTGACATTACCAATTTCTCCGTGCTTTGTTATGTTCAGTGCATGAATCTTCAAGATATCCATCCGTCCTTGCTCATTCGGGAGTTCAATGTCTGGCGGACATAGAAGAAAATGTGATGTAAATAGATTTTATCAAAGAGTATTTTTATAGTGCAATGGACACAGTAAACAAAAGTTGCACTCACAAACGAAATTGAAAGCGAAATATTTACGAAAACACTTACGGATCTTGCGATCTAGTCTTCCGGGCCTAAGCAAGGCAGGATCTAGTGTATCAGGCCTGTTTGTGGCCATTATCATTTTCACCTGTTATGTTAAAACATATTTCGAACATTATTTGTCTGAATGAAAACAAGCTGGAAAAAATATTGTAAGGATTGGGAGGATGGTAAGGACCATGTATTTGATATAGATCGATATACGACTGAAGACATAACTGACTGTTTTCAACGATAATAAAGTTTGGATATTAGAAACGAATGAAAGACCAGGTCGAGGTACATTACCTTTCCTAAAGCATCGAATCCATCCATTTGATTCAGGAGCTACAAATAATAAGGAAAGGTTGAGCATTCTATTTTTCATCTGATCTTTATTATGATCTTTATTTATCAATTTTTCAGACCCTGAACAAAGTTGTCAACATGCTTCTACTCCCTTATTCTTAAAATTCATGTATCATTTTCTTCCATTCCTATATATTGATTACTACAACTTTTCGATTTTTTTTAAGAAAAATGGCGTAACTTTGCTGGAACTATCCTGAGCTTTCCAGGGTTTGCTCGAGAAAGGGCGGTTTTACTTTTGGACTCACGCTTCTCGAGCCAACAACAAAAACATTGCATTATTTCCATGCATGACTTTTTACATGAACTCCACAAAGGCCCCCCCCCTTTTCCCACTACTGTTTCCATTTTACCATGATATTGAAGGATATCATCGTACACACAATTTGAAAAGGCCAGAGGCTCCAAATGTTGGTGGCTTTACTATTACTGTTTTTACCTATCTTCACAAAACCCTCATTGGCAACCACGCTGTGTTTGCGGACTTTGGAACAGAAACAACAAAAGAAAGACATAGCAGAAAAGATCCCACCTGAATGAACGCATTTGGGGCTAAGTTAAGTGGCTTATGCTTGGTAAACACAAGATACTATGAACTTTAAACACTAACAGACTTTAAATCTAAACGTGCCCGGGCAAGAAAATGCCACAATTCAGCGCCGAAATCAAAACACTGAATGAATCAAGCCAGTAAGGTTGACAATTGTCATTCAACAATCAAGTGATTAGCGGTCGCTGATTGGTAAAAAACAAGAGGCCAATCAGACGGCTCAATCATCCTCTCACATTACTTCGACCCCACCTGGATTAAATTATCGGTTTTCTTTTTGGTTTTCACCCGACATCTAATACTCTGTGGAGTGTCGGACAAAATATATTTCAGTATGCAGGAATTCAGGACTGCTAAGGTTACTGTGTTGAAAGCGTTGAAATAGCTAAGGTGGGCTTTAGGTAACCAAATATTGCTATGACCAAAAGTAACCGAACCATGAGAATACGGTGAACTGCTTTTAATTTTTACTGACAAGTCTAAAAAACAAAAAAGCCAGTCTTCCTGTCTATTTATTGGAAAAAAAGACACGGAAAGGGGCGTTTCGTCATTGCGGCGCGGGGGCCTAAGTTGTACACATGCTTCTGCCCGAAGGGTTTAAAAAACTTTACCTTAAAATCCAGAAAATCTTACAACCTGTGTGCCGTTAAGATTAAAACATCTTATTAGGGGACATTCATGTACTAGACAATGAACCTTGAAATCCTTGTTCATGCGTAATTTGACCACCGGCTTAGTATGGGGACCTTTATGGACCAGATCATTAAACAAATTCCTAAACTCCTATTGTAACAGACAGAGAAATACTATGGCCAGTAGAAACGAAAATTAATTAAATACTGATGTGAGTGCAAGCCTCGATATGTTTACCATGTCATTGCCTTCCTCAAGGCTCCAGGCTGGGCTCCATGCTTTCAACCGAAAGAGCAAATAGACCACTTTTCTACACAGAATTTCCTTAAAGATATCATTGTTAACGATGCTGCATAACACAGATAAACTGTTTTTCCAAAAAACTTATTCAGAGGCAAAGTGGTAATGGGTTCCTGTTTAAAAAAAGAGGTATTGGAAGCTAAACACTTATTTCATTGACTTCATTTAAAGACGTACCTCCATGAGCGTTCGTTGAATTTCTCTATCTGCAGATGTACCCTCAGAAAACCGTCTTCCTCCTGATCAAAAGAAACAGTTCAGGTTAATTCATCATCGCAAAACCAACTCCACTGAGTTTTATAACATCTAATCATCTAAATGATTAAGCTGAAGCACAGTATATGGTACTAAGGCAATGAGAAGAACACGGGCTAAACGGATTTTTTAAAGTGGCAAGCAGGAGAAATTGGCTTGGCATTAACTAAGCGTTCCAGGACCCTCAAACCGCATTATCCCAGACTCGAAAGGAGATTCAACTAATAAATATTTTATGTAGTTTCTGATAAGCCCCCTTCTCGGAGTATTTCAAAACGTACATTTTTATGGAAAACAATGCAAGGAGACGGGAGTTAAACGCTTCTACAATAAACTACCATGGTTTATTTCGTCATTAGAAGGTATCATCTTTTTTCATGTGTTTTGTGTATATGAAGGTTTTACTGTAAGGGAGATCGTTTGTAAAAAATGAATTTTTCGTCCACAGTTACTACATAGGGATTTTTGTAAAGGAAGACATAAATTGTCACAAACAATTTCTTACCAATAGCATCAATTTCATCCATGAAAATAATGCATGGCTGATGGTCCCTTGCGTATGCTGCAAGAAATATTCATATAAAATTATAACAATGATAAATGAAATATAAATAAGAAAATTTCTGAACGAGGGGAATGAATATAAATCAATTCAGGTCATTGGCTATTTCTCAGCAAAATATGCGAGGGGTTCAGCTGGTTTGCGGATTTTGAGGCAATTCAATTTGGTGGTGTTCTTTTAGGATATGTACTCTGAATAATGTATTTTAAATAATATATGTAGTATAAGATATATTTTTTGGTGTTATCATTCATCTTGCATATCTTTGGGTAAGAAGTCTTTTCAAACTCTTTAGTAAGCCATATGTATCCTGGTATTGTGCTTTATTTGCTAGTTTTTATACTTGCATTGCTGTGTATTTTCTAAAAAGGGCCGATTTCGTAAGATTGTATCATTGTTTGGGAGTTTGGTTTACTTTATATGTCGATAAGATAATCTTCAGCTTTCTCTTGAGGTGAATAAAAATTTTCAGCTTATTTGTGAAGCTTTTGCAAGGTCTATTAAAATGCTAGCTTGCGTGCTGAACAATGAAATGTGACAATATAACTGGAAATCATGATAGAATTGTACTAGGGAAAAAAGCAAAATTAAAAATAAATTCGCCATTTTTTTCCTAGTACAATTTTACCTTAATTTCAAGTTATTTTATTAAAATGCAATTGTTAATGCTAGGGAAAATATACTACAATTGAATCTCTTGCGGTTGCCCAAAAAAAGCTTTTGCAAAATTTAACTGAGAGAAAAGTACTTCAAAAAGAAAATAAAGTCTGTATTACCAAACATTTCACGAATCAATCTTGCACTTTCACCGATGTATTTGTCTACAATGGCACTTGATACAACCTGAAAAACGAATGAAAGTTTCTTAAAACCCATAAATCTGGATGCCTGCTCATTACTGTGAATCAAAGAGTTTTGAATAAAAATATCAAATATCTAGGATAGTGGCAGGGTACGTATGAAGCACGAAGTTACCACAAGGCATCCTAGAAACGAGTATGCATGTTACCTGTAAAGAATGAATTAGAATAATTCAGATACGGTCATGATGCAGTGAGCTCAGAAATATCTTGGTTAACGGAGAACTATAGAATTTCTGATACCTAAACCGTATGCTTGTTTTCTTACGCTCGTGTTATATATTTATGTACATGTGTTGTGTATTTTGTTTTTTCTATTTTTCTTTAAACACTGATGTTAAGCTTTTAGAAGGCAATCAGTATATTGGTAGATAGATAGAAATTCAGAGATACCTTCAGATTAGTTACCTGGCTATAAAAAATTATGTAGACTAGCGAATCCTTAAAAAAACTTAATATTATCCAAGCTAAGGCCTGAAGAGTGCAGAGTCTTCGTTTTGAATTTTGACCATTCGGATCAATTACAAAATGCAAGGAAAGCTAAAAAAATGAAAGCCATTTCTGGAGATCGAAAATTTCCCATTAAGAAAATGATACATCTCTGTTTTGAAACTGCGAGTTGCAATATTAGGGTTACCCCAAAAGTAGAAAAATCTTCTCATTGACAAAAAGCTAGAACAAATTGTATGACTTTCGGCATTACCTTCAAGAAATTGCAGTCAAGTTGGCTTGCAACAGCTCGAGCTAGCAGAGTTTTACCAGTTCCTGAAATAAATGTGTCAAAAGATTCAGCAGATAAAATAAATTTATACTCAAAAAGAAAGGGCAGACATGAAAGCCAGAAATTTTACTTTTTTTCTTTTTCACTACAAATAAAGAATTATTGTGCCCTGTATTTTTAGATTTGTTTACATTTTTTATAAATTGTTTCGGAATTCAACAAAAGAGGTAACCAGTATATATCTTTGATCAATGAAAAGTAAAGTACTTGTTGGTTGCCACTAACTCTGGCCTTGAAGTAACTTATGATTGTGAAATGAACTCAGTTCTAAACACTCTATTTTATCATATATGATTAGCAAAACCGCTGTGTATATAAGCTTTACACAAATCCACTAACACTACGAATATTTTCAAAATAAAAATTAAAATAACTCATTCAAACGATGTCAAGCCCCAATGCTATGTTTTACCAAAATACAATAAGAGAACTAAAATTTGGTGTTTTGCGTAATTTTATACTTGATCTTCCTAGCAATTAATATTAACAAATATGATATCTTTCAAATCAGCCAATTAATTAAAATACCACTCGAAAGACGATACTCGGCTCACACCATTTATGAGCCTTAAAACTGTAATGAGCGTTCTAGTTCGTGTTATAGTTTCACCAGAGGTGAAATTATCAAGTGAAGAATACATATTAATTTTTAGGGCAAAGATTTCAGCGCTCAATCCATCAAAAAGTTTTGACATAACTATGCTACTTAAAGTTTGTAGCTGTATAAAAGAATCGTAGCATCATTGCTCACGGCATTGAGCTCTAGCTAGACTTTCTTTCCTATATATAAATACATATCTTCAGCTTCACTAAATTTTTAACCTTAGCACTTCCTAATTTTCAAATCTTACTCTGAAATCAGAAATAAACGTCCCCTCCTCCATTTAACTTTTCCGAGATTTTGAAGACCCCCTGTTCCTAATTGTAACCCCCAGTCCCATGTTCTATTTTGATTAGCAATATAAGTATCACGTACCTGGTGGTCCATACAACAAACATCCTTTTGGTGGCTGTATTCCAACTCTGTTAAACAACTCTGGATTTATCAATGGCAGCTCGATGACCTGCACGTGAAAAATATTGGCTTACTTGTAACATTACTTCAACACGATTTAGGTTGTAAGGGTAAAATTTCTTTGATAATCTATTTGAAGCTGCGCTATCGTTGATTAAATAAAATTAATTGGAAAAAAAGCATTTGTCTTCATTATTCTCGTTTAATAATAACGATATTTTGCAGCTGAAATAAGTTTTACCAACATTGCAGTAGCTTTAATTTAGTAAGAAAGGATCTATTCCAGATCACCATACCTCTCTGAGTTCTCGGATCTGTTCATTGAGTCCACCAATTTCAGCATAAGTGACATTACCAGGGTCTTCATGTGACATATTGTAAACTAATGGGTCAACTTCACGTGGAAGTCTCCTGTTTAAAATAAAAATAATAAATGATGACATGAGCTGCAAATGACTGGTAGCCTTCTTATTTACATTGTCTGACATTTTCTAGATGAAGAACGAGTTGCCCAAAGCTAAAAAAAAATTTTTTATAAAACATTTACACAAATTCAGATCAAATTTTGTTGAAAATCAATTCCAGTACACAAAACTTGGCTGAAGGATGTGCCCCAAAATTCGAAATCTTGATTGATCTATCATAAAAGGACCCTTGCTTTTCAAAAAGCCATCTTCAAAATATGATTAAAAAATATAAGTTTCTTTGGAACCCAAAATAAAATGTACATACCTCATTATAGTGAGGGTTGTCATATCAAGTGCAACCCTTGTACCTTGTTTTAGCTTTCCTTTGTCAATCTAAAAATAGGATATGCAAGAACAAACATCATTTTTCTGAAAGAGTACAGGCTTTTGGAATTAAAACGTTCTAAAGAGCAGTATTGGGTTTAGATTTTGAATGGCATTATTTTGACCTATTAAAAACATTACAAAATGCAGATGGATTGTAAATATGTGTTAGATACACGTTTGGTGAAATTTTAACACAAGAGAAAAATCAATGGCATTTTTAAAAATTACCAGCAAAGTAGAAAATCATAGGATTGTACAAAATTTTATGGAATTCCTATGCAATATTTTTAAAAGTTGAACATACCCCTCTCCTTATTCCAACAACATATCTAGGTCCATTAGTTGCCTTTACAATGTCTATGGAAACAAAAAACTGTTAGAAAAATTGTGTAAAGATTAAGAGTAATCACAAATATAACAAGCTTGTCAAATCATATTAGAGCTGCAAATCAAATCTATTTTAGGCTGCAAAAATACTTCAAGGGTCCCATCTTTAACTTCAAAGTAGAGGAGATACTGAGTAGCGAAAGTCTGTATAACAAACCTGAATAAAACATCTAATTGAAATGCAGACAAGGCCATTTAAAAGCAGCATGACGTCATTCAGTTACACAGCATGGACACATTCCGACCACAGACTTAGAATGATTGTAAACATTTAATATTTTTCGATCCTAAAAAGCTCCTGCTGTAGATTTAGATGCAGTTATCAAGGTGTGACCATGACTAATTCACGATTCGGTGGAAGACATACCAAATTCATGGTGAACGAGAGCCGCACATTGTGACGTCAGGATGTCACAAAACTGATCAGGCTTTTGTCATTTTTCTCGGAAAGGTGCAACTTTAAAGCCTTATAACTTCTAAACTAATTGAAATTTTGCAAAAACAATGACTTTGCCATAATACACGCATCAGATGCTAACTTTTTAGTCAATAAAAAAAAGGCCCTTTAAGTGCAAATTGCTAGAAATAACAAGGCCTGCTCAAAAATCTATTTGATATTATATACTATATGTGTTATATGATTAAACTTCTGACTTAAGTTCACTTGGGTGTGCCCTGATTATGGTTAGGCATAATTTTGAATGTCTGAACCCAATCTGGGCTTTTTGGCACTTGAATAGATCTTAACAAGCATTATTTTCTGTTTTGCACCACAGAGATCTCCTTGGGCACCACCAGGACCTTCTTTGCATAGACATTGAAAGTTTGGATTCTGAGAACATTTACTCGTTCTTCCAAACATAAAAGCAATAGTGAACAGAAAAGTTACAGAAGCAACCATTTCATATATCACAAAGATTAGGCTAGAAACTCTTCCAATTGAAACACATCCTTATGGGTGAGTCAGAAAGATATTTCTTAATGCACCTTTTATGCTACAATCTTTGTAGTGTAAAATTTTTTGTAAATCTTATTTACTTGCATTGAGCCATTGTGAGTGTTATTTGTAGCAGAAGCTTAATGACTGTTAATCCTTTCTAGCTGTGAATGATATACATATAATATATTATTTTCTTAATCTGGTTTAACTGATGTTGTTCTTTGTGCATTTTAATATTTTATGACAATAAACAAACAAATATTTCTTATGTAGGGTTCTTTGTACCAACAGTATAAAATTTTTTGAGAATTGTACACAAAAACCTATAAAGCAGTTAGTTGTTTGCAAGCCCTACTCTTAGAAACAGAAGTGAAAAGTTTCTGAAGCCATGCATTCACTTACATTTTTCCTCTGTTAGCTGTTTCAATACTTCGCCCACAATCTGTACAGAAATAAACATATTAGATATATATCTCACACAATAATGCATGTTCAAAGCAAATTGTTTTTCTGTTAAATAATAAAAATAGCTACATTTTTATTATACCTATATTTTGATACTTATAACGTAAAAAAGAGAAACTTTTGCACTAGTTTCCAGACTGCAATATTGAAATGGACACATGGTATTACAAATAAAACTCTTTGACTGAACAATAAATGTTCACATTAAAAAACACAAATTATGTCAATGTAAACAATTAAAGGAAAACTGACACACAAAAATAACTTTGGCTTATTCTATGCAGACCGTGTCACTGACTTCAAATCTGGTAAAATTTTTCTTCTCAGATTCACTGTTTTTTCCTTTTTTTGCACTTTTATCTGTCAATTATTCACAGCTAGGACTCGAGAATTTCCCGAAGCAGAAACACTGAAGTCTTTCACTTGAATGGTGAAAGTTCAAGTGAAGTTTCGTGTTTTACTGAAAATATTATGCGATAAGAAGACAAAAAATTTTCAGACATGTCATTTCTAAGTAAAAAGAGCTAGAAAACCCCAGCTGCAGGTCTGCTAAAACGCTGGTATCCACTTAAAACTTATTTTTATGCCATGATAACTTCAAACCAGCATGCGTCAAAACATTGGAAGAACCTTTAAGCTTATGAAAGAAGAAGTTGACTTTGTTTGAAAACTGATGCTGTTTCTCCAAACCTTTATTTTTTATTACTACAAATGAAATTGCAACAGCAGGGGGAATTGAAGCTATAGCCAAAAAGACAAACAAAACCCAGTCAAGATGGCAGTAAAAGGGATCCTGTAATCTGCTTGAAAACATGCTATACTAAGCTTTTTGGGTGACCCCCTGTTCTTAAATTACTGCGTTAGACGTATTAAAAAATGTTACATTGATCTTGAATAACTCGCAATTCTGTTTATCATCTAGGCATTTTAGCAAATAAGACCAATCAGGCTAGACAGACAAAGCAGTCTGGACAAAGAGGTCTCAAACTGAAATGAAATCCTAGTAATATGATACCTGATATCTCATTCAAATTGTAGCAATAGCAATGTTTTTAATAGAAATTCAGTTTGTACTGTCAGTCTGTTATTTGTTCATATTATCATTACCCATAGAGGCATTGGACGACCGTCTGCCCACGCGGCAGCCCTGGTTAGTGGCACAAACTCAGATGGCTAAAATTTCCTAATCAAAATCAAAATCAGTGGAATAAAACTATAATTCAGAGTCCCAATCTATTGAGAAAGTCACTTATATCTGAAAAATGCAAAATTAGCTCTTTGTACATGCACAAAAAACCTTCATCTGCAGCATTTTCTGAAAGGTTTCTATAGAGAAACACAATATCTGCTGAGAACATTATCTTTCATTTGTGACAATTCTCCTTGAATCTCAAATTGTCAGAACAATTGATGTTTCTCAACTTAAAACGCCTGTATTTCAAAAATGGTAACTGATTCAAAAATGATTCAAAAAATTTTTTGATACCAGCATTTGCTTGTCACTAACTACAAATTTAGCCAAACTTAATTTTTGCATGTCAGTTCTCCTTCAATACATAGACCAATAGTACTATCTGCTATATGAGTAGCATTTATGCCACCATAAAGTAACATTTGCTTTTTTTAAAGAAAAGGTATGAGAGCAATGAAAAGTAAATAAAGAAGAGCTCACCTGTCCAACACTTTGTAATGCTTTAAGGTCATTTTCAGATTTATCATAATTTTTGCTAAGATATCTCAACTTCTCTCTCACTAAAATTTTAAACAGTGCATAATAATAATCAAATGTTAAGAACACAAATATTCTATAACAACATAATATATTCTGTAGTTTTTTATTGGAAATCTGATAAAATATTCTTTCTATGATTCATGCTCTTTTGCAAAGGATGCCCCACTCTCTCTGATACATATAACTTTTCACAGACAGAATCATTGTTTATAAATTAGAGTTAACACAAAATTTAGGGAACTTGTCTTGTAATTTTTTCAAAAAATAATTGAGCTTGCTATTTGATTGTGATTAAAATGAAAGAGAGAGACAAGAAGTTGATTGTGTTGTCTTCTTTGTGAAAACAATTTCATTTGGCATATGATATTTCTATTGTTTAGCATATCCTTGAATGCTTGGTGTCTATCCTTGAATGACTTGACAAGTAGAAACATGGAACACCCTATAAAGAATTGTTTGTATTTCTATTGCTAAGGATGTGCACCTTGGTACATGATAAACTTTATCATTTGATAATAATTAAACAACTAACCATTAGTTTTTGCATAGGGAGCCTAATCAACAAACCTCAAACACACGTATGTAAAGTAAATTATATTTCTTGTTACTTCATATTTTTTCTATTTATTAGTGTTTAAAGCTTTGGGTGATGTGCATTTTTAAAATTGTATTTAGGATTGATTGATTATAGAAATGAAAAATACTTTTCACATTGCTATATATATGTAGATCAAATTCAAATTCATTGGTATTCAGCAACTAATTACAGGGTACTTAAATTAATTATTACAGTAGTTAATACAGAATATATGACATTTATTTTAGCTAATAACAAAATAAGTTGCCTAGGAGGCTGGGAGGAACCGAAACGGTTTTCGAGCCTAGCCCCCTAAGATCATTATTATGTTTTGTTTTAAACACTTTCTTATAAAATAATATTGAATGAAACAAGCAGTCTTAAACGAGCAGCTTCTACATTTTTGCAAAATGCATTCAATTACAGCAACTGTTTTTTAAAACTTTATTCATTCAATCGTTTTGAAAACTGCATTCGCCTTGATATTGGCTAGGGTTAAACTCTGTAGAAGTAATCAATTATCTATTTAATAGAAAAAAATAAAACTTTATTTACTTTCTTTCAGTCTAGCTTCCACCTCTCGATGCTCACTGAGCTTTTTCCTGTAATCAGAAAGGGCCTTTTCTCTGGACGCCGTTGCACTATCCATCTTTTCAATTTGCTTCTCTAACAAAGTCTTCGGCAGTTGTGAATGAATCTACCATTAAATAGCCTCGTTTCCAACGAATCGTGTCTCTGTTTCATCTATCAAATATGATGTCATACCTTCCGTGGAAACCAACGAGGTGGTGGAAACTTAAACGGTTCCAACACCCCCGATTTAGGCGGGAGTCTCCCGATTTTTGAGTTCATCTCGTGTTCTCCCGATTTCAATTCTAACCTCCCGTTTTCAGAAGTTTTTTAATAAATCTGTGGCGAAATTCAATTTCTAAAAACATGTTGTGCAAATAAAGAAAATATACAAGAGTGTATGTGAAATTTGTCAATGTGATTTATTGCAACATCCCAATATATCCAAATTGATGCAATTATACAAACAAAATTTATTAGTACTTTTAGAAGTTAAACTCAAAATATGATGTAAAGAACTGAAATGAATTTTCGAATTTTTCCCTATCTTTTTCAAAGCGAAGTTTCAGTATCTATGGTTATCTAAAGCCTATTCCATAAATGATTCTAATTATCTCATTTTTACATTCGAGCAATTAATCCCTCCTGGTTTTCACGACTTCTTAGGCTGCTTGAAGGGATGCCTGCACAAGATTAGGGCAGGAGGAGCAGTGTTGGCGGTAAGGGCAAATCATAGAATTTTTCTACTAACATGATCGAGTATTCCTGGTTAGGGAGGGTGGGGTAACATAACAAAATATTAACATGCATATATGACAACCATACAGCTGAGTTTTTCTACCACCAATGATTCTAAACATAGAGAAAATGTTGACGAACATATCCATGCATAAATGAGTATTAAATGGCTTTGTCATTATACACAATATTTGGATTTAAAAAACTCACGGCTGTTATAAATGGGCTGGTTGTAAAATTTTGATTGCAAATGCCTTTTATCCTTCTTTAGTTTCTGGAGTACTTCAGAGTACTTCTTTTGTTTATCTACTATTATCTTTGCCACTCTCCTTCTTTTTACCCACCTTGCTACAGACAGCATTTTCAACCTTTGTGTTTTTGTGCTGGTTTTATCATTTTTCCAATATTTTCTAATAGAAATTAACATAACGAGAGCGGTTAAAGTGATCATCAATAATCAATAAGATTTTATAATATTTTCTTATATTTCAGGGCACTTCTTGCCCCCTCTGCCCCTCTCTGAAGAGCTGCCCCTCCAGCCCCCCCGGTGTAGGCGCCCCTGGCTGCTTGAATTGTTTCGCCTCCATGAAATATTTTTAAAAGCTATAAATTTTTAAGTTTGCGTCATCTTCACGCAATCGGCCGAAGGTGCGGACACGTTCATCACTGTCATAGCCATATTAATTTGCAACGTTCGTCACTGGAGCTTGCGCTTTTTGCATCGTGCCCAAGTAAAAATTAAAGGAAACTTCAGTGAATAGTTCTTCAACAACGCTTAGATTTAAGTTATTCTACTCAGCTTTTAAAAGCAGAATATTTGGAAGTGAAAAAATGCACGCGATAAGTTTTCAAGAAGGGGCGCCTTTTACCATTTTTACAATCAGGGGCGGGGGTTGTGCCTCCGTTGCTCCCCTGGCTCCGGCGGCCCTGTAATTGTACAAAAAGCATCTACCGTATTTTCTCGAATATGCACGCTCTTCAAGGATGGTAATATCTTCGTTGAATATATCGGAAAATATGGTGTTCCCACTGACGGGGATGTTTCCGAAATTTTTGGGATGTCTATCATCCAGCAAGGGAGTTGGGGCGAGAATTTATGAACCACGAGGTTACGAGACGAGGACCGCATGGAGGTTGAAGGCAGTGCTGCTAGCCAGGAGTTAACGAAAAAGCGACAAAGAATTGAGGCAGAAAATAATCAGACAATTAAAAAGGTAACATGAAAAGATTTAATAGAAGTTTTTCATTTCTTTGTGTTGTATCACTTTCTCTGTCATTGATTATTATCGTTGTTTCGTAAATAATTAGGTTGCGAATCTTAGGCCTAAGTTTGAAAGGACAGAAATCGAGGAAGTTGCCAAAATGAAAACGGGCACCGATAAGCCCTTACAAGTTGTCATTTCACTAGAAATTCTCGAAACGTTTCAAATATCAAACCTTGTTTAAATTTGTTACTTCTTTAAAGAAAATTCGGCTATTACAAGGCTCCTTTAAAGTTCATTTGCCTGTAGCAACAACCTCGAGCTAATGAAGTTTGCTGTGCTGCAGCTGCAATATCACCTCAAAACGACATCCCATTGATAAAATCAGGCTGCTACTTGCAAGTAAATGTAGGCATCAATGTTTTATCGTATTTCATTGTCAATGAAAATACACAGAGAACACTACTGTACATAGTATTCTACTCCGAAGCAGTTTTCTTAATGCTTTTAATGCTTAATTGATTTCTGTGCTTAATAGTTTCCAATTGTGCAAGTGCTAATATAAATTTTGCTTGTTTAAATTTAATTAAATTTTGAAATTCCACTATAGACAAAAATTTATCTAAAGCTATCACACAATCAGCTAAAATGCAATCACAGCAGATGGTAAATTGTCACAGACAACGAAAATCCCCTGTCTGATAATAGCAACCCAAGCAGACTAAATGTTCCTTCAACTTTTATGCAAATTTGCTTGTGTATTCTTGTCGCTTATACTGGAACACTTTCCGACAATTGTGTTTCCTCCAGTGCTTGATAGTTAGCAGTGACAAATGAAGGAAAATATTTATATTCCTAAAGAAACAAAGGGAGATAAAAATTGTTTTGAGATAGCAGTTTTTGGAAATTGTTGCTGAGATAAGAGCATTGATTTGATAAATGCCATATGTTCTGTGGTTTCTACTATTTTATTTGTTTAAATGTCCAATTTTCAACATCATTCCAGTTGTATGCCAGTTTGTTTGATGATCAACGAGCTCTATCACTGTGGTTGAAATTCATCCTCTTGTTAAACAGATGATTCTTGTATATTTGACACAAATTTTGCATCATACCTTAATAACATGTTTTTTGTTCTCCTTTGCTTTTTGTGGCCAATCCCTGTGCTTTTCCCTGTGAAATAAAGGTTGAATATTCAACTTTGTTGCTTTTCTCGCTAGACATTGTGTAGAACACCACAATTTGCTGATCTACTTGTTCAGCTTAGTTCTATCTATAGTTCACATTATGCAACCTTTTTGGCTTCATCAACCTCACATAGTTTTCATACAATCTAATTTTGCACTTTCAGTCAGTCAGTTTCAAATTTAGTACTACAAACTGGAAAAACTGTTCTGTAAATCATTTGAAATTCATAAAATATTAGATATATAATGTCATAAACAGGCGTGATTTATCCATTTAAAGGACAAGTGACACGCTTTTGGCGCCAAATTTTTTTTTCCTTCTAACTTAAAGTAAAATGCTGTATGAGAGTGTTGTTGAAATATTTTTTCTTTCTGATTTCATTTTCCCACTTAAAAACCCATTTGAAATTATGGCGGGAAATGAATCACGTGACACCGTGACGTAGATTGTGATAATTTGTTATTGCTGCTACTGGTATAGAGTGCAATATTAACGTTAACAACACGCTTGTAAACGAATACAGTTCGTCTGGACCTGTCGCGCCGTGTTTCGTAAACTCTCTATCAATTACAGGAAAATTCTGAGTTATCACAATGTACGTCATAGGGTCACGTGATAAAAAGCAAAATCGCGCCCCCTGCGCCCCCTGATTAGAATTTTTTGTTCCAAACCAGGAAAAACTTACTTCTAAAAGATGATCTATAAGTTAATGAAAAGAAAAGATAGGGTGAAAAGTGTGTCACTTGTCCTTTAAGATCATGTTTACTCCTGTTGTTTTTCACTATTTGCATGCATATGGGAATGAAGTCACCACAAGCAGGCCTCTCTGGAAAAAAATACAACGTGGGCTATAAAAAGCCCTTGCCAGTTTGGCTGCGTGGGCTATTTAGCCCTTGCAGAACTGTTGTTAATTTATTAATATTTGAGTATTTACAAAGGCAAAAATACATTACCTTGCTAATTCTCTAAGCACTTTTCATCCTAAGAAGGTATTTTGTGTGTATTACAGTAATAATTTACCACCTTTAAATTTTGTATTACCACTTCTAAAACGAGACAAATAAGGAACATAACTTTTTGGAATATAGCAAAGTTTTGTTAGGTTTGCAGGTTGAATGTGGCGCTTTTTGCCAATGCCTAGTTTATATGTTTTGACTTAAAAAGAAATTGTTTTCTATTTTACAGCATGGTGTAAGGTTTCTCACTTCCATTATTCGTAGCATTAATCATGCTATATGTTGTTCCTTTCGTGCAAACACATTTCCTATAAGTTTTAGCAGATAATACAATAGTTTGTTAACATGTCCTTTATAAAGAAACATAAGGAAACAGAAATTTCCTATTTATAACATTGTTTGATAAATACATAGACATGTAAGACCTCTTTCTCTTCATTTCCTAACACTCTGATATTTAGCGGTAATGTAGTACAAATATTGGGAAGCTAAACTGCGCAGATTAAATGAGAACGTTGAGTTTAAAAAACTGCGTGGGCAGAAAAAAGCTCTCACAAATTTATTTTGCGTGGGCGCGGGCTATAGCCCTTGCTCCGGCAAAGGCCTGGTGGACCAGAAGTGTTTCCAGGTAAGAGTTGGTCTAAATCATTTTTTCCCTGATATTGCTAGATGAAGCCCGAAGAAAAGGAAGCAATTTCTACATTGAATGCTAATGGAGACATCAGCTGCAAATCTAAAGAAGAACCAGAGGTGTCTGCAGAAGAAATGACTAGCAAGGACTATTACTTTGATTCTTATGCGCATTTTGGTATGTTAAACATAGTTTATGATTAATGCTAATAATTAGAAATTTAAACATACTTACTAATCAGCAGCTTGAAATAGCATCTTTTACTTTGATCAACTATTTCTCAAAAAGTCAGACAAAGCTTTTTTTTATTTCATCAAAACCTCTCATTTATCACCATATGAAAACTAGCACCTTAGACTGCATTCAAATTAAAAGTTTGTTTTAGCATACTTTTTTCCTTTTATGAAATTGCTTTGGTTTCTGATTTCCCGTCCTGATTGACAACCCATGTCAAAAACATGTGGACCAGGTATTTTGGAGATTAGTTCAATGTACCCAAAGAATGCACCAAAACAGGTTGTTTTCCCCTTCAAAATCGAGAAGTTTCCATCTTGCTTGCACTGCACAAGCTGCTTTCTGCTTGCAAAAATTTTGCATTGTGAAAGCAGCCTTAGATACATGTCACAGTCCAAGACATATTGAGTTAGACATAAAAATGGAGGGATTTGTAAAACTGACTAATTTGGAGCTGGGTATTTTCATTTTATCTCAAATTAAAGATGTTTATATTTTATTGTGTTGCCTTATCTCTGCTATTTGTCACAGTTTCCTAGCCTGGTGAAATTTTCCTTGTTAAAGGTTTGATGTCTTTTGATCTTCACTTGATTGATCACTTTGTTTTGATTAATCATGTTTTTCACTAGTAATTATATAAATCTTCTGTTTCTTTTTGTTTCAGGAATTCATGAGGTTAGTATAGCAGCCCTATTGTATATTACAAAATATGTTATCTATAGCTCACAAGAAAAAGGGCATATTGCTCTATGCAAATGGAATGTCACTTCAGTACACTTTTACTGTTTCTTTATTTTGAGTTGACTGGTGATCTGTTTGGGTAACAAATTAACTGTTGTGCTATTAGTCTTTCTTCAGATTTCTGAAGTTAGTTCTTAACAAGCAGCAGTAGATATTGTAGAAATGACATGATTTTGAAGTAAGCTCATGATGGGTAATTTGCAATAAAAAAGAAAAAATTTGGAAGTTATAAATTATTAATAAAATATCTAATTTGCAAATATAAAGAGATAAAATGATCGGAGTAGGTTAACCTTATTGATTTTCAAGAACTGCATATTCCCCCAAAATATTGTTGTTAGGAAAATTTTGATTTATCTTATTGGATTTAATTTTAGGAAATGTTGAAAGATGAAGTGAGAACATTAACCTACCGCAACTCAATGTACCACAACAAGCATTTGTTTAAAGACAAAGTTGTTTTGGATGTTGGTTGTGGAACAGGCATTCTTTGCATGTTTGCTGCCAAAGCTGGTGCCAAACAAGTAATTGGGGTATGTATTTGAAATTAAATATTAAATTGAGCCCTCAAAGATTTGAATTACAAGGTTACAAATTGTAAGTTTTGGTGACATAATGCCATATGCCAATCAACAATTGGCTATCATGCTTGTTGATTTGCCAATGTTGATTGACGGAGTAATTAGGCTACTTTAGTTGACTAAAAGCTTAGGGTCTTGTTGTCTTCCCTATTTTTAGTCACAAGTGTGAAACCCAGTGTAGCAGTTACTGTCTTCTTCTATAAACCAAATGTGTGTACATCTCTGCCAATTAAGCACTCTATGATAGGCCAGTTAGCAAAAATTTTCATAAATTAATTAATTTGAAGCAGAAAATAGCTTTGGCACAATCTGGGTTTTCTAAAAAAAGTTGCATGATGGCAGAATCACTTGTTTCAATAGTGTTTCTTAGACCCACAAGATTGCGACAAAGTCTATGATGACGACATGTTTCAGATAATTGGCCGAACCCAGTCATCTTTGCATCTAGCAATTTTGGAATCAATATAAACTAAAATAAAGACTAAAAGCCGCTATACAAACTAAAAAACGGCCATTGTGCAGACAGAAGGAGTTTGTTTTTTTTCTTGCACTCCAGTTGTAAGTTTCGTATAGGCAGGCAGTACTGATTTGATGGAAGTCTCCTGAAGTTTGTTTATGGGATTTTAAAAAGCTGCATGAATTTCAAATCCATAGATGGATTATGAAACTTCAAGAAAAAAATAGAGCACAGCGTTTCTCAGTTGATTTATGCAGTTTTCCAATCACTGATCAAGGTTTTGGTCTCTTAGGTCAGGCATATTTTGAAAATCCCTGATTCTCACTGTTCTTTTATTTTTGCTTTAGGTGGATTGCTCTTCAATAATTGATCATGCAACACTTATTGTGAAGGAAAATAATCTTGATCATAGTAAGTTTTGAGTGGAATATCCACATCTTGTGATGAAGTATCCATTTCTTGGGATGGAGTATAACTTTTACTCTGATGAAATCCTGTATGGCAGGGGCAAAATATTAGTCACCTTTGATTTACTTGTTTTTTGTTGTTGGTTGTTTTCGGCACGTTGCAGTACTCATTATTCCCTACATTTTTATCGACTTTCCCTCACAAGCATTTTCTGACACAGAAATCGTGAATTTGAGCAGGGGGGATGTTGATAAACAAGAGAAGACCCTGTAAATTATAGAGGCTTCTTTGTTGGTTGACAGTGGATCTTTAAGTGCCTAGAAAATGACTGAGACACCCATATCCACAATCAAATTTTTAACAAAAGGATAAAAAAGATGAATTTTAGCAATATTTAATTTCTACTGACTACCAAAAAATATGTTTACTGTATATATAGAAGAAAAAATTATCAAATTATATAAAAATATTGTTGGTGTTGCATAGTGAAATAGGTCCTTATATGCTGAGGGTGTTTATTATATTTCATGAACTATCAGCAAGTCTAGGAATTTAAATGTGATGGAACTTATTTATTCTAGAGGTGACATTGATAAAAGGAAAGATAGAGGAAGTAGTCCTTCCAGTGGAAAAAGTTGACATAATCATCAGCGAATGGATGGGATATTGTTTGTTTTATGAATCCATGCTGGACACTGTGTTATTTGCAAGAGACAAATGGCTTGTATGTGTTTGTTCACTTTAATTTTTGTTATATATATATAAGTCGCATTTATAATCTTTGGTGTTTGTTACTCTCTCTTTGCATATTGCTTGCCCACATAGGGTTGATAGATCCATTTCTTAATATTGTCTGTACTGTTGATTTGTTTATGTACAAATGTGACTTTATTGTCATTATCCAGGCACCTGATGGTATGCTGTTTCCAGATAAAGCAAAACTGTATGTTTGTGCCATTGAGGATAGAGATTACAAAGAAGAGAAGATCGACTGTAAGTATTATTTTTCTCAATTTCCATTTATAGTTTTATCTATTTTTCTCTGTACAGTTCTGAATCTTCTTTTATTTGTCCAATAATGGCTTTTACCTGTTTTCTTCTTATGAAGAGAAAAAAACTTGTTTATTGTAAAAAATGTATTTAAATTAATTCGTAACCAGTTTAAAGAAGTTACAGGGAAATGAAAAGCCTTTCTAATTCTAATTCAAAAGACCTGTCGACTAAGTCTCTCTTTATCATCAAGTATTAAGAAGCCCTCATTTTGAACTTGAATTTCCCCTTTATTTTTCAGGGTGGGATAATGTTTATGGTTTTGATATGAGTGCCATTCGCAGAGTTGCTATTTCCGAGCCTCTGGTTGATGTTGTTGACCCAAAGCAAGTGGCAAGCAATCATGGACTAATTAAGGTAAGAAAGCCCATGTCAAAGTCCATTTGGTGACAGTGGCACCAACAGTATTTTCACCTTTATTTGGAAAGTTTCCTTCAATATTCTCTGAAATCCATTGGTTAATTAAACAGGTCAATCAGAGACATACATTTATTTGATAGACTTCTTTCACATTTCTGTTTATAACAAGGATAAAATGTAAAGGAGAGACAAGTGATAACGCTTTCTAGTGAGGAAGCTATGGTATAGGTCCATTTTTTTTCCGCATCACCTGACGAAAAACAGTCAATTTTTTGGAATTCACCCTAAATTTTGTCAAACAGCTTCAGAAAGGTTAACAATTGCACAAGGAGAATCCTTCTAGACTTAAAACGAATCCAACTCTTTATCTTTGCTTGATGGCTTGCCATTTAAGAAATATGAGGCATCTTTTTCTTTGCCTGTGGAAGTTCCTTGTATAAATGTATCGAATTTTTAAATGTATGAAGCAAACTTCGAGAACCAATGTTAGTCGCCGCAGAATGTTTCGTCGTATTTTTATAACCGAAGCTGAAGTTCAAATATCCATTCTTTATAAAAGCACAGCGCATAAAAACTGAAAGCCTGCCGTTAGCAGAGGAATCAAAGTTGTAAGAGATTAGAGTGACACATTGACATATTGACATTCCCATGAAGTCTCTAGGAAACCCAAAAGTGATTACTGAAGAGATTATTTTGGAAAAAGCATTTCCATATAGTGTTTGAGGGAAAGCTTTCATGCAGTTGCCAGAGATCTTTAAAAGGTAAAAGTGGTTGGACAGTTTAGGCACCAGCTGTTGTAAAGAAGGGCGGTGCCTTGCTTCGAATTGCGGTCTATCGTCTTTTTGTTTTTGATCTCTTTCAAGGCTGTCTTTTCAGGTTATTTTTTAAGCCTTCCTTATTTCGTTGTGCCCATGACATGCTGTGTTGTGGGCGCGAAGAAAAATAGGTTTTTTCCATAAAAGTGCTCTTTGATATTTACATTAAAAATCACACGTCTTGATTTCTTATTTCTATCCTCGTTGTCAAACATCAAACCTAGTCGAACGTCTTATTTCTATCCTAGAAGATTAGCAAGTCGATGTTTCGTGAGACTTGCATGATATTTGCTTAAACTACCAACGTTGTTCCGGGAGAAAGGGGGTGGTTGTATGAATACTTGGTGACTGAAATGAATAATATAGAACACTACGCTAATCGTTTGATATTTCAAGTAATTTTAACAGGCACTGTAGTACGCCATTTTTACATTGCAGGAAGTAAGCATCGATACCCAGCAGCAAGAGGACATCAACTTCACTGCTCCATTCGAAGTCACGTGCAAGAGAAACGACTATGTTCACGCGCTGGTCACATTCTTTAGCATTGAATTCTCAAAGTGCCACAGTCGTGTTGGGTTTTCAACTGGTTAGATGTTTCCCTTTTCGTTTGCTTCGACCAAGGATAGTAAATTTATGAAAATTAATTGCTACTGCATGTAGAAGGTATAGGTAGAGTAAATAAGACGTTTTGAGAAGGGGATTGTTAAAAGGTAGAAAAGAGGCAAGTATCTGGTGAAACAATACTGCTACGAAGGAGAACGAGACTTAGAGGCAAATCATTGTGTGGTAATCTCCCACACCATTGATGGAAGTCTTGTAGTTTTATCTATAAAATGAATATATCAAGATTTATTGATATATTGTATTGAAGATTATCGTGCTCTCTATTACCATCAGGTATTTTCTTGCAGCTCCAGAAAGCAGGTACACGCATTGGAAGCAAACTGTATTTTATCTTGAGGAATATTTGACAGTCAAGGCTGGTGAGAAGATAACTGGCTCCATTACGATGAAGCAGAATGCAAGGAACAAGGTATTGAAAATCAGCAATTTCTTCAGCTTCTTTTGCTATGTTTTGTTTCCCTATTATCCGCTGTTAAGCCACATGAAAGAATAGATTGCTTATTTTTTTGAGAGTCTTTCCCAGCATTTTAAAGATTTATTTAGGCTTAGTTTCTGTAACTTATACAAGATAAGCGCTATACATGAAATATACCTCATAAAACATGTTTATTGCCTTTTAAGCTTTCCGTTTTGTCTTCGGTTTGTGGATAAGCCAATGTTTTCATGTCTTTTTTTCTTTTTGCTCCATTTTCTATTAGCATGATATGTTTGTTCATCCGAAAGAAGTATTACTGATTTCTGTAAATCGGTTCGCTTGCTGAACGCATTTATCCCTGCTGATATTCAATGCTTTCGTTCTTACTTTCTTAGCGTGACTTGGATTTCACAATCACCGTCGACTTTGACGGCGAGCTGTCAAGTTACCACAAGACATCCAACTACAGGATGCGTTAAAACCAGGCACCACAACGAGACATGGTCAGAATTCTGTCCAAACTTCAGGTGTAAACGGAGGCAGCGTGGAGATGTCATCCATTTTGGAAACACACTAACCATCACATCATTTCTTCTTCCTTTTTTAACCCAACATCACACATCTGTCCAGATTTGGGTCTTTTTCGGTACCGTCCTGGCAACACATCTTAATTTTTGTTTGTTTTGTCTTGTGGCCTTCAACCATCTGACGTTGTCTGTAATCCTTTAGCTGTTTGTCAAAATTAGATTTTCTTAAGGATACTCCCCGTGATATGAATATTAATTTAGGCATTCCCAATTCTTAGGCTGTAGACGGTCCACACAGGTCATTTGATTCTCTCCGGGCTGATATGGATAATTCTTTAGTACAGTATATAAATATAGTTAATTCGTTCTTGCACGGAACACAGATTGGTTAACTGTATTCTTTAGCTTCAAGATTTGTTTTTAGTCTAGCTTTACTGACCGTTTTTCCAAAACTGTCTTGCCGTTATTCTGTTGCAAACAAACTCGTCGAGTCGATAAAAATACCATTTACAATACAAATATACAAATACAAAAACTTGAACATAGGCCAAACTTGCAACGAATCGTTTACCTAAGAAAGTTCAAGAGTGGGTTTGAATTTGAGTCAGTCTTTGCTTGTGTCACTATAGTCCTATTCTTCGTCTTGTGTTATCGTATACAGATATACTGAAACTTCGTTTTAGTGATTCTTGTTATATGCACCATCAAATTGGGTATTGGTCATTTCCGTAGGTTTTTATTTCTTTACTGAACGAATTTTGCAATTAACTCTTGGAAGAGATAGATTTTGTGGTGTTTCTTCCTCCCTATTATGGTATTATTTCATTTAGACTTAACCATCAATTATTCTGATTACAAAATCTCAATACACAAGTTGAATAGAGCCCTCTGTTTCTTTGTGTCTTTACCTTCGTTGATGCCAAAATTTTGATGTAAAATTTAGGGCCAATGGACAATTTTGTGTCGAAAAAGTTGCCTGTTGTAATAAAAACCTGAGAATTTGAACGTACAATTTTCCGACATCTCGAAAAAGCATAGTTCTTTGAAAATTTGAAAGTCTCACCTTGAAAGTCTTTAAAATCTCAAATATAAAAATCAAACATCTCAAATATATTACTTTGTTATATATATGTACTAGATATATACCATACAACTCACCAAAGATTTACTAGATTTTAATGCAGTGATATGTTCCTTGCATCTATTTTATAATGTTATAATATCGAAAGCTGAAGAATTCTTGGTACCGGATGTTGCTCGAAAAAAAATTAACATGTCTCGTAAAAAACCACTGAGTTCCTGTGAGTGCCCAAGCAAGTGTTGCTAGTAGGTATACAAAAAATGAAAAACCTTTCAAAATAATCTAAAGAATGAGATAAAAGCAATTGCGAGAAGCAGCGAAAGCTAGACAGCCTTTTTCTCAAACTGGTGTATGTTCCATAGAAACTGTGGGATGAGTAGGAAAATGACAATGTTAAAAAATGACATAGACTAATAACAATTGTAAGTCACGTTATGCTTAGTCCTTCATAATTGCAAGGCCTAGCCCACATAATGTAGACAAGGTCCCCTTTGAAATTGACGAATGTCGTAGATCATAGCCCTGTTTTTCAGGAAGAAAAGCTTGCTTTTTGCTACCCTGCATACCTGGGAGGGAAATTGTGGAAAGGGTCTTTGGGAACAGAATGACAGAAAGTTTATAAAAGATAAAGCAAGTGAGCGAGGCAAGTAAACAAATAACGAGGAAAGATTAATTCTGTTCTAAAGTGAGTTCTAAACAATACAGAAAAGGAGAATAGAGGATAATCGAGGATCATGTCTTGTTTCCTTTATTAGGCCTCTCATAGTTGGTGTCTTTCTTCATTTGTTTGTCTATCAAGAGAAAAACAACCGCGAAACTTGCTTCTGGTTCTAGTCAAATCTAGAAAAAGAGTAACAGTAAAAGTAAGCTTTGCTCATAACTCATAAAGGAGTCTCCTAATGAACAGCTTCATAAAAGCTCAGTTTAGCTACTGCCCCCTAATTTGGATGTTCCATGACAGATGTCTGAATGCTAAAGTAAATAAAATCCACGAAAGAGCACTCAGAATTGTTTATAAAGACAGTCATGCTGACTACGAAGCATTGTTGACATTGGATAATGCAGTATCGATTCACCAATGCAATCTACATTACTTGATGATAGAAATATACAAAACCAAACATAACCTGAACCCTAGTTTCACGAGTGAGATTTTTGAAACAAAAAATGTACATTATGATTTGCGAACTAAAAATAATATTTGCATTCCAAAAGCCAGGACAACTTCTTATGGTATAGAAACTGTGAGATATTTAGGTCAAAAACTGTGGCAAACACTACCTCACAGTATAAGAGAGTCCCAATCATTGGCAACATTTAAAAAAGAATTAAGAGCACACCCTATAGAATGCGACTGTAGATTGTGTAAAATATTTATTGCTGGGTTTGGTTTTATTTAGAACATTATACCATAAACATTTTCAATAATGTAACGTTGCATAAACATTTTAGCGCGATACCATATCAGTCGTTGCATAAACATTTTTAATATTGTATCATATATTTATTTAATACTAATTCTTTATAGATAGTTGGCCTTAATTTACTTCTTTATAGCTATCAGACGTTCATTTAGTACGCCAACTTTAAACAAACTATTTATTATTATTATTATTATTATTATACCGCTTTTACTTTATGGCTGAGATAGGACCGGTAAAAATAGACGCCGGTAGCGCATTTGCTTACATTGTACCTGTCCTAGCCACAACATCCGCCGACGATTTTCGTTTATTGATGGCATCCCCTTGTAATCGTTACCTGTTCAGTGGCAATCTCGTGAAGTTGCTTGAGAATACCACTAGCTTGTATCTAAAACAATATTCAATGTCCCCAAAAGTTTTCAAATCTCAAACTCAGGGGCGGATCTAGACGTTCGCACCGTTCGCACATGCGACAGTCAAACTTTTAAAATTATACTAAGAATCCGTCTCGAGAGAGGTTTTTGCTGAACAACAACTTTTTCGCTTATTGACAAATTTCTCATTTGTGTTTTGATACTATTTACTCGGGAATTATGCTTCAGTTATATTTGACAACTGAACACCGTGCAGGAGCAGGAAGATCCAAGGTCTGAATCATGCATGATTTAAACCTGGCCATAAACAGAAGCAAAATCTTAAACACAATCTCTAATTCTATCTCGATCTTGATTCAATCTGATTCAAATCTCAAAGCATCCTGACTAAAAAACAACAGGGTACCAATGTAGTTAGATTAGGGTATTTCGGTGCACAGTATGATTAGTAGCACGTTCGCACCGATTCGCACAGCTTTTGTTTTAAAATATTTAGCCAATCAAATTGCTAGATAGTGCGAACTTCGGTGCACAGTATGTTTTTTAGTAAGGTCGCACCACTGGGCAAAGATTAATCCGTTCTCATTGCGTGTATTGTGCAGTTTTGAGCTTATTTATGCCTGGCATGGGCAAGCTTTTCACTGGCGAAAAGGAATTTTGTGTTATGGAGTCGGCTGGCTACATGTATAATGAGTACGTTAAACCTGATAATTTGGAAGACAAAGGTCGCTAGATTTTCAGAGTAACATTCGACACGGGATGTTTTCAAGTTTCGACATTCATTACCTCCTCCATGGATCAAGGGCCTACAAATGTCAATAAATGCCCTGGACTGGGGTGATACCTGTGATTTGGCTCTGGCGAATAAATAATGTTCAGGACGTTGGCAGAGTGAAATTTTCAATTGGACAAAACTTTCAAAGTGAATCTTTTCAATGTGGATTCTCAGTTCCTTATCAGCTTTCAGATATTTCCGGGTAAAGTTTACTTGCTTGGGTATTCCCCTGAATTCGAAGGGGTTTCTTCGGAGTAAAATACATGTTTACACGCTGATTTGGTTTAGCTATTAAAAAATATTAGTTATTAGTGCAGATTTTTATGAATATTTGTGTACATTTGTTCTATTTTGTTAGTTATGAAAATTCATTGTAATGATATTTTTCATTTTTTGCGTGGCCTGGTTTGTCATCGTATACCATAAACAAATCGAGAGAGACGACTCGAATGTTTGCCTGATTATGAAAGGAAAACCGTGTCAATACGTTTAAGAATTTCAAGTTGTTTCTTGCTTTACGCTTGGCTAAGAAACAACACAAATGATTCTGTAGTATCAATTGAAAACTCAGATAAGGAATAAACAACAGTTTGACAACGTTCTAAATAAAGCCAATTTAATGTGCGTGTCGACTGCTCAAATGGAAGGGGGCGAATATCCTTAAAAACCAAGGGGTGTGGTCACGAATGATATTTCCGACCACACCCTTGTGTGCGACAGTCAGAATATTTTCTAGATCCGCCCCTGCCAAACTCAACAGTCAACAATAATGTCAGATTACCTCAACCTTGTAGCTCATTCGTAAATACAACTTTGGGCCTGTATACAAAAGCATGTCGTTAAGAATAATCAAGGGAAAAGTGGGGTAGGAGAGGGAGGGGAGTGGGGAAGGAGCCGCCTCAGCCCACTGGCCGCCATATAGAGCAGATATCCAAAACTTTCAAGCCACGCGGCTGCTTATTCAAATACCATAAAAGGTTTCTTCGGTCAGCTGTCTGTGATACAGAACGCAACGGCAGCATGGCAGCGATAGTTAAGCAGGCACTTCTTTTCGCAATAATTGCAGCTTGTTTTGTGGGTATCGGAGTTGCCAGGGAATGCCGAAGCGGATACGAGAGCCCATTCTTGTATTTCTACTTCGAAAAGCATCCATGCTTTGCCAATCAATCTGCCTGCTTCCAATCAGTTACATGCGATTACACATCGTATTTTGGCAAATCAGTCAATTACAGGTGGGAATGCCTTAATGCAGCGGACTGCAAGAACACAACAAAAGGATCCTTTGCGACATACCTCGGAAGAAAAGGTTGGTTTTTCGTCTTTAAACCCAGCTATTTAGATCGAGCGTATATTCACTTCGAAAACAATTTCTTGAATGTTATCTTCGGAACACAGCTTACCTTGATGGTATGCGACTTGAGATTTGCTTATTCCCTAGACCAGGTCACTGGCATGTATGACATCTAAGGATTGGTTGTCAATCGACAAAGAACTGCATTGTGATGTTTATATTGGTAAAAGATTTAATTCATCGTTATTTTAGAAATGAAGTTGAACAAGGTAATATCTTGCCCCTGACTGCAAGATGCTTGCTTCCAGAGTACGGCCTATTGCACAGTTCCTTCCATTTGCACTGTTCCTTCCATCTGGCGACCTATGACATTTAATTTTGGCCTCATTTTTTCCACCCAGATAGCGATAGACTTGGCAAAGAAAAATAATCAAAGTTCCCCTTTACACGACACAAAAGGGCCACAAGAAAAATGTTAAATTGATGCTCTGTTACAGCCTGCTACATTTTTCCGGGGAAATCGCGTGCCGCATTTTTGTTTCTAGATTTATCTCCAAGCTTGTGGTAAGCTAAACCACACCTTAGTCAATAGACAATAGCTAAACCTTCTGTCGCAACATGCCTTTTGATCATTTGTTACGCCTCGTGCTTTTTTTACAAGAAATCGAAGTAAGATCCTAACTTGATTAAAGTTCTTAAATTTCAATCTTCAATAAAGACAGAGAAAACAATTTTCAGGGTGATAGCTCTCTATTGCATAATCTAATAACTCAAAATTCGAGTTATTACTCAAATAAACTAACTTACAATCTGTGGTACGAAATGCTTATTTGATGAACTATCATAGAATATTAGTATGTTATTTGCTTACTGTTAGTGAAAAGTTGACTAACGTGGCTTAACCTTCTGTCGCAATATAGCATAAGTTCCAAATCTTTGATTGGCCGAGCGACCAAAATTCTGCATACCCTATTAGCCAATCAGAATTCAAGAATACGACAACAAATATGCCTTGCAGCTAGATTTAGGCCTAGATTTAGACGTTTTTACCACTACCCACAAAAAATAAATGTGTAAAATGTGCTAATTAAGGCCAGTTATTTACAACATATGGCAGTGTGATTTATCTTGGTGATATATAATGATAACAAACATGAAAAAGTTTCAAAAAGTGCAAATGTAGAAATATTAAAAAATGACAAAACTCTCGAAACATACGCACGGAATGGAACATCTTGAATTTCAAGTGCGTTTAGAATATATATAACTAATTCAAAATGATCACATGATTTTTATTGTAAAACTTTATATAAATTGGCTAGATACCCATATTTAGATTGTCTTAGACGAGGCTTAGATTGATTATGTCTTTTGTCTGTTATAAACCAGTAATCTTTGATTAAATCCTTATCAGAACCATTAGAATCTCAAAAAAGACGGAAATCAAAAGGTTTCTAACAAGCCTTGTGAAAACCGACCCTGGCGAGCAAAATCCCAACAGGAGGATCCCCTTTCGAAAATTCGAACCCGGATATTTTCCAATTTCCCCTGTAAGATTTTTTGTACTCAGTCAATTTTAAGGTCCCTCTTTGGCACAACGTAACTATACGGGATATTCTCTAGAGTTATGAACAAATTTGACCCCTCTTCTATTTGAGTGCTGCCAGCATGATTGCTAATGCTACCCATCCCCTGTCAGTCAAAGTAACAAATTTTCAGTCCTCTGTCATATTTACCTGCTATCCCTGTGAAACAATCCTCGCCCGGCTTGTTACGCATGGGCTTGGTGTTGACTTGTTTTGGGCCTACACCAAATCTGAAAGTCTCAATATTTAAATGTCTCCGTAAATCATCTTTTGCTGTGGCAGTAAAGCAAAATCGAATGTAAATGTAGTCGAATTGTTGTTGACGTTCCGCCGGTTTTTTTCATCTATAAGTTAAAAGGTAGAAAATAAGGCCAACACACACCAACACCTTCGAAAGATCAAAGATACACCCCCGGTTTACAATATTGATAGTGAAAGGGGTTGAACACAACTTGCCAACTAACCATTATTTACACTTACATCTTTGAATCAAAATGGAGTGATAGTTGTTGTTCTTATTGCTTTTTTCATGAATATTGGAATTCGGTATATGATTATCATCATTGCATGCTTTCCTTGTGGCAGCGCGGCTGCGTGCTCACTGGCAGTGAACCGCGACTAGCTTTGCTGCAATCTAAACAGAGCTGGTTTCACTGTTGACGACCTCTATTTGATCAGCTTAACCGAAACAGCTCGGTCTCATTCGTGATTGAATAAAATGATGCATCGACACTTTTTTTGATTTCTCTTTCTGAATCAAAAGCAGCGAAGTAAAACAGTTTCTCCCCATGTAATCGTTTGACAGTTGTGAATCTGCTCAAATATTTATGTAGAACATCTGCGTGTGTACTGTCACTGTATTAAATGTATTAATATTTGTCCACTAGCTGCAATAACAATTTCTACATACAGTTTCGGATCAATATGAACCAACAAGATATATGGCAGTGAACACAGAAAATTAACATGTTTGATTGGCTCCTTGTTCAATCAGCGAACGCTTAGCACAAATCATGATATTAATATTATTTCAGATGAATCCTTCAACCCCTTAAATGAAATACGATCTTCTTTGCCTGGTGATTCTAAGCTCGTTTTCACAAGATCTTTCGGCGTAATCTGACTTCTCAAGTTTATTTTTTTTGGTCGAATCGCATTTTATCTGGGACATTATTTGAAATTTTTGATCATGAAAGGGCTACTTAACAATGATATTTTAATCACTTCTATCAGATAATTGATTGCTGCCCTTCATTTCAGGAAAATGCTGCTTCACTGACAACTGTAACGCGTACAAAGCCAACTGCACCGTCACAATCAAATCTGGCACAAGCAAGGTGATGCCTGGCTATCTTCCACACCTTTTTGGCATATCACTAGCCATGATCCACTACCTCTCAAGCAACTAAGATTGAAACCTTAACTCTCTACTGAAAAATATTCCCTTTTCACCTTAAGATTCATTATGTGATTGTCATGTTATTGCACGATATTCAAGAAGCATTTTTCATAAACCATAATGGAATGTCGCTTTTAAGATATGTATCTTGGACTTAAAACTATGATTGTTGTATTGTTCTTAATCTAGCATATTTTGATAAAGTCAGAGCGTGAACTTGTTAAAGTTAAAAAACAATCCATGAAGTAAAAAAGAGTCATTCAGTTAAATATTTTCAGCGATAATTACACCTCAGGATTGCAGCTTCTTCTTTAGCAGCTGCTCGCTTGCGCCATGATTGCATAATATTGTGTAATCTTGAGTTGCACGAGGCCAATTGAACAAATGGAACAAAGAGACTTATTGAAAATAAAAAATAGTAAATTAAAAAAGTCAATGCGCAAAACCATTCAAATAGGTGAACTTGGTTTGAAAAAAGCATTACCCACCAACGACGCACTCGCGTTTGGTCTTGGTACGGAGGGAATTTGCTGAGAAAGGATGATTTGAAAATAATGAAAGCTGTAAACCCAACCCTTAAAATTTGTTTTTTTTGTTTAGGGACTCAATATTTAGATTAGAAGACAGCTAATAAGTAATAGAAAAATCTTGTGATAAATTATTGATATTTCAGGGACATTAGCAAAAGACACTTTGAGATTTAAGTTAGTTATATAAGTTAGTTTTGTGAGAGCTTGTTTGAATTATCTGTATGAAGATTATTTAATACTTCGATAGCAAAAGCAATGACCTTTATACAATATCCTAATTCCTTTGGTATTTCTATTACAAATGGGGAGCGAGTGCCTAAGGCCAGGTTTAAACATCGAATTTCTGTTTTGACGAATCAAATTGAATTTTATTCGGAAATTGTGCAACTAAATGCGTCGGTTGTTTTACGACAAAAAAAATTATTTGGGTTCTCCCGGTCACCTTTAGCGCATGCGCACAATACACTCATGTTTGGTGCTTTTTCTCATTTCCGGTATTAACATTGAATTTAATTGGAGCAAACGCAGATTTCAAGAATGACAAGCAAAATCAAAGATGGCTATCATTTAATTAATGGGCCAGGCAGTCTACAGCAAAAAAAGCAATGGAAGTATTTGATAACACGCGGAAAAAATGCGACTGTTTAAAGCAAGTCGCACTCCTGGTGAATTAAACGACATGGCTGGTGAACTGCTGCCGCATATAACTATTTGGTGTGGCAGTAGATGTAAACGTCGTGTTAAAGCCGCATTTGATTGAAACTTAGTCGTTTTCTAGAGAAAAAAACATGTTCTTCATCGCATTAGTACCATGTATAAAATTGCACAGCATTTACGTGGAATAATACCCTTGAGAAATTGCAAAGAATTCCAGGAATGAAGACCTTCTAAATTGTTTTGTGAAGGAAAATTTAATTGAGAGCGACTTGTTCAAATGAGGTCCTAAGATATCAGGGGTGCATCAATGGCAAACGTTTTGGAGCAACAGATAACCCTGTGAGTTTAGTCAACATTTTAGCTGCTGTGCTCGTCCCAGTATCATTAAACTAATGTAGACAATTTTCACCTTTATGACCTCCGTAGGATTGTAAAACGTTTGGCTTGGTTTATTTAAGATAAGCCACAAAAACTTTAGCAGAAAATGTTCTCGGGTCTGGAGAACTCATTTTGCAGATAACAGGAATTTTTCTGTTCAATGGCCGTCTTTTTCTCAAACACATCTTTTTATTTAGACATAAAAATCTAAAATCTAATTCTTTTGTGGCAGTTATTTGCTGAAAGATAGCATAAATATCTGGACCAGGCTCCTATTATTGAAGCTCCTCTTGGGAGTGGGGCTTAAAAAACATTTCCACCTAGATGAGCATGGGCTCAAATCTTGATTGGCTGAAAGCTTGCGCTAAATCACGTGGTCTCTCTCGCCGCTGAGCCAATCGCAGCCCCGGAAAGTGTAAACAAACTTAGGCCAAAGCCGAAAATTGGGCATTCTTACCATGCGATAGGTCTTATGGATCAATATAAAAATTGTTCGATCCTTCAGACGAGCAGGGAAAAATCCGTATAGCGACATAGTCCAATGCAGCAAAATTTGGCGAATTTCTGATAACAAGTATAGCTGCTTCGAATATATAATATAGTCAAGTTTTAAGCTAAAACGTATTGAAAAGAGTAGAAACTTAAAACCAGTAGAAACCCGCATAAAAGAACCTGTTTTTATAAGAACCTTGAGGCTGAAATTTAATCTTTTCAACCCCATAAATAAGAACCCCCAAGAGGCTGAAATTTGGAAAGGTTCTTATATATATAAGAAAAAAGGGTTTTTAGAGTAAATCAGGTTATGGTATGTTGAGTTATAATTGGACAATCTAACAACACAAATTCATTTGATTGGTTGAAATTCAACATAAAAAACTGGTTTAAATGTGTCCATTAGAATTTTTGCGGTGGAAAACATTGTTAATTTGTGCAAGGCCTGTATGTATTTAAAAGCCTTGTTAAGAACCTTTTAGACTGGAATTTAGAATAGCAGCCTGTTAATTAAGAACCCATTCAGGCTGCCAGAAAAAAACCTAGGTTCTTTTATTTGGGTTTCTACTGTAGTTAGACTTGAGATTATTAGAAAACAATGAAATGTTATCATGTAGTTTTTAGGCACTTCCCTCCAAAGTATACCAACTCTTACAATGCTAAAAAATTTCCATTGAATTTTTGAATATAAAACTATGTAAAAACTCGGCTGAAGGATAATATTTTTCATAAGATCTTAAAACTGTTCTATTGTATTGTTCTATTAAAAATTCTATTGTTGAATACAACATAATTAAAATTGCAATAACTACGCAAAAAAATTTCTCCCGCCTTTTGATTGTATTGATATCTCCTGAATAAAAGACGAACCATTCTAACTGTTTAACCGGGTCCTGAGTCCCCGTGAAACGTTATTTAAATTTTTCAGTCAAAGATTGTTTTAGCTAAAATTCTTGCCGAAAATAAATGGAACGCCTTCCTCTGCAGTATTCAAACAGACAACGCAAGTCTTAAACTACTTTATAAATATACCACTGTTGCGTCAAAAATTCTGACCCCCTTCCCCCTGTACAATGTTGATTATTTTCTCAACACCTTTATACAGCTTTCAGTAAAAAATCTTTATCTTCAAAACAGCAAAAATTGAATAACATTGTAGTGGGTTAGGGGTTAGGGAGGGGGAGGGGGGGTGCTGTAGGTGGACTTTTCAAAAAATCTTTAGTTTTGCGCAAGTGTTCCAACAATTTTTGCAAGGATTGTAGTTTAATAGTGAACACACTGACGCGACGTTATGCGCAGTCGCAATGTACAAGAAAACTTTATCTTCGTTTTTATATCATATAAGCACTGGTGGCTAACATATTTCATTTTAATTCTTAGTGTGTGTTACATTGTATCGTGGACCAAAAGTGATGGGTTTTGTATTTGTTTCAGCCTAAATTGCATTCACGTAGTTTCAGAGACTTGAAGAAATGACAGCAAAATGAATATCTCTCGGAGCTTTTTGTGGCATTTGATGTAATTCTTTCAATTACAAGAAACATCTTTACAAGAAATTAAGTTATCTACAGTAAATTTACATATCCATCACAATTTTCCAAAAAATAATTAATTATGTAAGAATTAGAATAGAATCGGCTCTAAGGACACCCTTCACAGAAAAGCATATTGCTTGGATCTCAAACGGAGTTATTTAACAAACGGTATGAGAGAGTCCCTATACAAAATTCAATTGAATTTTGATCAGGAGCGGTCTGGTGACATATATACAAGATGGCTACTGGTAAGCAAACTAAAAGGTTCCAGCTGGGGTGTGACCGAAAAAATGTTTCACCCACATCCCCTATGCTTAATTGTGAATCATTTAAAGGAAAAGTGGAATGAGATCGATCCTTGCACTTTACTTTACATTTGGGTCTTGGCTCTTACCCTTAAATTTGGGTCTGGTCTGATTGGCAATCGCATTATCAAAGTCCTATGCAATACCTAACCGGTACAACACAGACAATGTTTGAAGTTGACTTAGTAAAACCCCTCCCTAAGTGAGCTAGGTAAAATGAAGAAATAGGTCATTCATACTTTAATCGAGGAAAAAGATGGCGAATCCGACGTCGTGAGTGCTAAAGACATTGGAAATCTGGATTTTTCGTTTCTATATCCCAACTTTACCTAGAAACAACACGATAAACCTTATAACGACCTGATACCCCTTCGCGTTGACATTCGGCAAGTATTAATTGCCTGGCATTTACAAAATATGCAAAAACAACGCCTATTACGGATCTTCGCCCCTAAACAACCGCTTGTAAAACACGATTCAGCATGTTTATCACCAAGGTTCATCCATTTAAAACGCCTGCTTACTTCGACACTCCCCTGAGCACGAAGACTCCAGCTTGTTTAGAAGATTTTGGTTTCTTCTTTTTCTTTGGCTTTTCCCTTCTTTCTTCCTCAACATCGTTTCGCACCTAAAAGGCAAAAAGGGCACACCATCTTGAAATCGAGGGAGTTACTTATCATCTAGAATGCAAGGCCTTGTTGATGGATAATGTCTGTTGTGAAGATAAGTTTTGGTATTATCCATCGCGTGCCATTAAGAGAATGCCATTTATTGTTTGATTATTTCTAAAACCATTAAATAATAATTTTTCGTGACATTTTAGTAGAGCTTTGTGAACATGAGATAAAACTTTCAAATTACATAAGCTAGTGACACCCTCAAATATCTAGCAAGGGGACAAAAACTGAGAACATATGCAACCCCAGCGTAACAGTGCAACAAACCCTGAATTTTTGCAACAAGGCACATTCTCCAACCATTCCCCTTAAGGTACATATGCATGTATTACCAACCTAGCTCCAATTCATATGGCGTCTCGTCCTTTAAGACAAGTACACTAAATCTGATTATCTTAACGACTGCTTTAACACAAACGGCTGTGAGTCGTTTACTCACCAATGGAGCCTCGCTTCTAGCATCCTCTAGTTGCAATGTGAGGCTATGAACTTTAGCACGAAGGCGATCTAATTGCGATTCCAGCTTTTCTCTTCGTTCTCGTTCATACTCGAGTTGGGCTTCAAGTTCCCTTATAATTCTACAAAAAGAAATTGCAGTTTTGTCTGGATATTGATCGATGGTGCATTACCAAGATTCGGTTACGGGCAGATATAACAAAGGGTTGATTACTGTTATCCGGTATGTCAAAAAGTGCACATATGTTGTTCTTTCTAGCAGGAACTTTTCAGATATCTTCAATTTTCAGCATTAATCCCCAGCCTAGCCACAGCTAGGATTAGATTTCCCACCATAACACTTACACCATTCGCAAAACTTACACGCGTCTCAGTCCATGCAAAACTGGCTGAAGTTGGATTCAGACACCAAGCGGCATGGCCTGGTAGGGGTTCATTATCCAGTAAAAAAGCAAATAAACTCCCATAGCCTACAATGTTACAGAACTGTTTTACCTCGAGTTCTCTCGCTCTTCCTCCCGTTCCTTTTCATCCTCCTCTAATAATCCTCCAAGTTGACGATAATTCATTTTTGCTATATCCAACAAATGCTTCAGTTCATCGACTTTTCGTAACGCTCTCCCTTAAATTACAGGAAAAAAACAGAGAATGAAACAGTAAATCGACGAAAATGCTATTTACAGTACTTAAAAGAATCAAAACACAAGAAAGTAATGAATTAAAGTCCAAATAACTATTTTTACAAAAACGTCACACTATGGTCTGAATTT